TCTGTCTGTCAGCCACCTCCCACCTCCTAAACCACACACCACACACACACACACACACCGTCTCTCCGCCTGTGTACTTCTGTGCAGCACACCAACCCCAATCGGATCCCCGAGTTTTCCTTCTCGTGGCTGGACCTTGCGAGCCACCGCTCCTTCATGCCCAAGCTGCTGGTGCAGCCCAACACGCCCCCCCAGCCGCAGCCCCCACAGGGCCAGCAGGACGGCCGGCCGACGTCGAGGGGGTGGCACCTCTTCCACAAGATACTACTGCAGCACTTCTACTTCATGGAGCCCTACCTGAGGAAAGTGCAGCTCACCGAATCCATCCAACAACTTTACAAGGGTGCGTGTAGGCATGGCAGCCACACACACGCACACACACACACACACACAGAGAGAGAGAGAGAGAGGGATCAGGAGACCGGGTTATATCAATCACTGTGTGTGTGGTGTTTCTGTCCACCGCGGCCCACTCAGGAACGCTTCGTGTGCTGCTGGTAGTGCTGCACGACTACCCCGAGTTTTTGTGCGAGTACTACTTCACCCTGTGCGACGTCATCCCGCAGAACTGCGTCCAAGTGCGCAACCTCATCCTGTCGGCCTTCCCGCGGGAGATGAAGCTCCCCGACCCCTTCATGCCCAACCTCAAGGTCGACCTCCTCCAGGAGATCAAACACACACCCAAGATACTCGGCAACTACCAGGCAGTCCTCGGCTACAACGGCATCAAACAAAACGTCGACAGCTTTTTCAGGTCTGTGAGGGCGATGGTCACAGTGGGGGGCCATCTGTAAGTGTGATTGTGTGGATTGGATTGCAGGACTCGGGAGCGTCGGTTTCTGGTTGAGTTGCGTCGGAAGCTGTACCTGCGGACCTTTGATGAGGCCAAGAAGCGGGAGACCCGATATGACGTCCCTGTCCTCAACGCTCTCATGATCTATGTACGCGACACTTTCACACATACACAGCACAGCACAGACGGAGGGAGGGAACTAACGCACACCATATGTCTGTCTCTCTCTGTGTGTGTGTGTGTGGTGGTTGTATCGCATTCATTCCTTTACTGATTGCAGCTGGCGAACCACGTGCAGCAGAGCGGCGCCAACCCGCACAACCCGTCCCTGGAGATCTTCACCTACTTCGCCGAGGAGCTCGACATGGACGGCCGCTACCTCTTCTTCTCGGCCATCGCCAACCAGCTGCGATACCCCAACGCCCACACGCACTACTTCAGCTGCGTGTTGCTCTACCTCTTCGCAGAGTGCAAACAGCAGGTCGTACAGGAACAAATCACCAGGTACGCGACACACGCGAGCTGAGACAGAGAGGGAGGGAGGGAGGGAGGGAGACTGGTGCATGAGTCTCCTGGCTGTCTCTGTGTGTGTGTGTTTTTTTTTTGTGTCTGATAGGGTGTTGTTGGAGCGTTTGATAGTGCACCGTCCGCACCCCTGGGGCCTCCTCATCACCTTCATCGAACTCATCAGAAACCCAAGGCACGGCACGACACACACCCCACTCACACACACGGAGAGACGAGAGAGCGATGCCATTCAACACACCAACACATGTCTGTCTGTCTGCAGGTACAAGTTGTGGGAGTATGCTTTCGTGCGTGTGGCCCCCGACATCGAGAAGCTCTTCCAGTCGGTCGCACACACATGCCTGGGGCCCCAGGGCCTCCCGGGGGCCGCACAGGTGGGCGCCGGCGGACCTGGGGGTGCTGGTGGTGCTGGGGGTGCTGGGGGTGCGACCGTGCCACCGGGTCCCCACCCTCAGCAGCCGTCCCAGCCGCCCCACGGACAGGCGCCCCCCCAGCAGCAGGCTCACTTCCTCGCCCAGGCGCTGCAGTATGGCGGTATTGCGGCCCAGCAGCTGCAGCAGCTACAGCAGCAGGCTCAGCAGCAGGCCCAGCAGCAGTACCAGGCCATGAGTCAGTTCTCATCACAGCAGCCCGGGCAGTTTGGCGGACACCCTGGACACCCTGTAAGCCGCTAACCGACACGAGATCGAGACGAGGGGGACGGAGAGAGGAGTGCATGGACCTGACGTAATTCTGTGTGCGTGTGTGTGTGTGTGTTTGTTTGTTGTGCTGTGTGTGCAGTCTTGACCGATGGCTGGGTGCTCCTGACTGATGTGTGTGTGTATGTGTTGAGCTATTTTTGCTACATAGATATCACCCTCCACTACGGTCACGGATCGCATCGCACCACCACCAGACCATATCGTATCATGCCATCCATCCATCCACTTAGTCACTGACAACGCACACACATGGAGGTCTGTCTGGGGGCAGGGTGGAGCTGTGTGCGTCCGTGTGTATGCGTGTGTGTGATGTGATATGTATCTGTATGTGGGTCGAGTCGATCTGCCTGTCTCTCTCTCTGTCGCTGTGTGCCATTCTGCCGAGCCGACGATGGACTGCACATATGGAGCACCAACCCTCCCATACACACCATTCAGTACGGTCAGAGTGTTGGGGGACTCTCTGGCTGTCTGACGGATCCTCTCAATCGTGCTCCTGCTCGTCCGTCGGTTGTTTTGTGCGCCTGATTGGGGGTCAGGCGCACTTGACCTGCTCGAATGAATGGCTGAGTGATGGATGGCTGACGGGCGATTGACCTGGGAGGGTGGGAGAGGGGGGAAGGGGCTATCTGGACGGATGGATGGGTATGTGTGTGTGTATCTGTGAGTGTCGTGGAATGTTCGTCCATTTGCACTTCATATGATAGTCAGTCCACACACACACACACACACACACAGCAACGTAACCACACACAAATACAAGGCACCCACCCACCCACACACACCTGAACGACTGGCGGCTGATCGGGGAGTGACCGTCTGTCTGTCTGTCTGTCTACCTGCCCATGACTTATCTCGTCCTGAGTCCCTGCCTACCTACCTACTCACAGCTATTTGTTAGCCTGGCTGACCGAGGGACAATGGGATGGATGGATGGATGGATGCCGTTTTGGAGGTGGTGAGAGTGTGTTGTGTTGTGGGGTCCAAACAACAGACAGACATTCAGAATGACAAGATACGCTAGATACACACGGTGGTCTGTCTGTCTGCCTTGTGGGCGTGACGCCCGCCCCTCTGTGTGTGGTGTGGTGGTGACGTAGGGTAGCTACCTGGACGGGGTGGTCGGGTGTGGCGGGTTCATGTGTGCATTGCATTCATTCATTCGTGAGTGTGAGTGACCCGACAATGAATGCGTCTCAGTACTGACTGTCAATACATGACTCGCTTCACATACCGAAGAACGAGAGGATGGGATGAACAATGGATGGATCAATGGCAAGAGGAGCGACTGCCTTTTTTGTAGTAAAAGATGACTGACAGGCAGACGGCATGCGGCACAGCACCACAGAGATTTTCATGAGCCGGGCTGGCTGACAGAGGGGGGAGGAGAGTGTGGTGTGTGCGTGTGTGTGGGTGCGCGTGTGTGTTGCGAATGGTGGCCCTCTCCACTGCAGAGCTCCAAACGGAGCTCGCGACACACGCACACACACACATGCCATCTCATTGCTCCTCCCCCACTACACACACAGCACAGCACCAGGCGGTGAACAACACGGCGTGGCACGGCAGTCGAGTCGGTATGTATGTATGTGTGTAAGTAAAATGGGGGCGTTTCTTTCAAGTTTGTGTGTGGTGCCTGGGTGGGCGGGCTGGCACAGTGGGGCGGTGTGTGGTGTAGAGAAAGCGAGTGGACCGTACGTACGAGGGAGTGGCTGAGAGAGAGAGAGATGGTCTGCCTGTCTGTATTGGTGTACTCATTGATTCATTCAGTCATATCGTCAGTCGTATCTAGGCAGGGTTATCTATCTGAGGCTACACACATACATATTGGTGTGTGAACGGTTCTATGTTGCCCCCCCGCTCCCTGCGTGGGTGACGTCTCTGTCTGCCTATCTGCCTGCCTGCCTGCATCGGCCGTTTCTCGTTTCGTCTTTGCCGGCGGGGAGGGGCCGGGCGGTCGGCGTCTGTGTGTCTGTCCCCGCTGCCCCGTCCCTGCCATTTTTTCACCACAGCGATCGACGGCCTCCTCGTGCTATCTGTCTGCCTGCCTGCCTGCCTGCCTGTGTTTCTCGCTGCCTCGCCTCCACGACAACAACGTACGTACAGCTATTTGTCAGCCTGTCTGTCTGCCTGTCTGCCTCTGGATGTGCGCCATTTTGCGAGCACTCACTCGGCCATTCGATTCGCTAGCTGGTTTTGCCGTCCACCGATCCGTCCACCCATCCGCACACACACACCCCGACACACACACAGCAAAGAAGACGTCAGTAACGGCTTGTGGATTTGAGTCCGTCAGATAGACCATACACACACACCTCCCTACACTCACTCTCACACGTGCGCTTCTGTCTGGTGGAGACCTCACCGTCTGTCCGTCTGTCTGCCTGTCTGTCTGTCGCGCCTCTCTGCCTGCCTGCCTGCCTGCCTGCCTGTATGTCTGTGTGTACCTACCGATGTATTTGTAATTACGAACGTCCGCCTCTCCTTCTATGGTGTGGTGTGATGTGATGCGTTGCGTGAGCCGAGCCGAGCCCGGCCCATTGATCCATCCATCCAGTGAGTCAGTCAGGCGATCGATTTTCGTCCTTTTTGTATTCCAGACGTCCAAACCGACTGATGGCCGGCCACTCGTACACACGCATCCGTCCATCCGTCCGCTGATTGCAATGTCTGAGAGAGAGAGTGTGTGTGTCGATGTGAGGCGAGTGTGTACATACCATATTGACACTCCCTCGGTCATATCGCTGCCCTGCCCTGCCCTGCCTGTCTGTCTGTCTTGCCTCAGGCCTCCCTGACGGCTGCCTGTCTCTCTCTTTCCCTCTCTGGCTCTCTGGGGCCGCCGCTAACAGACAGATTGATGTGTTTGTCGTCCTGATGGGTGTGCTGTGAGTGGATGTGTGTGGACTGAATGACGGACTGCGTGCGTGTGTGTACGTGCCCCTGATGGATGGATGGACCCCTTTCTCTCTGTGTGTGTGCTATGACGACGTTTTCAAGTTTAAATGCTCCAAAATACACATTGACAAGAACAACCATCCAAAGCGTCGTCGGGTCGCGTCAGGTTGATTCGTATTGGAGGCAACAAAATCTGTCTGTCGCGTCGCTTGTCTGAAAAGAGCAGCTCGCCAACGAGCTATCGACACACATATCAAGTAGCAATCAGTCTCGCAGCTGCCGTCGCCACTCGGTGTGCGCCACCAGACAGAGCAGCCACTCCGGCATTGATTAGCGGACACGCAATCAAAACCAGACATGACACCCTCCCTGGCGGAAGCACACAAACCGACGACGGCATGAGCATAACGAGTACACACACAACATCGGTCTGTCTGAGTCACGTCCCCTTGGCCTTGTCGGCGGTAGCCCCTCCTCCTGCCTTGCTGCCAGCGGCCTTCTTGAGCAGCGCCCCCGCCCTTTGCCCGGCCGGCCCTCCCCTGCCCATCACACGCAGCACCAGAGGCACCAAAGCCACGGTCGTAAGGGCCCTGGCCGGCTCCACAATCTTGGTCAGCACCCACGCCACCAGGAACCGGCCCCACACTGTGTCGACGCCCGAGGACAGTTTGGACGCGTCGATGTGTTTGCTGAAGAACTCCGGGAGGCTCTCGAGGTACCGCTTGGCGTCGTCTGCCGTGAAGATGCCGGTGTTGACGGCTGCGAAGAGTAGGGAGAGGGTGGAGACGTAGACGGAGAGGTAGGTGCCGATGCCGATCCACCCGTACTTGTGCCACATGCCCACCAAACCGTGACCCATCTTCTTCGCAACCTGCACATACCCAACACCGCGCCAATTTGTGCATCCATCTGTCCGTCTATCCACGCCCTTGTCCGTTCCGCCCTCACCGCTTTCGATCTCTTGACAACTCTCCGCCTCATTTCTGTCAGCTTGACCCGCCTTGCATGGTAGGCCTGCCGTATCACTCCCTGCCGCCGCCTGAGCTCACCCAGCGCCGCCTTGAGCCGCAGCCGCGCCGCCTCAACGTGCTTCCTACGCCCCACGGCCGCCATCCGCTCCCGCATCTTCTGCACGTACGCGCGGAGCCTCTGCGGCAACAGCTGAGGGGGGAGGGAGAGGGCGATGCGCTTCCGCTGCGCATTGGAGAGGCTCTTAGCCACTCGGTGGACAGATCCATCAGATTGAGTGGCCCGGCTGCCTTCGGCACCTGGTGGTGATGACTGGCAGAAGCGGCGAAAGGCTGTGGTCCTGCATGAGTGCCGATCAGCCAGGAGGCAGGTGGGCGATGCGAATGTCGACAGCAGCTGCCGTCCGGCTGTGTGCAGTTGCCTGCATGGTGGTGGAAGCGGTATGGGGAGGGATGGAGGTGGGCATGGTACGACACGTGGCAGCGCGATACGCCGAGCCATCCCCAGGGGTTCGGCGCCAGTGGCAGTAGCAGCAGCTGTCAGGGTTTGGGGTTGAGGGTTCGAAACCCTGAACCCGGATCGGCAGCACAACAACCAAACACATCACAGACGGTGGAAGGTAGCATAAAGATATAAGAGGATAGAAAAGGAGAAGGGACTCCCTCTATGCCGCTGGCTGTGCCGCTCCACGGGTTCATCCATCCAAACATCCATCTGCCGTCGGCTGCAGGCCATGGGTCGGCTGCATGTGTCGCTGCTAGAGCGCGCTATCGCACAAAAGGGCAGTCAAGAGGTGAGGCGCCGACAGGGAAGGAAACGAGGCATCAGCACGATCTGTGGGAAACTGTGTGCGCCGTGCTGCTCGTCGCAGATGCTCGTGATGATCTTGGAGTGGGCTGCGACGCGACGGCGTGAGTCCTGCGAGCAGTGATGACTGACGACCGCCGGCCGTCTTCTCGGCGCCCCGACGTCAACGGTGCCATAGCCGCCTTATCATCGCCGGACCAGCTGTCGGAGGATGCACTCGACACCAGCCTCGGGACACTCGTCAGTCTCGCCGACGCGGTCAAAAGCGCGGGTGCCGATGGGGAGGTGCCGCGTTGGGTACAGCAGACGGCCCAAAGGCTGTGCAAAAACAAGGGTTTGCTGCGGCGGGTGTCGAGTGCCTTCACCGACGTGGGCCACAAGACACGCCAGGACTGGGCGGCACGGGTGCTCCACCTGCTGTGCCATCCTCATCTGGAGCCCCTCCTTGTAGGGGCTGTCTCGTCCCTCTCGGAGTCGCTGCAGTCTTTGATCGCGTCGCTTGACACGTTGTTGGTAGACACCGCCGATGACCTCGTCGGCGCCGTCGCTTTCGCGCTGCTGCGAGTGGTCATGGTCAGGGGACGGCAAGCGCGCAACGCGACCGACTCCCAGCTTTTCCTGGTGCAACATCATCCAGACATCCTTCACAGGGCCGTGGAGTGGGCTGAGACGATCCCAGAGCAGACTACCAGCCCCGGGCCCCCAAAGGCGGCGCTGGTCTTTTTGATATCGGCGTTTGGCAAGCTGCCGGGAGACGGCCCGCCGTTCCCAACAAGACTGACTCTGCCAGACTTTCTCTGGGTGCGGCTGTCCTCGGTCGGTCTGCGCGTCATGACCCATACGAAACCGGAAATTCGGGACAAATGGTAAAAAGTGCAGTCGACAAACAGGCAAGCACGTAACAACCTTGCTTGGTTGGTTGCTTCAGGGGTGAGGTGGCGCGGAGGATCCTGTGGCTTGTTGGGGAAGACTTGCGCTGCGCGGCCAGCACGTTCAGTAAGGCACCACTTACATGCACAGCACAGCACAGGTGTGTATGTATGTATGTGTGTGTTCAGGTTCGCATGCCGACTGTGTTGCCTTTCTGGAGGTGCTGCAGCAGAACATCTACGGCCTCGTCGACCCACTGGCCGAGGTGGTGGCCTGCTCTGATGGAGACGCAGGGCTGCGCGAGGGAGCCGCCATGTGCCTGGAGTGGATCTTTGGTTGCTGCATCGCATTCTCGCACGCGGCAGGTGAAAGAAACCCCTCTGTGGGTGGGTGTATGGTATGTGGGTGGGTGGGTGGGTGGGTGGGTTGGGTGGACGTGTGTGTATGTTATGTGTGCAGGTTGGGAGTGCTTTGCCTCTGATGACGGGCCCGTCCAGCGTCTCATGAGAGTGCCCGCAGTGCTACGGAAGTGGACCGCCACTGTGAAGAATCCTGTCAGTCACGACGAAATTGTTCACAAGAGTGTCCCACTTCTCCTCGCTGGTGAGTCAGTCAGGGCAGATGTTTGCACTGCGTGCGAAGTACGTATGTATCGGCCGCTGCTCTATGTGTGTGTTGCATCCATCAATGTGTGCGTGCAGCGTGTGGCCACCGTGATGCCGTGTATGCCGGAGGCTGCACCTCCACTCTCGCGGGAGTGCTCGAGGACAGCAGCGACAACTCGAGGGAGGATTTTGTGCTCATGCACGTACTCGGGGACCCCACAGACCTCACTGATGAGCGCGCAAAGGTATGTGGGTCGGTTGGTGGGCGGTGAAAAGACCAGACAGATGGATGGATGGATGGATGGATGCGCTACATACTTTGTGGGTCATCCATCTGGTGCATGCAGATAGCAGTGCGCGATGGTGCCCCTGCACTCGTCTGTCAAGTGGCCTTGAGGTGCATCAAGGGCTACGCCGACCGCCCGAAGGTGGTCAATACCTTCGTAGACTTCGCCGTCGATACTCTGCGGACTCTTGTTAGGTACATCCTGCCAACATGCCTGCCTGCCTGCCTGCCTGTGACTCGCACGACAGCGTGTGCATCTTTGTGTGTTCCTGCATGCAGCTACGGCAGTCGCGTGAGCAGCAGGAGGGGCGCTCTCCGGTCGAACAGCGTCACGCGAGCCATCCTGCAGCACGAGGACCTGAAGACGATGCGGGCGGCCGGGGGACAGCCGGCGAGACGCAAGGGACACCAGCAGCAGCAGCTAGCTGTGCCACAGGAGGTGATAAGACACGCAGAAGGGCCGCAGGCATACCCACCGTGTCCACTTCTGTGTGTGTTGTGTGTCAGCTGTTGGATCTGTTTGACGAGATAGAGACTGCGGCCAACGAGCGGGCCGAGAAGCTCATCGCCGACCTGGCCGATGACCAGCCCGCCAATGCCGGCAGTAGCACAAAGAGGGGAAAGAAGAAATCGAAGGACAACAAAAGGAACAAAGGAGCCATCGGCACACACGAGGCGGCACCGTCCAGGTCAGTCAGCAGATGAGTAGAAAGGTGACGACGTGCACATGTGTGTGTGTGTGTGTGTGTGTTGCCGACATGCAGTGCTGATTGCGGTGACATAGACGTAGACCCTGAAGAGCGTGAGGACACAGCAGAGCGTTCCCCCGGCCCGTCGCCCCCCTCCCCTCCCCGACACTCATGCTCATCATACTCACCATCGGCTGCATCGGCTGCTAGCGGGCCCTCTGTGTCGGTCGTTGACGGCAGTGGGCGGCAGCAGCGAGGGACTGGTGATAGTTCTGGTGGCGTGGTCATGTCTCTTGGAGTGGGTCGCGGTCTCGGTGTGCCCATTCTGCCGCCACCGGCCGTGATCCAGCCGCCGTCATTCCCCGTTGTGAGCACTGGGGTCGCCAGTGCATCATCTGCCGGCCCCTCGGCCACCTCGAGCGCTGCTGCTGGCGGCAGTGGGCAGCAGGAAGGGCCACACGAGGGCGATGATGGCGGCGGCTTCATCACCGTCGGCCGCAAAAAGAGGGGCGGCAAAGGCACTGGCGGCAATGCACAGCAGCAGCAGACCAACATAGCTGACAAACCAGTCGAGAAGTAAGGCCGACCAAAGCACTCCACCACACTGAGCAGGGACAACTCCGGTGTGTCTGTGTGTTCAGCTCGAGAGTCTTCCCGTCTTCGTCCGAGTCGACGCGGCCCTCCTCATCGCAGTCGTCTGTGTCTGGCGGCCCCCACAACGCGCCAGCCCTGCCATTCCCTCTGCCGCCCCGCCCGGCCGCCCCGCCCCCACAGCCTCCCAACAGACACACATATACACCCACACCCACACCAGCACCATCCAGCAGCCGTGGTGGCTCTGACGAGCAGGGCCTCGCCCCATCGGCAGCCGGGGGCAGTAGCAGTAGCACTTTGGAGAGGGCGGTGGAGGTGGAGGGCCGCGGTGGTCACGGCAGGTACGTACGTATCGATGGACAGAGCAGCCGAGGAAGCAGACACCTGTCCTTCTGTCAATTGCGTGTGTGGTCGTCTGCCTCCAGGTGTGATGGTGAGGTCAGTGAGCTGGATGCGCTACGCCAGCAGCTCGAGGCCATGCGGCTGGAGAAGGAGGCCATACTCAAGCAGAATGAGGCCATCAAGCGCGAGAATGAGAGGTAAGTAACACGAGAGTCAGTCGTCGGACTGAGCTCTCGTTGACCGTCCGCTGCTCACTGGTGTGCGTGGTTGGTGGGTTGGTTGCAGGCTGCAGGAGGAGCGCGAGAGCACCGAGTGCGACGTCTGCATGGCCGAGAAGAAGTCCATCGTACTCATCCCCTGTGTAGGCCAACATGCACAACCACTCAACGTCCCTCTCAGCCACTATGCTCTGCCCATTGTGTGTGTGCTTACAGCGTCACTTCTGTCTGTGTGGTGCGTGCGCTGCCGCCTTGATGTCTAAACCAGTAGACCAGCGGCTGTGCCCGCGATGTAGGCAGGCCACCACGGCCACTCGACATGTCTATCTGTGAATACTTACATAGTCAGTCAGGGGCTCGTGAGAGCCGCTGTCGCAGATATGACTTTGGCTGGCGATAGCGACCGATGAGCGGAGGGAGGTATGTGTAGCTAGATGTGTGCCTGCGCATAGCTTACCGTTGGAGGGATGCGATGCGATGCATGTACAGACAGACCTTCTCGCACAACTGGATGGATGGGTGGGGAGGACCGTACGTCTATGTGCGCGTGTACGTGTACTCAACGACAGACACTGTGGGTAACGTACATATGTACGCAGATGTCAAGTGAGTGAGTCTGTACACATCCATCGATCGATCGACGGTCACATCATGATGCACGCCTCCCTGCCACTCAGTCAGTCAGCCAGCAAGTCAGATAAGCTATGCACAGTCACACAGACAGCTGCCGTCTACACATGCGACCCACCACACGCGCCCCCTCGATGTGCCTGGGTGGTGGTGGGTGTCTATCATCCCCCGTCTGTCCTCAAAGTCACCCCTCCTCTCTCGTGCGCCGTAGCACCACACGAGTAGGTCGCTAACAACATGGCCCCGCACTCACAGATAGACGTGTCGAGTGGCCGTGATGGCCTGTCGGCACCGGGGACACGGCCGCTGGGCCACTGGCTTGGACATCAAGGCCGCAGCACACACCGCACAGACAGAAGTGGCGCTGTAAACACACACACACACACACACACACACAGAGGTGGGCAGCGCATGATGGCTGAGAGGGACAGGTGAGCCGTTGTGCCTGTGCGTCGGCTTACACATGGGATGAGTACGATGGACTTCTTCTCAGCCATGCAGATGTCACACTCAGTGCTCTCCTCTAGTCTGCAGCAAACAAACAGCGGTGAATGCAGTCGCCCATAGTGTGTGCAGGTCAGGTGTTGGTAGGATTACCTCTCCTTCTCGCGCTTGATTTCCTTGAGTATGGCCTCGTTTGTCCTCTGCATGGCCTCCTTCTCGACTCTCATGGCCTCGAGCTGCTGGTGCAGCGCATCCAACTCACTCACCCCACCACCACACCTGGAGGCGACCACACACGCAATTGACAGAAGGACAGGTGTCTGCTTCTCGGCTGCTCTGTGCGTACCTGTGCTGACCACCGCGGCCCTCCACCTCCACCGCCCTCTCCAAAGTGCTACTGCTACTGCCCCCGGCTGCCGATGGGGCGAGGCCCTGCTCGTCAGAGCCACCACGGCTGCTGGATGGTGCTGGTGTGGGTGTGGGTGTATATGTGTGTCTGTTGGGAGGCTGTGGGGGCGGGGCGGCCGGGCGGGGCGGCAGAGGGAAGGGCACGGCTGGCGCGTTGCGGGGGCCGCCAGACACAGACGACTGCGATGAGGAGGGCCGCGTCGACTCGGACGAAGACGATGACGGGAAGACTCCCGAGCTGATGACACAGGCACACCGGAGTTGTCAGTGCTCAGTGTGGTGGAGTGCTTTGGTCGGCTTTACTTCTCGACTGGTTTGTCAGCTATGTTGGTCTGCTGCTGTGTGTGGGCGCCAGTGCCTTTGCCGCCCCTCCTTTTGCGGCCGACGGTGAGGAAGCCGCCGCCATCATCGCCACCGCCACCCGCCCCTTGCTGCTGCCCATGGCCTCCCCCCACCGACACAGAGGTTCCGCCAGCAGCCGATGCGGAGGACGATGAGTACGAGTATGAGGGTCGGGGAGGGGAGGGGGGCGACGGGCCGGGGGGACCTGGAAGGCCATCATGCTCCTCTGTGTCCTCATCTTGCCGCTCGCTGTGGTCTTCCGATACGTTGTTGGCGCCACAGCTATCGATCGGCACATACACACGCACACACATTCCGCTCATTTACGTGGATGTGCTCTTTCTTTTTCTGGCGGTGACCTGGATGGTGACGGCGACTCCTTGGTAGAGGCTCCCTTGCCGCCCCTCTTGCCCTTGGAGGACTTCTTCTTGACGCCCTTGCTGCCGTTGGTGTCCTCGGCCCCCTCCTGTGTGCCCTCAATGTCCAGCTCTGCGATGAGCCTCTCAGCACGCTTGCTGGCCGCACTCTCTATCTCGTCAAACAGATCCAACAGCTGACACACGATACGTACATCGATATGGACACTGCCCGTGTGAGCCGTCACGTGCCCATAACTTCCCACCTTCTTGGGCACTGTCAATTGCTGCTGCTGCTGCTGCTGGTGTCCCTTGCGTCTCGCCGGCGGCCGGGCAGCGGCCGCCCGCATCGTCTTGACGGCCTCGTGCTGCAGAATGGCCTGCGTGACGCTGTTGGGCCGGAACTTGCCCCCTCGGCTGCTCACGCGATCACCATAGCTGCACCGGCAAGACACATCCACACAGGAATACCCATCATCCTCAACCAAGACGCCAATCGCCCACCACAGGCGTCTGTGTGTGTGTGTGCGTACCTGACGAGTGCCTGAAGATTTCTGACGGCGAAGTCTATGAACTCATTCACCTTCTGTTGATCGATGTGACCCCCCTTGATGCAGGCGTGGGCCACGTCACACAGCACCCCTGGAAGGCCGTCACGCACAGCAATCTGCAAATGGGCAACACACAATGACCGTGGACGCATCCATCCATCCATCCGGACTGACCTTGGCGCGCACGTCGGTGAGGTCTGTGTCGCGTCCGACGATGTTCTGAAGAGCCGCCGCACAGGGGGCCACCTCGACAAGAGGCCTCTTGTCGAGGCGCTTGGCGGTATCCGACGCCATCGAGATGCATCCGGAAGAGTACACGGCATCACGATGGCCACACGCTGCAGACATTTATGCAGCACACCCACAAGAAGGCATTGCTTCGTTAACTTCCCACCCATGCAGCCCTCGTTTGATTCGCTCACCGGCCAGCATCTGCGGGACAACCAGCCATGTTGATGCTAGAGAGCAAGCAGCCATGTTGATGCTGAGGTCCTTGGCGGCCGCGGCGTATGCCTGCAGGGCCTTGGGCACTCTCATCAAACGCTGGACGGGGCCATCCGACAGAGTCGCAAGGTAAGCCGGACCTGCCCAGACGCAAACACGCAGCCAGCCAGCAATTGATGCGATGTCACACACACCCGTGCACTGACCTATCTCTGCGGCGTTCGCGAATTCGGAGCAGAAGTCGAAGATGCGCATGAGGCAGACGGCGGCCCCCGCACGCACCTGCCTGTCTGCCTGGCGAGACGTCAGGGTGGCCGCCATCGTGTCGACGTACTCGTAGACATGCTCGTCCATCGCAGCCAGGTACGCAGCATGGTCATCATTCGATCCTGAGGTCAGCCACCATCAGCACATCAGCACGACCACAGACAGTGTGGGTCTGTCTATGTAGGTAGCCTCATCCTGACTACATACATACCCGTGTGGGCCACAGATGTAATGTGCTCCTTGATGAGTGCTGTGACAGACACACCGCGGCCAAAACTGAAGCAGTCAAACAAACAACAAGACAAAAAAGAAAAGAGAGAGAGCAGCATCAGAAAGAGCCATTCTCCCCCCGTCTGCCTGTCCCTGGCCATCAACTGTTGGCTTACAATTCGTCGCGAGTTTCCTGGTCCTCACAAGTCAGCACGCGCACGACGACCCGAAACAATCCCACCCACACCAATGTCGACACAGCAGAAGGGCCCGGGAAGGGCGGGCCGAATTCACCATCGGGCGAAAAGGCCGACAGCAGGAAGTTGACGGCCTGCATGCTGCGCTCCCCTGCGATCTTGCCCGCCAGCGCCACTGCCTTGCCGAAGACGGCGGGGTGGTGCTGCACACAATGGTCTCGATAGTCGGCCGCATTTCCCTCCTCTCGGCCCTTGGTCATGGCCATACGCAGCAGTGCCAAGGTGACGGTCGCAACGCCGTCATGGTCGGTCTCTGTCAGCAGTGGGGCGAGACTGCTGATGAACCGTTGAGGCGACCCACATAGACAGATGATGGCGTGGGCGAGGTCCTTGTGTGTGGCGTGGTGGATCAGCACGCATGCAGCAATGTCCTGGCGGACCGTGTTGCCGCCATCGGTGAATGCGTGAAAGACGCGCGTCAGCACATGCTGGTCGAGCAGCTTCTTACGCTGGTCGAGCAGCTTCTTCCTCAGGGCCTCGCGGTCTCCACGTCCGCTGATCACAGCTTCGGCGGCCTCCGCGGCCACCGCCCTCAGACTGTTGTCGAGGGCATTATCTGGCAGCTCGTCTGGCGACGAGAGCGTTGCGGTGGCTGCATTGATGCCGGAGGGACGATATCTCGAGCTGGTCATTGACACAGATTCCCTGGCGTAGATCAGCCCTCATTCATGCCGTCAGGAGGCTGGCCTGACAACACGCGCTGCCACATGGTGGGCGGCCGACGCCAAACGGATGAGGGGATGCCTACAATGAGCAGCACAGCCAACCAGCGGGGCACATATGGCGCTTCTCGATGGTTCTTTTTGTGCTTCTTTCATCTCTCACCCTCAGGAGTGATACACAGGACCTCTGGCCGCTACTGCTAGGTCGGCCCTTCCCTCTTCTTCCCTCTTCAAAGCTGCGAGCTTGAACGCCGATCGCATTGAAAACCCATCGCTTCGGAGGTTCCCTCTCTCACATAGGCACCGCCAGCCGTTAGTTCTGTGGGTGTGCGGCGCTCCCTATCAGGGCGGGCCTCTCCTCTTCACTGTGCCCGACGCAGACAGCCTCCTCTGCCCCGCCGGCAACCGCGTCAACGTGTTTCAGACCTGTCGTTGACAGCCACAGTGCTGCGACGCTCACCGAAGTCATTGAGTTGACAAGAGGTACGAACACACGCAGTGCAGACAAACTTATCACAGAGCTACCGCTCATCTGTGTGCTCTCTGGTGCGTCCTCTCAGCACCCGTGTGAGGCGTTGCTGTTGCTCCTGTCAGCAAGTGCTGATCTAGTCCATAGGTGGGTGCGGTGCACACACAGGCAGGCATCACATCATGCCCTCTCACTTCATCCTTCACATCGGGCTGTCGTGTCGTATGGTGATTGCTCTCTACAGACCACATGAGTTCCTATATCGAGCGCGAGACGACAACCAAAGGGCTGTCATGGCCTCCCATTCTGCCCGCAGACGACCTCATGGGTGTGGAGCTCCTTCACGGCGAGGGGGCCAATGAGAGGGCCAGACTCACTACTTTCACCGACCACAGCTTTATGCCGGCGAGCCTACGGGACAACCCAGTGTATCAAGCCGCGGTGGACGTGTCACAACTGCACACGATCTGCTCGTCGTTCGGCTATCGCCGTGATCACTTCACGCCCCGCATCCTGACCCTCGAGGATGGCAAAGAGATCGCCACTGTGTGGATGGAAAACCGCCGGACCTATCGCGTCAGATTCGGTCAGTGACTGAGCGGGAGCATTCCTTCGTGAGTTGGGCTTGGATGTGTCTGTGTCTTTGGTGTGATGTGTGTGTGTTCAGAGCCCAAGTCGGTCAGCCCGCCACAGGCACCATTCCTTCGTGAGTGGGGCTTGGATGTGTCTGTGTCTTTGGTGTGATGTGTGTGTGTTCAGAGCCCAAGTCGGTCAGCCCGCCACAGGCACCGGCACAGCCCCCCACCGTTACAGCCCCGCGGCAGCAGCCGCAGGCCTCTGGGCATACAAGGGGAGTGTGGTGGGGTCTTTTTCGCTGGCCCTTTCCACACATGCGACAACAGTCGTAGGATCTGCAGGAGCCACAGCTGCCGAGGCGGCCCTAGGTAGCTGGCTTGCGTCGGTGTGAGTAGCCAGCGGGAAGAGGGGCGTGCGCCCGCCTGAGTGTGTTAGACAGTGTGTGAGAGACACTTCAGACACTTTTTATCCTGGTGACTTAATAAGTTAGTCAGATGTTATCATCAATGGGTGCGCTGGCTGCTGTAAGAACAATGGAACGAGGGCGGGTGACACTTTATTGATCACATGAGGAAGGCGCCTCTGTCTTCAATAAAATGAGTGAGGGGCTCGTCATTGTCACTTTCCGAGAGTTGTGGTTGACTTGTTAGCCAGAATGAGTGACACACAGCTACTTGCCTGGTGCAGGGTACCATTGCGACACATGTGCGAGAGAGGAGGGTGACGGCGACAAGAGATGGGCGCCTGTGCACAGCTTAGCTTATCTGACTGGCTCGTTTGCAAGAGGGATGCATGGCATGTACAAACCTTGTGGCGGCTTTCCATGCTGGCCAGATTTAACACGGAAGACGTTCATGACAGCAACGTACGGATGGATGGCCAATGGATGAACGGAAGGAATATATGACAGAGGTCGAGCATCCAACGAGTGTCTCGCTCGAGTGAGCAGTCAATGTCTGTATGTATGTATGTATATGTGCGTATGTCACAAATACACCAGTAGGTACGTCCTATGCTACACTCGGTCGCCCTCCCCTGCGTCTCCCTGCCCTCCGTCTTGGTGCTAGCTATTAGTATAGTCGTGTGTGGGCCGCCCCAGAGGCGTCGAGCCGCCGCCACTCACGGCTGTAACAAGTCGCCAGCAACGGAACGCCGAACAGCAGGCCGCCCCAGACAATCCAGTTGCCGAGCTGCTTGCCCTGATGGTGCCATAGCAGACAGACAGACAGACAGACAGGGATATGATCTGAATCCTTCTGTCTGTCTGTCTGTGTGTGTGTGTGTGTGTGACTTTGTGGAATCTGCCGAGTGCAATGAGGGGTATCTGCAGCAGCATCAGGCCAAACATGTACAGCCGGATAAAGCGGAAGCACACAGCCTGAAACACACAACACAACAGACGCACCCACACACAGAGCCATGTGTCAGTCACATGTGCCCATCCGTTGGTGTGAGTGCTGGTGCCCAGATCTCCCGATCGACCGACCAGGATCATTTCGTGCAGCAGGGCGGAGAAGAGGAAAGTGGTTGCCGCCGCCCAACCCTTGTTGAACTGACAGACAGACAACCCACAGACCACACCGTGCTTATGAGTGAGAGTATATGTGACCGGATGAATTCCATCCACCATCCACGCACCCCTTGGTGTCTCCTGACTCACTCACCTACCTTGTGTCTGTATCTCGACTCGAGGTAGACGTGCCGCAGGAGGAACTCATGCACGGGCCTGTTCCACTTGCGCGCAAACTCGTCCCATGACGTGCTGTTCCACCAATCCTGCACATACACATACACACACACACACGTGGCTATGATGATCTGTGTGCGGGACGTGTCGCATATGGTGTGCATCCGTCCGTCCGCACGTGGTAGAATTCTCTGTCGCCGAAGTTGACGACCTCAGCGAATATGTTGAGGAGGCACTCGAACAGCAGAAAGAAAAACAGAATGACCGCATACAGAAAGGGAAATATCAACCTGACACCAATACACACATACGACGTGTGCAGGGGTGGGTGTGTGCGCGCGCGTGTGTGTGTGTATGTGTGTGTGTGTGTGTGTGTGTGTGTACTTGACAATGGTCTCGAAGAAGGGCAGTTTATCGCTCTGCATGACGACGGGAATGATGTAGGTCGTTATCAGCAAATACAGCACTGCCTGACACACACACACACGTGGATGCAGTTCCATCTGTGACTGCACCATTTACAGCACACCCTCTTTGCTCCCTCACGTACCATAATCCCCGCCATGGACACAATCTTGAGCAGGAAATACGACAGCCGAAAGCCGGGACCCCTGTAAGCGTCAATCCACACAGGTCAAGTGTCGTTATGTGACGAGTGTGAGTGTGTGTGTGTGTGTTGATTCACTCTGGGTATTTGGGCTCGTACACGAGCACTGGGCACATCATGTAGTGGGCAAAGTTACGCAGGGTCACCTGCCGGCAGGTATGCACACGCAGATACAAGGTACACACACATACGTGTATGTGTCTGTCTAGCAGTGTGCAGTGTGGCTCATCGATGTAGACACAGGTGCACGCACACTTACATTGTCGGGAAAGTCCGGGCATTCCTGCTGGGTGCCCTTCAGCTCTGCATAGCGGAGGTTCGTCTCGATGTAAGAGTGCATCTGACCAACGCAAAATACCCCACACACACTGCGTGTCACGTCGATTCCTTCATTCATCTCTGTGTCTGTCTGTCTTGCCTTCATGAAGTGCGTCACCGAGACCATCGTGCAGAAAGCGGTCGGCACCATCGGCCAGCTGACGCCAAACACACACACACACCAGAACACAGCACACCAAGCACAAAATGAGGCCGACCAATGCAACCAAAATCTCTCTCCTCCCGCTCCGCTGACTCCTTGACGATTGACATTGTGATTGCGTATCCGATGCACATGCCCTGTGCGGTGTGCTGCAGCACACGCAGCACCGCCAGTGGGTAATACCCGCGGAAGTAGCCCAACAGCATAAAGTGAGCGCTGCGGACATTACAAGACAAGACACACAAAACAGCCAGCCAGCCAAAGGCGGATTGAGTGACACACGAGTGCCTGTCTGTCTAGCCACGCACATGCGTACAGGAAGGCCCAGAGGAAGAGCTTCAACCACATGAACATCTGGCCGAGGGAGGCAGAGACAGACCAACCAGCAGCAGATGCACCTGCATAGCGCACGACTGCCTGGCTGCCCTCATAAGCTCACCACAAAGAAGAAGTCGTCAAACATCATCCGAGCCAGCTGATGGAGGGATGGATACATGGACGGACGCACAGCCAGAGCAGCAAACAGAAACGAAAAGAGAAAAAACACATTGGTCGGTCACTCTCGTGTGTTGCAGGTGTCCTGGTTGATTGCCTTGCCCCACTCACCGACGGGTCGAACAGATCTCCCCTATCATACAGCCGTATCAACGGGTTAGTGAACAGATAATACACACACGACAGCACTGAAGCACACACACACACACCGACCCAAATGTGCATGCTGATGTCATGTCGTGTGTGTGACTGTGTACGGCTCACTCACGAAAGAGGTTTGCGAATCCCCAGAACTGGGACTGCGAGATGGCCGATTTCTCCACCAGCTGGTCGAATCTGCTGCACCGCACGGCGAATGGCGTGCCTATCTGGAAGTGAGGGTACGGTGAGGCAGGGGCCTCCGCCTCGTCGGCCTCCTGCGATGAACCGGCGGGTGCTACGGATGCTGCACGCTTCGTGTCGGCCTTGGTGTCCACGGTCAGGCGCTTCCGCATGGTGGACGATGAACCTGCTGCTGCTACGTCTGCTGCGGAGGATGCTTCCTCTGCCATTGTGATCGGGCGACGCAGATGCAATGCTCGGAACTATGGGTTTTCTGCTTCTTCGACGGCGTTTCGCACGCCTGGTGGTTGAACACTCAGCCCCTTTGACTCAGAAGCGCGTTTCCTCCTGCGAGCTGCTGAAGAGTGTCGTTGCTAAGCTCGCAGCAGATCTCCCGCGAAAGGCGAAGAGAGGAAGCTGTACGAAGATGGAGTCCATCAGCCATTACCCGTCCAGGCAAGAATCATCCCTAGATCAGCCCTCAGAGAGATCATCTGCAGCAGAGAGATGGCACGACGCCTGCAGCAGAAGGCCAACACCATGGCATTCCAGCCCCGCTCGCCGCAGACCGCATCCCATTTCTCTCCCCCTGCCGTCACCGTCACCGTTCCGTGCTGTCGTGCTTGCCATTGTGCACGCGGCTGTGATGCTGCTCATGCTCTTCTGCTGTGAGTGCGGGAGTGTGCCTTCATCGATTCGGCATCTCGTCACTGCCAACGGTCTGCGGAATGCACTGCCCAAGAGGACTGGTCAGCACAGGGGGACGGCTGACGGTGGTGATGGGAAGGGGGCACTGCAGACCTCTCGTTCTGTGTTACCTCGTCTAAAGCGGAGAAAGAGGAGGGCGGGGGAGCTTCCAGCCACCGAGCAGCCGGCTGAATCGAGGCCCGAAAGGCGGCACCGGCGTCTTGCGGCGCTGGTGAGGCGGCCGATGTCGTTTTCTCTGCTGGACGGTCTATCATTACCCCTGCACGACAAGGGCAAGCTCACCTTCTGGGGCAACATGCTCGCCGGAGCACTCAGCAGGAGGTGAGCACGACACACAGACACACACTTACATGCATGCCTGAGGAGAGGATGTCTGTCTGCTTATGCTTATCCATGGATCTCTTTTTGTATTTTTGTCTGCATTCAGTGTGGCCCAGACGGCGGTGCATCCGTTGATAGGCGTCAAGACGCTGCTGCAGGGCCGCAACACGTGGCAGGGGTGGGGGTACTTCCTGGGCCACCCAGGGATATGGTGGCGAGGGGCGGGGGCACAGTTCCTCATATCCCTCCCACATGGAGCCATGAACTTCGCTGTCCTGGGGGTGGGTCGGGGAGGGACAGAACACACACACTGGCGTGCAATCCACGAATGTTTCGTCGGTGCATGGGTGCTGTATGTGTGTGTGTGCAGTTCATGAAGCATCAGATGACCCGCCTGATGCCCATCAAGCAGGCGGGATTCGTCTTCGACTTCTGCTCACAGGCAACCAGTCACACCATAGCAGACCCATCCACCCACCCGCCCACCCATCCCCCGCCCTCCCTGTGTGTGTCAGGCGTCAGCCACGTTCCTGTGCTCGGTCATCAGCACACCACAGATGGTCCTGGTGGACAGAATCGTCACAGGTAGGAGAGGTAGGAGAGAGAGGCAAGCATTGCTAGGACACCAACACATGGCCAGCCACCTTTGTGTGTGCCCCTTGCGGCATGCAGGGATCTACCCCAATCTGGTGTCGGGGCTGAGCAAGCTGCTGCGCACAGAGGGTGTGCGGGGCCTCTACACCGGGTGGTTCCCCGGGATGATCCAGAAGATCCCCTCATACTCCCTCACATGGGTCGCATACCAACAGGTACACACACACACACACACACGCACGTTGACTGACGCCAACGGGCAACACGACCATCGTATGTGTGTATATGTGTGTGTGAGCAGCTGCGGAATTTGCACTCGGTTATCTTCCCACGAGATCCGTCTGACGCGGAGAATTTCTTGATAGGCGCCACTGCGGCGGGCATAGTGGTGGCCATCATGATACCCGTAGACACCGTCAAGACACGCCTCGTCACACAGGTGGGCGGCCGGGCGGGAGGGCGGGGTCACACGTCTGTTTGCTGTGTGTATGTATGTGTGTGTGTATGGTGTGCGAATTCTGCCAGGCGACGTTGGGTGCGGTTCAGCCGTACAAAGGAATAATTGACTGCTTCCTGCGGGTCATCAAGGAGGAGGGCGTCGGCAGGCTCTACAGGTACGTACAAGGGCCATGTATGTCTCTTCACACACACTCACTTGCCGCATTTGTGCGTGTGTAATGGCGTCATTGTTTATGCAGGGCTTTGCCGATGCGTCTGATGAGTGTGGTGCCGATGATCGGCATCCAGTTCGGCGTCTACGAGTACGTCAAGTCCCGCCTGCTGAGCGACCCACACATGGCCGTCAAGCACAAGCCGGACGAGAAACAAGAGGAGAGGGAGGAGGGGGAGGAAGGAGAAGAGCTGCCCATCCCCCTCGCACGCATCAGGCGGCGCATTCGGGCTCAAATTGGTGCCTACGTATGGCCGAGATGATGACCCTAGCGACATGCATGGATGGATGGATGGACGTGAGCAGAGAGGAGAGATGGGAGGAGAGGAAGAGCGGTTGATGATTTTTGGACGGATGGTTGTCAATGAGAGGGGGGGAGGTGTGTCAATGAGAGGGTCAACGAAAGGGTTTTTCGGTCGTGCGTCGTGGATTATTACTGTATAGTCCTCGCACATGAATGGATGTAATTGTGTCGATGGAACAGGCAGGACATGAGGGTGTGTCTACGAAAGCATCAAATGGCCAGCAGGGCATTCATCCATCCATCCATCCAAACAGACCACGCAACCACGAGTCTGTCTTTGAATCAACGAGTCTGAATCTACTGACAAGCACCGCCCACCAGATAGTTCCTGCACCAGGGGAAGGGCAGCAGGGGAAGGGCAGCAGAACGGCCCCCCACCATCGGTGCACAGGGCCTCTCAAGGACGGTTGGGGGAGGGCCTCCTACTGCCCTGGATGCCCACTGGGTCCCCGAATGACCTGCTGCCTGCCTTGCTTGTGCTAGTGTGTACTTAATGTGCTCTGCAGCACGCAATGTGCGCAGTACCTAAAGGAGTGTACCAACGCATCTGTGCACGAAACGCTGTACGCCGGCGCATACCCTCACAGCAGACCACGACGGGAGAAGGCAGGGGAAAACGCGCCTGACGGGAGCACTCGGGTGTCAAGACCACCCAAAACCGACCGACCAAAAGCATCTGCGAGCTTGCGACAAACGGCACCCTTTTTTGCCGAGGTCTTGCGACAGACGCCCAAAAAGGAATCCGCGAGGGGAGGGATATCTGCGCTGCTAAGCTCGCACCCTTCGAGGTGGCCGTAACCGCTGCTGCTCGAGGTTACCTGAAGGTGACTTAATTTCCACAAGCGATTTGCACCTGTCGATTCACAGATGCGTGATAACATGTGTTGGTTTCTGTGCATCTCTGTGCATGCAGGGCTTGGTTACTTCTCCGACCGTTGAGCACCTGTCTGCCCTCTCAGAGGCCTGCTGATCAAGGAGCTGGAGAGATCGATGGCGTCTGTGTGGAGGTGCGCGAGAGTCACACCAATGCAACACAGACGGGTGTGGCCGCATTGTCTGCCTTGTCTGCAGGCTGCCCATTGTGCTGCTTCTTCTGTCCGTCGGCCTGTCACCGCTGCCGTGCTCTGCGGCCTTCGTCCGGCCAATCCGGCTGACACACGCAGGGCCCCTCCGAGTGGCACACCAACCGCAGCCCCCACCGACGTCAACGGGAGGGAGGCCGCTGACCGCCCTGAGTGCTGGCAGATTCAATCTCTACAAGCATCTCAGCCAACGGGACATCGCCTGTGCCAACGTGGGTGCGTTCTTCTGCATCTTCCTCCTTCGGTTCTACTCCCTCACGGCGCGCATAGTCTTCAGGTGCATCACCGCCATTGACTTCAGGTATCTGACGAGGCTGCATCGTCGATAACGAATGTATCTGCATCTGTGTGTATGTGCATCCGCGTGCAGTCTGAGTGGCCCCGAGATCGTGTCCAAGTTGGCGAGCGTCCAGGTCCTTGCCATGCTTCTTCAGCTTGCCGCGGCCACAGTGCTGCTGGTGCCCATTATCGTCTTCTGGTGGAACAAGATCCCAGAAGCCACCACCGTACCCAGAGATCGTAAGCGATGGGCCGATGCACATGCACATCCGTGGACATCTTTTTGTGCATCTGTGTGATGTCAATTAATCAGGTGACCTGCCGTCGGATGTACGACTGCTCGAGAACAGCTGAACGAAACCAGCGGCAGGAGAAGAACAGAAGCCGGTGGCTCCCATGAGGCTGCGGGATCTGAGTGGGCGGGATCTCGGGTTCGTGATGGTGGGCGAGTCCGTTGGCGGTCTGCTATACGGCTACTTCAAGGCTCTTTTTGCCTTAGCATCTTCGATTATGGCGGGTGTCAAGGTGGACGCAGTGCAGCTGTTGATGCGGTTCGCCGAGCCTACGTTGTTCTGGGGGGTATTGGGTGCTTTCTGGTGGAAGCGGGTAACAGCATTGGGTACAGACAATCGATGGATGGATGAATGGATGTGACGCAGAGAGAGGGTCCAGACAGCAAAGGCTTTTATACCGTATGAGGGAGGCATTTAAGTCAATAGGTCGGCTGGTGTGTGTGGGTGTGTGGCGACAGAGCACATGAGCTACACGGACGCATAGGCAGGGCATGGCAGGCAGCTCCAGGTAGATGCAGGACAGGCGGAGGTCGGGTGATTTTAGTTATGCGGCTTCGTACCGTCGTTGATGGCCCAGGGACCTTCACCAGCAACATGTTGGGTGAAAGCCGGTGGGCTGGCGGGCTACCGGATGAACGATTGTCGATGAGAGGATAGTGTGTGTGTGTGCTATTTCTGTGTGTCCTAGATGGATGGATGTCCGCACTTATTAATCGAATGGAGGGACGCATGGAATGGTTTTGATGTCGATAGAAGTCTATCAACAAGTCTGCATCTATTCACCCGCTGACTGACTCACTCACTCCAGGACTTCACCAATGTGCGTGTCTTCGGAAAGTAATACACGACGATATAAAACGTAGACACCGATACAGCCCGCTGATCCCAGTCTCTCTCGCGCTCTCTCTCTCTCTCTCTCTCACTTTTCCATTGGGGTGAGTCACAACAGGCGCAGCAGAGAGAAAGACAGAACGACAGCACCGATTAGCTGCCATGGCTCGCAATAGCAGGTAGACGGAGACATGGCCCGTCTGGAAGGCGAGTTTGTCGACCTCGCTGTTGGTCTTGCAACGGTGGCGGCCGGTGGTGATGTTCTCGTCATCCATGTCGGCGTCGTTCTCCTCCTCGTCGCTCCGGCGACGGCGGCCCTCCCGCAGTGACCGTTCGCGTCGGCCACCCTCGGCCAACTCGGAGCCGCACTTGTCGATGGCTGCACGTCGGAAGCCGCTGCGGTGCCGTGTCGTGCGTGATTTGGCGGCAGCGGCGGAACTGGCTGCCATGGCCCGCAATAGCAACCAGACGGAGACACTGCCCGCCTCGAACGCTTTCATGTGGGCCAGGCACGTGGCGCGCTCGTCTCCGTCGGTGGCGAATTGAGGGGTGACGGCGGCTGACGGCACCTCACCGCCGTCACCGCTGCGGGGCTGCGGCGGGTCAACCCCCAGCGACTCGGCCAGCTTGCCGACCTTGTCTGTAATCTGATACAGAGAAAGTCACGCCACATGCCTGCCGCTCTTCTCCTCCCTCTCCGACTTACCTTTCGTACGAGGGTTTTTCTTTTTCTGTTGGCGCCTTCGATGGCCTTCAACGACAGGCCGTGCTTGAACGTGTAGTAGAATTCCTGTTGCCGCAGCCCACACAAAGCATACCCGTGAGAGAGATGAGAGAGATGGGGAGTGTGTCTGTGTCGTGTTGTGTTATCCTGTGGTGTGCACTCACTATGCATTCGTCTGTGGTCTTGGTTCCTATGGCCTCTGAAAGTCGTTTAAACCTGGGGTTGGCGGGCAGCACCTGTTCCTTGGGGTGTGTCCCCAGTGTGGCCTCGAAGACATCGATCTCGTCGAAGGATCAGATGGCCTTTTGTTGATGTCGACGCTCCTCCCCCATTGGGTCGTCCACCTGAACACACACGCCACAGAGAGACAGTCAGATCCCCCCGCGTCGCATCACCCTCAGTGACCTTGACGGGCAGCTCCCTTTCGTCTGCTGGTTGGAAAGCCAGAGACATATCAGAGACACATGGCAAGCAGAAAGCACCACAACACAGACACATGAATGGAATACCCTCACCACGCTGTGCCCTCCCTCGGTTGGATCACACGTGCTTAGCTCACCGGCTCCTTCGTCGGCCGCTCCGGCCGCTCCGGCCGCTGCGGCGGCCTCGCCCTCCTCCTCGCTCTCCCTCTCTTGTTGGGGTTGCTGAAATGTGTTGAGCAAGGAGGCATCCACTCGGCTGGGGATGCTGAGATCCTCCGCCAGGTTGTTGCGGTTGTCGATCCCATCGCGGAGCGCCTTGAGCATCTCGTCCCATGTGTCCCCCGCGGGCACGACCGCACCGCCGCTGCGGACGCGACCCCCCTGCCAGATCCCCACCAAGAATCTGCTCCGCCGCTCCGACCAGGAGATGCCGACAGTCACTGGGTCGCACTGCTGCCTGAGGTGGTCAAGGAGCAGGTGGGCCTTGGTGGTGGCGCTGGTGTTGGCGGCGCTGCCTGGCATGGCGACAGGACAAGGGGTGTGACCAACAGAACACCAACAACACAAGCCATCCAGTCAGTGTGTACGCGTGTGGTGCCCATAAAATAGTGTTTCGTACAGAAACGGCTGAGCTTGTTTCGGCCCTTTATCCTGTGAGTGCCCTTGCTGCCGTCCCTGACGCCCCGGGCGCGGCCGCCACCACCGTCCGCTGGGCCTCGTCGTCCTCGTCGTCGTTGAAGGAATCCGGAGGCACGTGCGCAAACTGAACACCTACACACACACAGAGAGAGAGAGGCAGATACAGGGCCATGTGTATGTGTGGTCACTGTGTTCTGTGTGGTGTGTACCTGGTGCGTATTCGAGGAATCCGAATGACGACGCACTGCCGATGATGAGGCGGTCGCCGTCGATGACGTGGTCGGGGCGGTCAGGGTGGGCGCGGCAGGCAGCGTGGAGTGCCTCATACGTATCCACTGAAACACACAACACACAGGCGCACACAAATACGTGCCAGTGATTCATACCACTGGTCTGTCTCTGTCTGTCTGTCAGTCAGTCAGTCTGTCTCTGTCTGTCTGTCAGTCAGTCTGTCTGTGGTCTGTGGTCTCTGCTTACGATCGGGGAACTGACGTGCGCCAGCCGCCGCTGCAGTAGCAGGGCCGAAACCAGGTGCAGGAGCCATGAATGGCATCCCCAAACTCCGCCCTCAGATCGGGCCACAGCGGCGATGGCAGCGGCCGCACCGGGTGAGGGGGGGACGTAGCCCAGCTGCCCGTCAACCCCAGCGTGGCCTTCAAGTTGAGCGGCGGCAACAGCAGCAATGGCAGCAGCCTCGCCAGGGGAGGGAGGCGCGGCAGCAGCAGCCGCAGCGGCTGGCTGGGCGTTGTTCTGGTTGCCTCCTGCAATGATATACACACACACCCACAAGGGACGACATGATAGATGGCATAGCGTCCTTTTTTTTCGTCAGGTTCTGACCTCCGAGCCGTGACGCCATTGTGCCGCCTTGCGGCGGCGTCTTGGTTCCAGCGGCCCTAAGTGGACGTTGGAGGGCGTGGCAGTGCAGAGAAGGCTCGTCAAGGTCACCCAAGAGAAGGAGACACGGATGTTGGAGCTTTATACGAGTCGTCCAAATATAAAATGTACGCAGCGATTGTCCACCGCGCCTCACCTCCATGGCCGTCTCGCACTGGCACCAACAGACAGACGTGTGCATCTATCTCTTCGGCTGAGCACCTTCCTGGGCTCCGACGTCGTTGAGGTTTCCTGTGCCCGGGAAAAACTCGCCGTCATACTTGTGGAAAGACACAGTCATTACCCTAGAAAGAGAGAGGAACCGCATACATGTGTCTCACCATGTCTTTGTATCGGTGAGTCTGTATGGTCACCTTGGTGTCGTCAAGAATGCCTCCTCAACACCATCCCCGTGATGAATATCCATGTCCACATACATGACGCGAGCGTGGTACTTCAGCAGCTCCAAGATGGCCAGCACGATGTCCTGAACCAACCAACCAGCCGACCAAACACAAATGCGTGTGTGGTCGTCGTGATCCCCACGTATGTGTGCGTACGACGTACGTTGATGTAGCAGGGCACATCTATCGCCAGCACCAGCGAGGCGGACGAAATCGACGGCTCAGTGACCTGCCACCAACACACAGACAAAACGATCGGCACCGCACATGATGATGCTTCGATGTGATCAGTGAGCCGAAGCTGACGTTTCTTCCGCTTGCTCTTAGGCTTCTTGGTGATGGGCTTCTTGACTTTGGTCTCCGCCTTCGGCATGGGGGCGACTGCACGCACACCAAGACAGGAATTAGCGTGATTGAAGTAGTGCTTCCGGCCTGTACCGTGGATCGGGATCTCATCTTCATCCCCCTCCTCTTCAACGTCGCAGCTATTGTAGCTGGGGTTCGGGTTGTTTTCGCAGTAGAACTGCTTGTTTTTGTACTTGCTCACGAAGTACATGTAGCTGGGAAGCTTGCGCCACTTGTTCACGGTCGGGCCCCTTTGGAAGCCGGCCGTGCCCTCCATCTCGCGATTGAGCCGAGACTTCTTGCCTTCCTTGTCTCCCTGACCGTCTCTTGCGCTTGCCCTCGCTGGCACCCAACCCCACGCCACCCATGCCACCCCCTCCGGCTGCTGCTGCTGCAGCACATGCCGCCTTGGCCTTGGCCTTGGCTCTGGCGCGTCTTTTGCGCCGCTCGTCACCGGGGTGGTTAGAGAGGTGAGGGGGCTGCTGGGGAATCCGGGAGGGGCATCGTCGTTGTCTTCGATCACCATGGGGTCATCCGGCTCGTTGACCCGCTGCGCCTCACGCTTGGCGCCTGCCATCGCCCGCACCGCCTCCTGAGACTCGGCCTCGAATATCACAATAGCCCCCTGAGTGGCAGGCAACACCCACAGGAGGAGAACACATACACAGATTAAGTATGTGTGCATAGATGTGTGTGTGTGTGTGTGTGTGCATAGAATCTGTCTGTCTGTCTGTCTTGTCCTAGTTGCCTACCGACAGGTAGTGGTCCAGGTCATGCTGAGAGGCCTCCCCCACTTGTGTGATGCGGGCGGCGAGCTCTGCGGCGGTCACGAGGCGGTCGTCCGGGCGGGTGCGGATCGAGTCCAGGTCAGCCCAGAAACCACGCTGCATGCAGGATACAAGGCAATTAAGGAGCGAGGAGGAGAGAGCAGTGAACGAACATGAGTCTTTGACGTTCTTTCTGTCTTGTAGCTCTCTTCGTTCGTTTCGCTCCCTCCCTCCCTCTCTGTGTACGTACCTCGAGTGGCCGTCGGGGAGGAGGCGTGGCATCTCCTGAAAGATGATGCCCCTCACCCGCGGCCCCAACCCGTTGAGCGTCTGCAGCCGCTGTGCGACGTCCTCGCCACGCACCTGTACATACGCAGATACACAACACCACGAGACACAGATGGATGGTCACAGGTGAATGGGTGGGTGGGTGTATAGGTGCGATGTGCTGCGCTTCATTCTCCCCAGATCACTCACCTCGGCAAACAACATTGCCCGCGACGTCCGAGAGTGGCGATTGATCCACTCATGCATTTCCAGGTTGTGCATGTCCTCGTAGTACCCTCTCTTCAGCGGGCCCACCCGTGGGGCAGCGCTGGACTGCCGTCCTCTCACGGCGGCAGCAGGGATTGAATGGCGTACATGCCACATCGGCTGTCGTACCACGGCCTGCCCTCGTGCGGTACATATCAACGGCAGCGGACTCGTGACGTCACGCGCCGGCTCAAATACGATAAGCAACCAAGCGTATCTTCAGAAGTGATATCTTCTCACTCATGTGAGCACCTCGTAGTCCACTTAGGCCGTTGGAGGGCGTGGCAGTGCAGTCCACTTAGGGCCGCGCCAAGAGAAGGTCACCCAAGAGAAGGAAGCACGGATGTACGAGTCGTCCAAATACAAAATGTACGCAGCGATTGTCCAACGACGGCTGGTTGGACGGGTGGTCAGACGGCGTTCCAGGGCGGATGTGGATGCCCTCCGCACCCAACGCTTCCTGCAGCCACATACACACACACAATCACCAGACATTCCTGACATCAATCCCTCGCTCCGTCCCTCCCCAGTTCGCACCTTGACCCTTTGCCTGCCGTATGGATGTATGTGGTCCGGATACTCGCCGATGACGGACACGAGCTTCGCCAAAGCCGTCTCTCGCTGCTCGGAAGCGATCCAGCGATGTGGACACGCGGTCTCCTCGTCTCCCCCGTGTGGTGGGGGGCCGTCGCTCCTCGCCAGTGCCACTCTGAGTCACCTGATGAAGAGGGCAGGCAACACAACACAACACAACACAACACGCACCCAACACCATCGATATGTACCAGTAGTCGTGTGGTTCCTCTCACCTCTGCCACTGCTGCCGGTGGCGACGGTGCAGCCCCTGGCTGCTCGGTCCCTGTGTCCCGCCCCTCACCTGACGTACCCTGACAACACCACACCACACCACAACACAACACAACACATCACATCACACGCACAAATGGACACCCCTCTACCTCCCTCCCCCCCTCCTCTCACCTGCAGGCTTGCTGTGTTCTCCTCTGGTGCTATCTTCCCACCCTCGCCATCCCTCCCCCCCCGCCTCCACCTCGGTCGCCCTCACCCTCAGTCCCCACCTCGGCGGCCGCGCGATGCTCACCCTTCTCAGCTGGTCTGGGCGGTGCTGGTGGGTGTGTGCCGCCCTCGCCCTGCCCCTCGCCGCCTGTGCACAAACGAAGCAAACGAACAAACAAAGCAAGTGAGTGTTGGTGTGGGAGGCACGCACGTGCATTGGACCCACCCGTCGGTTCCCTATCGACGCCCCTCTCGAGCGTATCAACCCAATTCTGAGGACAGGAATGCACAAACACATACGCATCCGTCTGCACAACCAACCTCCCACCCACTCACGCACCTGCACCCTGTCGTTCAGTCGCTGCACCCGGGCTCCCTCCCTCCCCAGCATCTGCGAAAGCTGCTCGGTCTCTGCCACTGTCGAAAGCCGTGAGATGTTGCCTTCGATGAGGGCCAAGAGGTTCTCCCGCATCACCCTCGCGGCGCTCGCAGACACGTGGGCTGTCTGGTTCTCATGAGCTTTCTGCTGAAACCTTACCGTGAAGCAGGGAAATGAAGCCCAGGAAAACACAGGACCTTGAGCAGAAGAAGGGGCGTCGGAATGCAAAACGCGGCTGCCTGTGAAAAAAGTCAGAAAAAAGTGCCCAAACGAACTCGGATGCGTCTGTGTGTCTGCCACGCGTCTTCTCGACAAGGCGATGGGCAGCTGTATTTTCGGCTGCACCGCCGTCTTCTATCGAATCTGCATCGCCATGGCGATTGAACAGACAGACAGACAGACAGAGAGACAGAAACATTCCGTGGTGCAAGGCGTCCTTCTCTTTAGTACAGTACAACTTGCTCTGCGTCTGAATATTCCATGGGTGAGCATTGTTTGGTCGGGTTTCTCATGGGGTCCGTGGGTGCCGCTCCCTTGATCAGGACCAGCGGCTCCTGGCCTGCCACGCAGCCTCGAGCAGATGCATTCACCAGCGCCAGTATCTCAAGGCCCATGCGACGGCCTTCCCTTGGGGGCACAGGCTGCAGGCGAATGCGGTACGTAGCTGGAGGAGCCGGTGGCTTCGCTCGCGGCGGTACCATGGTGGTCAGTCACGTGACGGGATGGCTGTCGAACCGCTAGGGAAATGGACGCGAGGAAACACCGACCTGGACAGGAAAAAGGGCGCCGGAAAGGTCAAAAAGAGGCTTTCTGATTGTGGAACAGAAAAAAACGCAAAAAAAGAGACGGCTCGTCTCCTTTCTCGACACCTCCGAGCTTCGCTGGAGAGATCAAAAAAGGCCGCGTACGCAGGTCACTACCCACCACCTCTCGATGTCTTTATCTGCGAGCTTGCGACACACGGCACCTAATCATTCCCCCCGAACCCGCTATCGCGACACACGGCATTTAGTCAAGAATGTGCCTCCGGAAAATATCCAGGAAAAGAAAGCTCGCAGACTTTTCCGAGCGCATTGGGAGATCGTGGCCAGTAGACCGCCTCGATATTTGTTCTAGCCGCCTCGATACTTGTTCTTGTGCTATGGCTGAGAGTGCATCTGCATCAGCGGACTCTGCACAAGCGTCTGAGAAGCACGAGGGAAACAATGAGTCATCAGGCGCGCCAAGGAGGGAGGGCGACGGCGTGCCAGTGCGGTTTGTGGTGGTGCACGACGCCCAAGGCGAGAGCAGGAGAGGTGCGTGGTGAACGAGAAGAAGGGGTACGAATCGAACGATGATCAGTGACATTTGCCTGTTGCCTGCGTGTCAGATGCGACAGTGTGTCTGTCATCTACCATCTCCCAGGTGACGCAGGACCACCTGCAGGACTTCCTGGAACAAGGTGGCGCATTCACGAGAAAGATCCATCCACAAACGAGAGGAACACGCACATTCAGTTGTGTGTGTCAATTGGTTCATTCAATCAGGTTGTTCTGTTCGCCTCTTCCTGCACGGCCGGCCGCTTGAGAACCACCAGCCGCTCTCTCACTACCTCCCCTCGACCTCACCCATGCCGACCACAGAGGCAGAGACATCCTCCACAGACACCATCCGGCAACGCACAACAACAAGGGCAGAGCAGCCGCCATCGGCCGCGAGTGACGATGGTACAGGTGCCGCGTGTGAGCCACCACCACCCCCCCAGCAACAGCCGCAGGTGGTCAACATCCACGTGTCGGTGACGCGTCGGACGGTGGCGTCGGGTGACGGGTCGACCGAGCTGCCGCCCGAGGAGGAGGACTTCTGGTCGTATTTGCTGTACGGCTGTGTGGGGGTGATACTCGCCGTCGCGTGGGACTGGAAGTGGAAGCACCCCAGCCACTTCGACTCCTTCTCATCGCTCTGCGTGTACGTCTTCACGGCCATATGGGGGTACATGGTGCTGTCGACCGTGTCGCGTGTGTGTGGCGGGCTGGGCTGTGCGCTGCTGAGGGCCGTGAGGGGGGAGAGGCGGACAGAGGCTCAAGGAGAGGCAGAGGCGCAGACGCAGACAGCAGGAGAGGGGGCGGTTGACGCTGCTGCTGATGGGGGTGAAGGGGAACGGACAGCAGCGGGTGACTGACTCAACACCTGTGGGTGGGTGGTCGATGTGGTGTGTGTGTTGCTGCCAGCTGCGTGCCTGGGGGGCGGCATCTTCTGCGTCAGAGTGATGGCTGCGGATTGACCTGCTTCCACGCCTCTGATGTTGAGGTACTGTCCCTCAAGGCAGGCTAGCTGGCGGGACTGCTCGTGTTCCTTTATGGGAGTGACTGTGTATAGGTGGGACGCTCTCTGAGTGGTTTTTGCTTTCATTGTGACACAGAGCAGGTGATGCATCTTTGTGCACAAACAGACAGGCTGATCGTGTGAGTGCCTTCCCTTTTCCATGACGCACTGTTGTTGGTACATGTTGCTGCCACGGTTCGGGCCTTCTTTTGTTCTCCAGTTCCCTCATCTTCACTTTGCGGCATCGACGAGACGATTGCCGCAGCAAAGAAGAGGGCGCAGGGGCGGTAAAAGGAGGCACGAACCATGCAGAGGAATCACACACACCGAAACCTTTTGATTGACGATATATCCACGCGAATGTGTCCATGTATCCATCCATCCAGCACACCCCCATCTCAGCTCAGTTCAGTTCACATGCCGAGACACAGTGTGTGCGAGTCAGCAGTGGCCAGGAACTTGGCATGGATAAAGGACAGGCTGCTGACCACCAGCGGCTCATAGATGGCCCGCTCACCGTGCCCGCTCGCCCTCCCCTGCACCCGCGACGCATCCCCCACACCCAATGGCATCCCCAATGCACCCACAGGCTGCACGCCACACACATCCAAACACCCACGATGCATGCCTATGTCTCTCTCTGTCTTTCTCTGTCTCGCGTGTAGACCTTGTCTTTGCTGGCGGTCGCGTAGAGCTTTGGCAGCAGCGGCGAGCCGGGTCTGAGGAACCCCAGCTGGCCCCACTCATTGGCGCCGCATGCAAAGATCTGCCCCATCTCGTTGAGGAAGAGCGAGTGGGCCGACGCAGCCACCACCTGCGTCATGCTCTCCGTCACGGCAAAGGGCAGCAGCACCGGCACTAACCGGCTTTCTGACGACCGGCCGAGACCCAGCTGGCCCTGCGAGTTGGCACCGAACCCATAAGTGCGTGTGGGCGCCTTGGACACCCCTGGGGGAGAGGGGGGGAGGGGGCTGTCGCCTTCTGGAGCAAGGCCGAATGGGGAGGCGGGCGATGGCGGCTGGGGTGAGGGTGATGTTGGGCGGATAACGACGAGAGAGTGGTGGGAGCCCCCGGCCATCGACACCTGCATACATACATACATACATGCTTGTGGGTGTCTGGCAGCGATGTGTCTATGTCTCTTGTTGGTTACCGACCGGTGTCCCGCGGATTTTGTCGATTCGTTGAGGGGTGCTTTGGCTCAGCACCTTGCCCAGGCCCAGCTGGCCGGACGAACCAAGGCCAAACGAGTATACTGCACACACAAGACACACAAGAAAGACCCACCTATGTGTATCACACTCAGAAGTCCATCTCTCTATCTGTGTGTCTGATGCACTCACTATTGCCGCTGGTGCATGCGATTAGAGTGTGGTCGTCGCCCGCCGCCACGAGACATGCCGTCTCCCCCTCCCCTGTCAACACCTCAATACGCGTAGGAATCCACCGATTGTCAAAATCACCCAAACCTACACACACACACACACACACACAGACATGCGCCTCCCCACAGCTAACACAGTCCGCGAAAAAGCCGTACCCAGCTGTCCGTTCTTGCCGTCCCCCATGGTATAGACAAACCCCTGATCAGTGCACAGCACGCTATGCCTCGCCCCAGCGGCGATCTGCCTTATGGGCACCCCCCTGCTCAGCGGCACAGCAGTGGGCAGCGCCTCAACCACGTCCGCACCCAGACCTAGCGCGCCCTTGGGTGATGTGCCGAATGAGAGCAGCAGCCCCTCGGCCGTCAGGGCGAGGGTGTGGCTGTTTACGGGGGAGGGGCCGCAGGCTATCTGCACGATGGTGTAGTCCCGCAGAAGCTTGATGCGCATGGGCTCGGATGAGCCGCGCTGGTCCCTCCGCAGACCCAGCTGCAACCCACTGCACACACATGGTTGGGTGAATGGGGGTTCATGAAGGTGGGAGGGGTGAAGGTACCGATTTGTTCCGAATGCATAGACTCTCCCGTCGGTTGTGACGGCGAAGGACGTGCATCCGCCGGCAGCGACGCCGAGCAGCGAGTGGCGGCGCAGGTCGGTGACGGATACGACCACCGAGGCGTCCACCATCCGCTGGGTCACACCCAGCTGCCCGCGAGAACTCTCACCGAAGGCAAATACCTACAGCACACAGAGCATACCCTCTTGACCACACACCATCCTGCCTCAGTCAGCGTCGCTTACTGACCACATCGTCGAGTCTTTCTTCTGCCTGTTTGGCGGCCATCTGCTTGGCGGCGGCCTCCATGGTGCCCCACCCCCTCACAGGCGCCGGTGGGGGCGGCACACCCGCACCCAAAGCCACGCTGCCCCTCCGACTGCGGACACCCTCATAGGTGGCGAACTGGCGGGCCAGCAGGCCGGTGACGCCCCTTGATGGGGGAGAGGACACACTCGGTGTGCCTTCTTCGATCTGGGACAGCGCCATTGGGGAACGGTCGTGCACATAGGCATCGCCCCCTCCCCCTCCGCCGCCCCATGCGGAGAGGATGTTGCGCAGGAAGTGTTGGGTGCTGGGTGTGGTGGGTGGGAGGGGGAGAGGGGGCGGGCGCAGCTGCTGTTGTTTGGTGACTCGTTCGGCGATGTGTCTAAAGATGCCCCCCTTCGTCGCCTGTGAATTGACGTTGGGCGTGTAGAGCTGGGCAAGGGAGCGTCGGTGTTTCCTCGCCTGCACATACGCCCGCAGACGCCTGCAAAGCAATATTGTGTGTGTGACATACATATCACGCTCATGTGTCCAGGTATGTGTCTGTACGTGTGAGGTCAATACACACACCTGATTCCGCGTCTTTGGTCGTTCATGAGGCAGAAGTGAAGGGCTATCTGCATCTGGGGACCGCGGAACTCTGATGGATGACATACATTGATCGCGATGACCGGAGAGGAGAGAGAGAAAAGAATGGAATGGAAAGGGGCAAGGGAGGGAGGCGCATGTGCACATACATGTGTATCGCACCTGCTTCGTCGACAGCACGGTCGACTAGTTTGTGCACCATCTGCTGGATGTCAGAGTAAACCTCAAACTGTATCCTCACCTCCTACGCACACACAGCGACAGAAAGTGGTTGTGTCTCTCTCTCTGCCTTTCCTTTCCCATTCATTGTACCTACCTTTTCTCTCTCCCGTTTTTGCTTCCTGACGGCCCGCATGACGAGCGACGCCGCCAGCCGCCAGGCAGCCGTGGCCGCGGGCGAGGGGTCGATGATCGCACTCGCCCCGCCGCTCGCACCCATCTGCTTCCTCACAGCCTCGACGAGGTTCCTGATGTTCTGGCCCTTGTGTATGAGGGTGTTGATGAGGTGCCACTCGTAGTCGGCCGTGGAGGTGTTGTCCCAGATCTGGCCCAGCACTCGTTTCTGCGGCGTGCGCATCGTTGCGGGGCTCAGACGAATGGCCTCGTTCGTTAGCTGCAACAGTTCCTGCAGACATGCACAGGGCCACAGAGATGAAGGTGCGTCTCCATTTCTGCGGCATATATACATCTGTGCGTACAGTACCTGCCTGTGATATTCCTCGTAAACCTTCTGCCGATAGCTCACCACCAGCATCAGCAGCACAGCCACCAGAGCGAGGCCCAGTGAGGATGGCTGTGGGTGGATGTACAGCGTGTCGACGAGCACACAGGGCGCCATTACAAACACCACACGCACCGGCCACGAAGAGGGCGGACTCGCTCGGTCAAACAGCACCGCGGCGTTCGCCCACGGCAGAGCAGTGAGTGAGAGAGAGAAGAGGCCCACCAGCAGGCCAATCAGCACCCCCCTCCCCACAGATGAGGGGCCCAGCTGGTCTAGAAGCCCCTCTGCGCCCCTCTCTCCTCTCACACGATCCTGCCTCGTCCAGAAGGCGACCAGTGGCAAGCCATAGAGGAAGTCGGAAAGGAAGTGGAGGTCTCGTGTGCCCTTCCTGCCCAGAGTGTGGAGCGCCGACTCATAGAAACAGGTGCTGAAGAGGATCTCGATGGACCGCTGCATCGGCTCGGGAAAGCCAGAGAAACGGTACTTTGGTGGAAGGGACGACCTCACGTCAGGCAGCCGCTCGCCCGTCCTCTCATATGTCTCTTTCTCATCAACAATGTCATCCCCCTGCTCATCATCATCGCTGCCGTCCTCTCCTTCTTTCTTGGCCCAGGCCTCTTGTTTCGCATACGGATGGAAGAGCCTGTCAGGAAGGGGAGGCGGGGGAAGCTTGATGGCCTTGTTGACCTTCATCAGCCGGTGCTTGACGTAGTAATTGCGCACCAGCAGCAGCACCCGGCTCACCACCACCAGTATACACGCCTGCATGAAGCTCACCGACAGAAAGGCGGCCTGGCCCCGCTGCCACTCGTGTGAGAGAGACGCCGTGGCAGCCTTTGGCCGCTCCTCGTCTGGATACACGTAGATTGGCGCCCCGGGGGGTCCTGTGGTAGTCGCCACCTGCTCCACTTGAGCACTAAGCTGCGGCCCTTTGCCGCGACTGATCATCTCCTTGACAAGCTCGTCACTCGCCAGACACATGACCACCATGACAGTGATGCCCACGAGAAGCAGCGTGTGTCTCGACTGGTTCGTTCGGCGAAACACGATTCGGGTCAAGATCGCGCCCAGGGGCAGCTCCAGGCAGTGCAGGGCAACATATTGGGTCACTGTGAGAGCCGGCAGGGCGAACAAGGACAGAATCTCGGCTGTCACGCCGATGATGGCGAATAGAGGCAGGTGGAAGATCTTGAAGGGCAGGGCCTTCTTGTCTCGGCCTATGTACAGCCGCGCAATCGCGTCAAGCACCACAAACCACGGCCATATGAGCAGAGTGAAGACGAACCGGTCCACAGGAGACGACCCCTGGACGGCCGCAAACGCCGTGATGAAGACAAGCGCCACTACGAGCATTGCATTTGAGGCAATAGCCGTCAGCTTTGGGCAGGTGAGAATGCTGAACACATGAGAAAATGCCTTCAAAAAGGGCAGGGACATCCCGATAAGCAGCAGAAACACGGCGTCGTCGTATCCACAGGCCTTCTGTAGCACCTTGAAGAACACCGCGCGACTGAAGCCACTTGCGAAGACCTCCAATAGGAGGATGGACAGATACCGCGACTCGCCGGCCTGCACCTCTGGTAGGAAGGGCAGGTATTTCCGCAGCCCCTTTCGCCGCCGCTTCCTTGAGAGCTCCTCTTCTATTTCCTCCTCTGCACGGTCAGCCTGTATCACACAGACACAGAGAAGCTGGATCCACATACAAGCTATGGTTGTATGCTCTCTCTCTCTCTGTGAACCTTAAAGATCGAGAAAACTATGTTCGCTGCTGCGATCTGCCGCTCTGAGCGAAGCACGCCCGGACGGAAGGTCTGGCGCCTGAACGTCTGGAACGGACGGAAAGACATCGCGGCAGATGATCGGGGAAAGCGGCTGACGCGCAAAGTGGGTGTGCTGACGGCCTCACACGCAAAGCTCACACGCAAACGAACGAAAGATCTGCCAGCCGCATTCGATGTTCAGAAGTTCGCCCCCACGAGACCCCCAGTCTCAGTCTCTGTTTCGAAAACACTCCTGCTTTCTCAGATGGAGGACACCCCTGCCTCCCAACGTAACATCCGCAGCACGCCCATTCTGCAAGTCACCACTTCCGAATCCGCTCCCTCCGATGCCCCCGCTGTCTTCACCTCCCCAACCCACGCGCTATCCCAGCCGGCGCCTCAGCCAGCTGCCACTGCAGAGCCAGAAGGGCTCCCGGGCAGGGCAGACAGCAGCCGGAGATGGCTGAGACCGACGCCGTTAGATGAGGTTGGAGGGGCGTCTGAGAGAGGCCACAGCTTGTGGGGGCGGGCGAGGGAGCTGGTGAGGAGAAGGGTTTTGCCCGAGTCGCCGACGGCAACAGGGTACATATGTACTGGGAGAGCAGCGTGGTCGATGGATGGGCTCATGATCCCTGAGTGTATCGATGGATGTGTGCAGGTCTGAGACCCTTGTCCGCTCGCTTGTCGGCGAGACAGCCCAGGGCAAATCGATGATGCGCTGGGGCTTCCGAGGGTGGGGGACCAGCCAATCGATATGCGCAGCTTCAATCTCCTTGCCTCTTCTGACTGTCTGTCTGTCTGTCTGCAGCATATTCCACCGCCTGTCTCTGTTCGCCGCCAGCCCAATTTCCCCCGACCCACTCAACAGGAAAGAGGTGTGGCGGAGCTCTGGACAAACCATGCACTTTGCCACTCTCGAGTTCCGCGACGCTGACCTAGAGGTGGGTGGGACAAAATAGCTCGTATGACAGACACATCAAGGTGTTGCACTCCCTTGTTGCAGAGGCGGTTTCGGGAGACGTATGTGAAGCTGAGCAAGCGAACAGTGGAAATCGCACTGTGGGGGTCGACCATATTTGGTAACTTGGTAGCACACACGTGTACGTGTCTCCGCCTGCATGGTGGGTGGATGGGCACCTTGATGGGATTGACTCAGGTGTACTGGCGTGTCCGGCTGCCAACGCACAAGTGCGGTCGATGGGCATGGAGAGCGACTATGCCCATGGCAGGTTCGGCTTCCCCATAATGGTACGCTCGTGGCTGGCTGGCTGCACAAAGTAAAGCACCATCATTCGTGGGGAAAAAGGATGTGTGTGTGATTGAATGGATGTGATGTACCTATCAGACTTTCAGCGTCCCCGTGACGGGGGCTGCTCTTCTCCTCTTCTACACTGCCAATCGTACATGTGGAACGCGGCTCGACCAGACCACGTCTCTCCACGTGTCTACGTGTGTGTGTCAGGTTGGTTTCTTCGTCACCTGCAGACGGTAATGGCCGCAACCATATTTCTCTCCGTGTCAGTATGTCACACACACACAGGCAGACAGGCAGGCAGGCAGGCAGAGAGAGGAACATCATGTCTGTCTGTCTGTCTGTCTGGTACAGAGTGCGCATGGCTGTAAGCCCAGAAATCCCCGGGGTGCCCTTTCTTGCGGTACATGTGCTCACAGCTGACGCCCACACACAAATACTCACGGTGTGTCTAAATATGTGTGTGTGTGTGTGTGTGTGCCTGCCACGCACGCACAGAGCAAGCAGCCAGGGCAGGACTTCAGGCGGATGTACAGCTTCGTCATCATATCATCACTTTTCTTCCGGTGAGTGAGTGAGGTCAGCCAGCGGACATATGCTGCACGGTGATTCAATGAGCGAGCGGCCGTGTCTGTTCGTGCCCGTCTCGGACATGCAGGCTTAGGTTCGTGAATATGACATTCCTGATGGCGTGGATGCTCTTCCTCGACGCCGTCGTGGTGCAGACAATGGACGAGAGCGCCATGGACAAAGTGGTCAGTCGTCGACTTGTCCACCCATCCGTCAATCCATCAAGTGATTGTTCATGTGCTGATCAGACTTCCCTCGGTGGAGCCTTTCTTGTGGCGGTGTTGGCATACTCGCAGGAAATCTACGCACGGCAGAGCTTCATCTTCACCGAATCGGTTAGCCAAGCCACTCACTGGATGCGATGCAGTCGGCCCGCCATTGATAGCGTGGCGTTGTGTCTGTCTGTCTGTGTTGTGATCGATCGATCAACCGACTGCAGATAACCAAGGAGCAGGAACGGTCGGAGTTTCTGCTATCCAACATCCTGCCGGAACACGTGCTGAGAAAGCTCAGTGCCAGCGTCAACATGGGGGCCAGGTCAGTCACCACCACCCACACACAGAGAGACATACACAGAGAGACACACCTCGATGCCCTTCCTTGTCATGGGTACTCACGCAGGCTGAATATGGCTGAGGCGTTTTTTGAGGTGTTGGTGCTGTTTTCCGGTGAGCGATCACTTTCACTTGTCCATATATGGCGTGAATGTCTCTGTGCCGCTCGCGCACAGATATTGTGGGTTTCACCGAGATGTCGTCTCGCGTGCCGCCCATGAAGTGAGACTGTCACTGGGATGAATGTATCAGGTGCTCATGTGCTTGGATGGACGGACGGATGTTTGCAGGTTGGTCGCTCTGCTGAACAGCATCTTCGTGCTGCTCGACCGATGCGCAGTCGAGAACAACCTCGAGAAGATTAAGACAATTGGCGATGGTCGGCAGATGCCAGATGGATCAATCAACGGCCGGCATGAATGCCTGGATGGAATGCATTGGATGGATGAATGTGTGCAGCGTACATGGCCACTGGCGGCGTGCCGATCCCCTCCGACACCCACGCGCGAGACTGCTGCAGGATGGGCCTGCAGATGATCAGACACATGAAACGGTTCAAGGACGACAGAGGCGAGCCTATTCGCATCAGAGTGGGCGTCCACAGCGGCCGGTGCTCCATCCACGAAACATCGAGACACGCACCACTGCATTCCTGTGTGTGTGTCTGCGCGTGTTGTGCGTTCAGGTACGTGTGTGGCTGGCGTGATAGGGACGTCGAAGTTCTCGTATGACGTGTGGGGGGACGCTGTCAACACGGCTGCAAGGATGGAAGTAAGGACACACGCCTGCCAGAGAGAGACATGACAAAGACCCATGCACATGTGTGTTTGTGTGTGATCAGTCTCACGGGGAGCCCAACAGAGTGCACATCTCGCTACAGACATACCAATACATACACGTATCTAGCACGCAGACACACCAAACTTTCACACACAGATTAGTGCTGCTTGTCACTCGTGTCTCTCTGTGTGTGTCCTCTGTGTGTTCAGCATGAGTTCCTGTGCGAAGACCGTGGCGAGATCGAAGTGAAGGGCAAGGGCAAGATGAGGACATTCTTCCTCGTCAGCGAGACACACAGAAGCATCTCCATGGACAGACGCACATCCAGAGGCTCAACCAGACAACCACCCCAGGCAACGAACCTCATACCAGACAGAATACACCCTCCACTTGCCGTTTGTGTGTGTGCAGGTGTTGGTAGAGACGCCTGGCACGTCGGCGCGTCGGATTACGGTGTCGTTGGACCAGGCGTTCAACGAGGGCGAGGCAGATGTAGAGGGGGCTGATGACGCCGACGACGAGGCCAGCAGAGACGAGTGAGTGAGGCAATCAACATGAGATGATGGCATATCGGAGAGATGGATGGATGGGATGGCTGATGCGAGCACGGCCATGAGGTGGGTGGAAGGGGATGTGATTGATGGATGCATGGGATGGGTTTCGAGCGCCTTTCGTACATGGATCAGTCAGCATATGCCTTCAGGGATGATCCGGAGCAATAAATTAAGTTCGCGTAACTGAGTCCATCCTCACTGCCACTCACTGTCGAACCGCCCCCCTCAGTCCATCCATCCATCCATCCATGCAGACTACTGCACCACCCACTCCACCCCCTCTCACAAATAAAACACCCTCATACCATACACGCAGGTGTGGTGGTGACAAGAATAGACCAGCATTCAGGGAAGAATGCATCCACCCCTCATAGTGAGTCGGTCGCTCGATGTGTGTGGAAAGAGACCATCCATCCAGATGTGGATCTCGCAATCGGTGTGGAAAAAGGGGCGTCGAAGTATCGACCAGCCTCGTGGCGCGTCCTGGCCTTGGCACGCGCGTGGTGACGACTTCTTTCCCGTGGCAATGTCCACTGGAAAGAAGGCGTCAACACACGCTGTGCAAGGCAAGGAAATACCACAACTCACTCACGGCAAAGAACATACCCACCACCACCATCAGTCGCTGTGTCACACAAGACAGTCACATTGCCTGGCAGGCCCCACTGGGCTACTCACTGCATTCTGTCCCACCGATGCACGGAATGAACACAAGCGATGCGACTCGCTTGCCTGCAAACGGTGCATTGATGATGACCAGAGCAGTGAGCGCCGAGGTAAGTGCCTGCGTCATTACAATGCAAGTGGAAGGGCGGTATCTATGTATACATGCAGGCAAACAGGCCGACGAACAGACTCTCCCTTGTGTGGTCTATCGCGTCCGCCTCTCTAGTACTAGAGACATTCCCCTGCCTCAACACGCCACCCATGGCTCCTTTTCGCGGCAATCGTGTTCAATTGCAACAAAAGGGAGTTGGTGATGGCGCGTCAGACAAGGAAATGCCTCCACGAAGAGAAACAGCCAGTGCACGCAGCACGCACCATCAAGACACGACAAAAATCCTCAGTAAGCGCTCTCTTCGCTCTCTATCTCCCTCCGACGCGAAAAATCTGTGCATCCGAAAGTGTGTCAGCTCATGCCACGTCAGGCCAGGCCAGCCGGTGACGGAAAAATGCCATTGATGGGCTCTCCTCTCCTCTCTACGACCGCTACGCTCTCATCTGTCTGCTCTCGACTGTGAGTGGCTCTAGTCGATGTACTTTGACGTGCCTGCGTGTCACACAGACACACACGAGAGGTGAGCACGGTACAGATCGTCCTCTTTCGGGCCGTGTGTGTGTGTGTGTGATGCGTTGCGTACCGGCGTACATGCCGTCGTTGATCCTGTCGACGGTATATTCCTCGCGCGGCGGCATCGCAGTGAAGTACTTGCTGTACTTGTTCAGCAGCTCCTTGTCACGCGCTGACTCACACACACAAGGGGGGATGGAGGCAGCATGATGGAGGGCACAGCCATGCAACACGTGCACAATGCGCTCGCTGCCTGTGTGCTTGCGTGCTTACGCGTGAGGTCCTTGATCTGGTAGAGCTCGTCCACCTTGTTGTACGGCCCGTTCTTGACGATCTTTGATGCCAGTGTGGGGTACACGCCACGCAGCTGGCTGTAGGTCCTGATGTTGACGTTATTGATATCGATCTTGTCAGAACCACCTGCGCACAGACAAGCGCTGAGGCGCCTTGTGTGGGTGGTGGCTCTTACCCAGATACGGGACGCCTTCGTAGTCGCGCACAGCCAGGGCCTCCCCCGCGTTGCCAGCCAGGGTCAGCAGACCCAACACAGCTGACAGGCCAGCAGTCTTGTCCAGCAGGTGCTCGCGGCGAACCTGGCACACACAGAGACAAGATGCAGACAGCATGTGTTCTCCCCCCCGCTGCTGGTGTCTCTCACCTGTCCCTCGTTGGATGCCGTGAGTGCCGTGTGGCGAAAGACAGGCTTGGTGGGAGGAGGCACGAACGCGCTCGCGGAGGCGAGGCCCAGAACGAGGCAGATCGACAACAGGGACGCCATAGCGGTGGTCGGGGAGGATAGATGGAAGGCAAAAAGACCGAAAAAGCGTCGAAGCACTCTCTGCGCGCTTGCCTTGATTCGACGGGTCTGGCTCGCATCCTGGAAGAGCAGCCACCGGGTCCTCGTGGCGTCTGCACAGCCTTTTCCTACTCACTCTGACCATCCTTGCTGCCGGGCATTCACTTGGCCTTCTTCAGTGACTCATCATCCATCGCCACCATCGCTGATCTTCCCGCCGGAGTACCACAACGACGCTCAGGAGGCCTGCTGTACCTGCCTTTCAACGCTTTATTCATCAATCTTTCCTGCTGCTGTCTGAAAATGAAGATGCCGCGGGCAAGAAGAGGAGTGACGATATCTCAGCAGCTGCAGCGTGTGGTGGCTGTTCTATTCAACGTGGTGGCTGTGGCGCTCAGTGTGTCCATCTGGGGCGGCTCGTCTGACACCTCATCGTCGCTTCTCAACGTGTCCATCTGCCAGGCTGACATCACACCCATCTACCCAGAACACCTCGGTGCGCAACCAGCCAACCACACGACCCGCCAATGTGTTCTGTCCTGCCCATTGCTGCGCCTGTGTCTGTCGGTGCTGTGCTGCTCTTTTTGCAGAGGTAGTGGCCCTGCTGCCGACATGGCGGACATTCCTCGTCCCTCTTGAGGCCGCTGCACAGATCTCCTCGGCCACTCTGCCGCAGCTGGTGCCCTCCAGCGGCCAGGCCGTCAGCCGGGTGCTCACCGGCGAGCACGACTACCCCCCTCGCCTCGTGCGGCGAATCAGCAAGTACATCCACAGGATGGAGGAACATGCCAGGAGATACGGCCTCGAAGACTACCCCGTTCTGCTGACCGAGAGGTACATCTACAACGAGGCTCGGCGTGAGGTCGTCAAGACGACGCGCGGGTACAGTTTCGCCGACTACTTTGACTTGGTGAGCGGGACGGCGTCGCGGAAGAAGCAGCGGGGCCTTGAGCAGGGCGGGGAGCAGCTGTGGCTGACGGAGCTGGTCAACATCACCACACAGTGCGAGAGGATGAGGGCGGGCAGGGAACTGGGCGAAACCACACAATGCGCACTCTGCGTGTAAGGAATCTGTGAAGACACGCACGAGGGAGGGGTGCACATACATGGTGTGCGCATGTACCTCTCTATGTGTGTAGGTATGCGGAAGACGCGCCACGTCCGAGTGTGAAGGACGCGGACTCACCGCCGGCCTTTCTGTGGGGCGTGCGGGGGTCGGTGGGCAACATCCCCATGGCCATGTGCACTGACGGATCGTTCAGGGACAGACTAGACGGTACCCACCCACCCACACACTCACTCACTGACAATCAATCAATCAATCGATGGATGCATCTGTGTGTGAATGTGTGTTCAGATCTGTCATCATATGAGTCGTTCTGCGTGCCCGAGACCGAGTCGGATGCTGACGGTCGTCGCCAGCCGCCGGTGGCCTGTGAGTGGAGTGCATTCGATGAGAGAGACCTCAGGCTCAAATGCTGGCCTGTCTGATGGCAAACAGACAGACAGACAGACGGACACAGAGGCAATCAGGCAGGCAGACAGGCAGGCAGAGAAAGAGAGAGATCTTTGTCCATGCAGGAGGGGTAATAATGTGTGTGCTGTGTGCCGAGTGGGTGCATTGGTATGATCGTGTAGGTCTTGCATGGCTTTGTGGGATGAGTGTGGTGTGTGTAGGTGTTATTTGTGCAACCTTATGCGTGCATTTTATCGTGTGCGAACGACCGACAAATGTCTCCACAATTGAGGATACCGAGACCTACACTACACTAGTCCCGTTCTAACAGCAAACCAACATTGTGTCTGCCTGCAACCACGGGGGAGTCAAAGGATGAGTTTTCGGGTTACCGAGGCACTGGCTTGCATCCACGGTGAGCTCGTTCGGATCAATGCCGCCACCGGCGGCGATCTCTGCCAGCACCTCCTGCATCAGAGGGGGGGAAAGCCGGTGCGGATGGGGGAGGGACGGGCGAGACCGGCCCGGGGGGTGCATGGGGGCGGAAGCTCGCCCCCTGGAGTTCAACGCAGTCTGCACGATGGACACGACGCTCGAGCGCCCTGTGTCAGCACTCTTTTCGTCGGAGAGAACCCCAGAGGAAGTGCTCAGGTGACCCATTTATTCTGAGACTCTTTCGTGTGTTCCCCTAGTACTCATTCATCCCATTCCCTCGTTCTTGATGGCATCAGCTTCGTGAACCATCTGCGGAAGCGGAAGTCTGTTGAGTCGCTGGAGCGTGCTGGCGATGAGGCGTGGACTTATGCGCAGCAGCGCCTGTGGGATTGGCAGAGGAGAGATGCAGATCACAGGAGGGACAAAGACTCCCGCAAGGAAGAGGGGTGAGCAGGAAAACGTCCCAGAAACACATGCACAGGCATAATCTGCTATGCAGAAGGCACAAGCAGGGGGAGAAACAAAAGGGAGATGGAGAGGAAGTCTCCCTTGCACTGAGCGGAGCGGAGGAAGCGCTCGTTCTCCAGGGTGCCAAGATATGGGAACAGCTGTCGGCTGACGCACAGAAGAATGGTACGTTCTCGTGTACGGGGTGGATTCAGAGCTGACTTGACACATGGTTGCATTTCTGATGTGGTCAGCTGACGTGGACCGGGCCCTTCTTTGTCTTGGTCGTGCGTGTCAGCTGTGTCAGCTGCTGCCACAGACACCGACAACCGCGACCACCCGCCATTCGCCGTCCCTCCCACGGCTGCATCAAAATCTGCGAGACTCGCCCTACAAGAACGCATACCCGTACCCGTGAAGAGACATCCAGCTGTGACGGTGTTTTGTCATTCCGTGCCCCTCGTGTTTCAGGCGTCCTCGCAGCACCAAGAGCCCTCCCAGGACAAGGACACGCGTCATTTCTCACCGGCCGTCACGCGGATCGAGCCAAGAGAGGACGAGGAAGGGCATGAGTGTGGCCGACGATGCAGCACACCTGCGGTTCGTGTGCCTGGCGAGATTGGCAGAGACATACAGACGGTACTCACTCCTACACCGCACAAAGGGAGCAAGTGAACGTTTTTCTTCTCTGTCTGTGTGTGTACAGGTACGGATTCTATGAGGACGCTTTGGTGTGCTTCCAAGCGTGCGACAGGGAGCAGCGGTCGATGCGGCACTCTGGCAGGAAGGGCTTCACCATGCATCCAGAGCGGGTGCATCTCGCGGTGGCAGACATACACGCACACCTCCAGAGGTAACTGACACAACAGACACCATCACACATAGCTTTGTGTAGGAGTGCGTGAGTGTGTGTCTCTCAGGCCCGAGGCAGCCGACTATTGTGCTGCACAGGCGATTGAAGTGCTGCTGCACCAGGTTTGTGGGGGGCAAAGGATATAGCACTTGCAGCTGGATAATCTCACACGTGTCCCCTTTTCGGTCAGATTCGCCTGATAGACGACAAGCTGTTCCGCATTGGCAATGAGGCGAAACGGCAACGAACAAAGGACCTCTTCGCAATGAGAAATCTCAAGGCAAGAAAAGGAGACAAGCAAAAAGAAACATACGCATTCTTTCTAATTAATGGCGTCCCTTCAGAAATTGTCTCTTCTCCGTGCATATTCCATCCGCTTTGCCGTCGCTGCGTCGCGCCGCAATGTCGCTCTTTGCCAAGACATACTCAACCAGGCACATGAAGCAGTCGACGGCTGTGACGAAAGCTGCCTCAAAATCGTCATGGCTCTCCAACGAGCATTCAGAGAGCTGCAAGTGGTGCGTGCTTGCCCTTTGACAGAAAAACAAGCAAAGTCAATGTTTGCGTGTCTGTACATGCGTACGTGTGTGTGTGTGCACAGTCATCTCTCGATCGTCCACCGCTGCTGCAGTCATCGAAGGTCACCCGTCCCAAGACGGTGCCAAAAGCTAAGCAGAGAGTCTCACGCATCGGCAGTCACGAACTGTCGAAGCTGCTCAACATTCTGCTTGCCACCAGTCCGTCGATGCAACTTCATATGGAGGCAGACGAGCAGGGACACATTGACGATGGAGAGCAGACCGAAGAAGCTGCAGCCTTGTCTTCTACCTACCCACCCACCGCTTGGCAGCACAAACCCACCAATGCACCGAGACAGCCGTTGCGAGCGGCTAAAGCGGTGCAAGAACTACTCGAGGCACCTCACACGAAGGTGAGCAAGATCTGGACGCTCTCATGTCTAATCGTTCGTGTGATCGTATCCTTTCCTTTCTTAGCAGGATGCGTCAAGACTCCCTGAGAGCGACAATCAACGAGAGTTTGGTGGTGAGTCTGCCCATGTCACGCCCCTGCCCCACTCCGAGGAGACACCATCTACCGAGTCACCCCTTCCGCCTGCGACGGTCCTGCTGGCACCTCTCATTGACAACACCCGGCCGATGACTGCAGAAACAGAGCAGCCGGCAGAGGGGTGGACGCCCAAAGCGCCTGTCGCCCTGCCACACTCACCGAAAAGCTCAACAGCGAGTCTCTTCCACCTGCCAGAGAGAGCAATGTCGGCAATGGACAACGCCTATCCAGCTGAGACAGATGAGCGCGAGACGCCCTTGGCAGCTAACAAACCCCAGATCGTCCTCTCTGGGCTCGGCCAGTCCCATTGGAGCCCTCAAGAAGCCGCCAGCGTGCCACTTCCTCTCTTCGAAGCACACAACCGCCACGACGCCGCCGCACCATACTCAAACGCGTCTCTCAGGCCGCAGTCAGCTCAGCCATCCGCCAGAGGATCGTCGCAAAGACGTGGTCGACCTCTGTCGGCTCAAGCCGCATTCGGCTCCTATCCGACCGCACCACAAGCCCCATCACGACCGGACAGGACACCGGCGCAAGAGACAGTCCAGGGAGGTCTCACGGCCTCGTCTCACATGGAGGGAGACACAGTCGTGTATGAGTTTTCCACTCCTCTGGTGCAGTCCAGAGCGACATCGCCACCCAGAGACGATCGGGAACATCGTGCTGAGACAGCAGCACAAGGGTCTTCTCTGCCTGTCATCCCTGGTGCCCAGATCCAAGTCAGGACGCGGCCCGACAAAGTGGAGTTTCGACTTGCATTCGCCGGAGGACCTTTCTCTGTCTCTCAGCCGCCCACCCAAGTGCGACCCCGAAGCACTCCGGGACCGCCTAAGCGTCCAAGCGATGCACCCGGCGTGGGCTTACGGGGCCTCCTGCGGCAGTCGCAGGGCAAGAGACCACCAGAGGAGAGCACCCCGCCGCAGAAGGCAACGCGCAAGAAGAGACAGCACAAGAGGCCGCGGGCATTGCGCATGTCTCTGCCGATCGAGCATGAGAGGATCATCGATGACTTCCTGCACAGCCTCTCACCCACATCACAAACGACAGAGAAGAGGAAGTCCCTTTCTCGTCACAAAACCCTGCCCAAGGCGGCCAGCGTGGCGGAGCGACCTCCGCAGATGACTCAGGTCGAGCAGTTCTTTCACAAGGAAAAGACTTACCTCAAGATGGGCGAGACACAGATCTCACAGCCAGAGCGGCGCGAACAAGAGCCTGTCATCTTGGCACAGCAGGAGAAGCCACCAGAAGAGGCCGTGTCTTCTCCGATCGATCAGAGCGACGCCGAGCTGGCCCGTGCGGCAACCAAGGTGCAGGCCAGTTGGCGGGCCAGGGCCGCCCGAATGACATCTGACGAGCTCAGAAGGCAGAAGGAGCAGCAGGAGCAGCAGGAGAGGGAGTCCAGGGAGAGGGAGAGACAAGAACTGGCAGCCAGCCGGGTTCAAGCGCATGTGCGGGGGCGGCGAGACCGCAAGTTGAGCGCACAGAAGAGAGAAGAGATGAGGGCGCGACGCGAAAGGGAGAACGAAGCTGCGGTCTCCGTGCAGGCCATATGGAGGGGGCACAGGGTGAGGCGCGTGTCGATCGAGAAAAAACAACATCAACAGCCGAAACCCAAAAAGAAGAAGGGAGGGATGAAGAAGCGCGGACAAGAGAAGCTGGGTTAGCGACACAGATTCGTGTGCCTTTGAAGCCTCAATTCGCGCATGTTCCTCTCCCTCAGATGAGCCGGCAGTGATCAGGGCCGCACGGAAAAAGATCGACGACTTGGCCGAGAGCACCATTGGTGCTATACTGTCCAAGCCACACCGACAGCAGCCACCACCCAAGCCCTGCCTCAAACAGTCGTCAAAGGAGTCAGTTGAAGGAGAACCAGGAAAACCCGCCCCAACGGCCCCTCACGAGCCGCCTGAGAGCACTGAAGCACCTGTCCCCGCCCCTGTACACAAGCCATCGCCCGCAAAGCCTGCTCTCAAGCGAAAGGAGGAGCCCGAGGTCGCACCAAAAGAAGAGTCAGCCACGGAGGAGTCCGAACATCTACCGCAGCCAAAGTCTTCCCTCAAGAAAAAAGCGAAAGCAAAGGCCGCGCCAGCACCATCCGAGCCAGCCCCTGTCCATGAAGAGGCAGCCGCCGAGAAGCCAGAGGAGCTGCCCCCGACCCTTTTCTGCAAGGCCGCCGCATTCCCTTCAGCAGCTAGGATGAGAGATGCGGCCACCAAGTTGCAAGCGGCGTGGCGAGGCAAGATGGTCCGCGATGACGTGAAGGAGCTGAAGAGAAGGAGACAGAAGAGAGACAAAAAGAGGAGGAGGCGGCTGGCGGCCATCATGATCCAGAAGCACTGGAGGGGCTATCGGGCTCGGAAGGCCATGGCACAGGAGAAGCTGTCTTCGGATCTGCTCCATCAAGCACGAGCGAACGCCGAGGCAGCCATTGACGACGACACTGGGGAGGCCGCCTCTGTTGTCCGCGACATCGTCGCGGCAGCCTTCACCGAGGCGGCGAAGAGCCTGCGGCAGAGCTTCGAGAAGGCACGTACAGCATCGGTAGCGGAAGCACATGCAGACGAAGAAATGAAGCCGGCTGAAGAGTCGAAGAAGGAAGAGGAGCAGGAAACCGCAAGTGGGGCCGAACAAGAGAAGGACACGCAACAGACAAATGAGGACGAGAAACGGAAAGGAGAGCTCAGAAGGGAGTGGGGCAAGCTGCCTTTTGCCCCAACGGTCGTCTGCCACATCGTGTCTGACCAATTCGAACCATCACCCGGAGAGGAAGAGAAACAATCAGCAGCTCCCACCGCGTCCCTGACCATATGCGGTTTTACTGAAGCCGGCCAAGGCGGCCGCCCAAATGAACGTGTGGACCAGTGGCAAGCCCTTGTTGACCGCCTTGCCGCACGGACGAGCTTCCCACCGAAGAGACGAGCCAGCGGTCTGCCTGGGGAGTTCAGCTGGGTGGCTGTGATTGTGAGGGTGGAGCAGACGGAAAGTACCAATGGAGGAGGGACGGAAACATACATGACAGTCATTCCATGGGACATCGCATTCAAGGTACTACAGCCAGCCCACCACGAAAGTATATGTGGATGTGAGAGTTGTGTCTCCGTGCAGATGTGGCGCCATCGCCGCGAGCAGCTGCGATACTTCATCCGCACGCAGCCTTCCTCTTCTCAACAAACCCTCTCGTGCTCGATCATCATCCCTGCAGAGGACTCCCCTCTGGTCCTCCACTGCCAGCCGCTGCCGTCGACCAGCAACGTCAAGACCACCCCGCTGCTCAAGATACTCCTGTCGTCATGCGAGGAGACGAGCCGTGCCCTCCACAGCCGTCTCCCCGACGCACTCTCGGCACTCGACGCGGCTGGTGATCAGCATATCGCAGTCACGTTCGGGACGCTGCTGCTGGTGATTGGTCAGCTTGGGTGTCTCCCTGCCTCTGACCCATCGCTGAGGCAGATGCAGTCGATTGTTGAGTTTGAGAAAGTTGTGAGCACACTGCAGCCGCCCCGCTCCCCGTCACGCAAGCCGAGACAGTGGGTGATGGTCATCGAAGACGAGAACCTGTCGGGTGCACCACGGGAAAGAGAGAACGCGCCGCCGTCACTGCAAGAGTATTCAGAGAGGTTCCTTGTGGGAACTGGAGAGGACTCCAAGGGGCCGTCTGGTGTGTCAGATCGTGTTGAGGCAGTGAAGAAAGGACAGAAGGAGGTCAGAGAGAGGTGGGAGGGGTGGGATGCAGGCAAGTGAGAGAGGGAGGTCCATATGTGTGGGTACATGTCTTGTCGACTGGTTGTATATTTGGCACGTTGCCTCTGGAAGACTGTTCATGAGTGGCGCTTACACAAACATAAATATGGCCTCATTCCACAAGAGCGTGAGTCTTTCGTCCGTCTATCGGGATACATGAGACAAGACAAGGAGACACTTTTGTACACGCACCGCAGCACCCATGACCTCCTCTCTCCCTCTATCATCCGTACGATGATGGTCCACAGCGTGTTCTCATACACACACATGACGGTGCATCGACCGACAGCACACAGAGCAGCGGCATACATTGAACGAATGCACCGACAAGAAGAATGCAGAAAAATCATACACCAAGCGCATGCGACCAAACCAAACCAAGCCACACCGATAAACGGCCACACACTGCACATGTATCCGATAGACAAAGCCGTAATGACCCATACACGAACCTGACAGCTGTGACTACAGCAGAAGATAGATCTACAGGATACGTGTTGCCTCTGAGTAGGGCTGTCGGCAGCTGCAACATGTGCACCGAACACGCACACACACACACACACACACATATATATATATATATATGTACATAGATGTGTATGTGTATATGTGTATATATACATATATATAAGTAATGCGTACGTGTGTTCGGGGCAGATTCGGTCTTCTCGTGGCATGGGGGCCATCCACTTATCAAAACACTCCCCACACACAACCTGCACCAACACCCACCACCAGCCATAAGTTACACGATGTACAAATCAGTTGTCAGCCGGCACCTCTCTCTCTCATTCGCTGTGCTCACTTTGTGTCGGCAAGGTAGCAGCAGGATGTCGGGCGCATTCACCAGGCACACACAGCACTTGATCTCTTTCCCTTCAAAAGCACCGCCGCCAGGTGATGATGACGCAGCAGCAGCAGCTGCAGCAGCAGGTGGCCGGGCAGGGGACGATGATGGGACGGTGGATGGAGGCGGTGGTGGTGGTGGGGGGGGTGCAGTGGGGGCAGGGAAGGGTGGGGGAGGGGGCAGCGAGAAGGGCAGCTCACGATGGTCCCCTTGAGCCGCTAGATTGGCCTTGCCTCTCTGTCTGCAGCTGACATGTATGCCGTCGTCATGATTCGAGGCTTGCTGCAGCCCACTGCCGCCATCCGCATCGGCCGACACGTGTGACGTCGGTTGGGGAGGACGGGGCGGTGGAGCGCCGACGTCTGCCTGGTAGTTGCCTTCGTCTGCCTCGTCATTGGCAACAGTGGCCTGAGCGTTCTTGGCCACTTTGCCGCGCCTCTTGGCTTTTGCTTTCTTGCCGTTGTTGATGTCGAGACCAGTCAACTCGGCGGCATCCTCGGACACAGAGGGGCCGCCAGCTGCCGACGATGGTCGGGGAGGCGAGGAGGGCGATGGGCTGAGGGGACCGGGGAGGTCATGATGCTCTTCCGTGTCCTCCTGCTGCTCGCTGTGGTCGTCCAATGTGCCGGTGGCAGAGACGCTGTCGACAAAGACACAAACACACATGTCACCATCTGTTTGGACGCCCTCTTCTTCAGTCTGCCTGTGCTGACCTGGCCAACGGTGCCTGTTTGGTGTCCTCCTTAGCTGCCGTAGCGCCCTTGAGCTTGCCCTTACTCTTGCCGCTCTTGGTACTGCTGATCGGCTGCTTAGCCCCCTCATGACCGTCGTCAATGCCAAGGTCCGCCATCAGCTGCGCATCGGCCCGCTCGTTCGCAGCATTCTCTATTTCGTCAAAGTAATCCAACAACTGACACACAACACATGCATCGCCACGACATGTTTGAACCGTCCATGTGCATCATTTCCCACCTCCTTGGGCACTGTCGGCTGCTGCTGGTGGTGTGCCTTCCGTCGTCCTTTCGGCTGCCGGCCAGCCGCGCGCATCGTCTTGATTGATTCGTGCTGCAGGATGGCCTGCGTGACGGTGTTGGGCCGGAATGAGCCGCGCCTGCTGCTCACTCGATCACCATAACTGCAGAGGAGAGCAAAACATACCCAGAAGAGCACTGCATCCAGGCAGGTACATGTGAGGCTGGGTGAAGTCCACTTACGCGACGAGCGCGCGGAGTGTGTTGAGAGTAAAGTCGACAAATTGTTTCACCTTATCCGCATCCGATAGGTGCTCGAAGCACATGATGCATATCTCACAGAGAGCGGCCGGAAGACCCTCACGCACGGCAATCTGCCGCACACTCAGACACAAACACAGGGGGGTGGGGGTGGGGGTGGAGAGTGAGTGTGTCTACACAGCATACCGGCCCGCCTCTGCCTGCCTGCCCGCCTGCCTGCCTGTTGAGCCACTCATTCTCTTCCTCACCTTAGCCAGCGCATCAGTCATGTCGTCGGGTTTCTCGCCGACCAGGTACAGACATGCCACTGCGCAGAAGCCGGCTGTATTCTCTAACATGTGCTTGCCCTCGGTGCCCCTGTGCTTGCCCTCGGCGACGCTCGCCAGCAGGGAGATACACCCGGCAGCGTACACTTCATCTCTGTAGCCACACCCTGCAAGCCAAGACACGCATGACGACATTCTCATCACATGACGCCCGCGACGCTTACGAGCGACGATGCCGGGGAGAGCGAGTGCGAATGGATAGTCCACCGCCGCGCGTATATGCTGAACAAACGCCTTTAGCGCCCCGGGGGAACGCATGAGGCGCTCGACGGGCTCGCTGGGCCGATAATCTGCCGATGGACCAACGGACAGAGGGAGGAATGCCATAGATACGTGTTTTAGCTGCGTACTCTTGTGATCTCACTCACCACTCATGAGACCCATGAAATCATGACAACGACGGAATATGCGTTCGACACAGAGCGCAGCACTGCGGCGCAGCTCCTGCGGAGCGTCTGGCGACGTGAGGATGCCCGCCAATTTGTCCACCTCGGGAAACACCCGATTTTCTAGGACATTAATGTACTCAATGCAGTCATCTTCGGACCCTGACGTCATGACAACAGCATCATACAGACAGGTAGGTAGACGTGCCCCCTCTCCCTTGCCTCCCACCTGCGGCCTTCAGCCACTCGACGATGGTACAGATAAGCAGAGAAATGGTCGTTGCATGGCTGCACTCATTCAGGCAGACAAACAACAAACAGGCATCTCATGTGTCAGCTGCCCTGCCTCCGCGTCTGCCATTGCCGGCCCCTTACACTTCGTCGTTGTCGCCGCGTGTTGATGTTTCCTGCCGGATCATTATCTTGATCAGCACTTCCCACAGCCCCGCCCACAGAAAGGGTGGCATGCGAATGGGTGGGAAGGGCGGGCCGTCTTGGTTGTGGCGATTGCGTTGTGTGTTGCGTGTCTCGAACATGACGCTGAGGGAAGTGAGTAGCGCCACCAGTGCTGCGTCGCTGGCCAGATGGGCCTCTGCCCATGCCAGCAAGATCCTCAGCAGCGATGGATGGTGCTCCACAAGGTAGTCCCGGAAATCGGTCGCGTTGCCGCACCGCCTGCCCTCCCGCATCACCTCTGTCAGCCAAAGGAACACAAGCGAGTCTTGAAACGACAGCTGGCGCTGCTCTACCGGGGGCTCGACTTCATCTTCGACGACGCGCGCCAGCGTCGAGATGAGGTTGCGAGACGACCCAGCGGCCGAGATGAGCTTCTGACTGAAGGGATGGGTGCCGAGGTTATCGTTCAGCCGCCAGATAATCATGAGCAGGTCACCCGCAGCCTGGTGGCGCTCGCGGTCGGTGAGATCCGAGAAGATGGAGAGCAATCGCGCAAGCAGGGCGTCCTCGCAGAGCTGCTGGATAATGTCCATTTGCACTCGCCATCGGCAGGAGGCGCAGTGGCGTTGAATCTCTATCGCGGTGTGGGCATACTCTCTGAGCAGCTTCAAGTCCAGCTCGACATCTTGTGTGGTGGAGCGAAGGTCTTCGCACAGGTCATCAATGGCTGCCCGGGCAGTGGTACAGACCCGGCCGTTGGATAGATCTAGCGGATGGTCGCACATTGGTTGGGGTCGCTCTCACTCGCGGCCAGATGCCGCCAGACTGCTGCCAGATGCCACGCGCGATGGCGAGTTGTGACGCAGATCAATCTTCTCGACACACGACAGCCGAAGCGCATGCGTCTGCACCGGAAATTCCCATGCGCGCTACGACAGGACGACAGAAGCGAGCTTTTGGGCTTGGATGCTTTCAGACGAGAGAAACGGAGTGCTCAGAGGAATAGCAACAGCCTATAGGCCAGACTCATTCAGCATGTCACGCCGACGTGACCATTTTGGCGAAATCGCACCCTTCGGTTCGCTGGGCGGTTCTCCTCTGGACGCGATGGCCGCCGCGATGCACGAGATGGACCGCGACATGATGCCGTTCGACTCCTTCTTCCCGAGAGGAGAGCGCAGCGGCATGATGGGAATGATGGGCGGGTTCCCGTCCTTCGACAGCCTGATGCCTCGGTTCGGCAGCGTGATGGGGCGCATGGGAGACGGCATCGAGGGCATGATGGCTCACCAGGGAGGTGGAGGGGGCTTCTACAGCAGCCAGGTCATGATGATGAAGCAGAGCACGGGGCAGGACGGGCAGGTTCACACAGAGAAGTACGCCCAGAGCACTATGGGAGACCACCAGGTACGGAGGGAGGGAACGTTCCAGGCACTCGACGCACTCGCTAGATTGATTAAGCGAACACACGCACCCGAGTGTGTGTTGTCGTGTGTGTGGTGTGGCAGGAGGGCCTTCGTGAGACGCAGCAGGCTTACACCAACAGCAGCACGGGTGTGGATAAGATGGCTCTCGAGCGCCACCTCCGCGAGAGAGGCCGCAAGGTCATCAAGGAGCGCAACCGCCACTCGGGTGAGAGAAAACCAGTACACTTGATGCTCGTCGTGCATCCCCCTGCCCATATCTGTGTGTGTGTGGTGCAGGTCAGGAGCGCGAGACGGACCTGTACAAGGGCATGACGGAGCACCAGGCCCCTCAGTTCGATGGTAGGTGACGACACTCACTCACACAGGAGAGGACATACACGCAAGAAAGAAACACCCGCACATTCTGTGCTCTGTGTGTGTCCTTGCCTGGTTCCTCATATCAATCAGCCGATTTTGAGGCGCGTCGCCGGCACAGCCTGCCGCAGCGCCACGGCCACTCCCTGGAGCACGCCTGGTACCAAGGCAATCAGTCCCTGCCATCCTACCCCAACACCGCCACCAACACACAACTGCGCGACCAGGACACGAGGCGCTACAGACGGGAGCGGGAGGAGCAGCATGAGCCACGGATGCCCCGCGTCATGGACCTGGACGAGTACGGTGGTGGCGGTGCTGGTGACGAGGAGCAGGAGGCCCTCCCGCCTCCCCCTCTCCCCAGGGGCCGTCGCGAACGCATCACCAGCCACGGGCAGTCGTCTGGGTCTCGCCGTAGCTATGGCCGCACTGGCAGCGGGCGGGAGGGGCGCACATACCACCAGTGAGTGGCTACTTTAGACAGGTAGACAAGTAGGTTGGTTGAGGCAGCCGGGGATGGCGGACGGAAGCGGCGGGGAGGGGAGGGGTTGCACAGTCATGTGCACGCGGCCTGGCTGTATTGTTGTTGATGGATGGATGGATGGGTGAGTAACGTACGCACACATGAATGAACGGATGGATCTATGTGATGGATGGGGGGGTGGAGTATTTTTGCCGTCGGCTGCCTGCCTGGCTGTACGATCGGCTCGATGTATGTTTGGATGCAGGCAGGCCAGGTGTGGTTTTCACTCGTGCGTCTGTTTCCGAATGGCTGGCTGGGGCGGCTGACCACTTTCTGAGTGAATGTGGGGGGAAGATTAGGTTGTGGCTGGCTGCTGGCTGCGTGTGCAGTGGCTGGCTGCCGTGTGAGGCTTGATTGTATCGATTCCAGCTTACCTGTGTCTGTCGGTCGGCGTGTCGGGTCTGGTGATGAAGTGGGTGACGTCACAGCTGCTGGTCTTCCAAGAGTGGCAGCTGTGCCGTCGCAGGCTTCATCGACCGAAGACACGACAGCGCGAAGACTGACTGTGAGACAACGAGTAAATGCCCGGAACACACAAGGTCCGGGTAGGTGTGCATACTTGCCTGTGTGCATCTGTGTGTGTGTGGGAATGGGGAAGGGGTAGTGAGGGCGGGAGGGCGACAAGAGGGAGGACTTTCTATGTCTGATGGCCTGTACGTATGATGGATGGACACGTGCATGATTTCTTTTTGGACACACCACATCAGTGTGTATATGAATCGATCGACAACAGCCGCCACGTACACGAGGATTCAATCAACCGATAGAACCGATAGAGAACTGTCTCACGCACTGGGGGATGGCTGGAACCCATGTGCTGTGATGTGACGAAAGCTACACTACACTACCCGACCATCCATCCATCCACCGCTGAGCTATCTACCGCTGAGCAATCGACTCATGCAACTGGCGGCCGGTGTCGCGCTGCAGCCCCTGTGGACGGAGCTTCGGCTTGGCCTTGGCAGCGGCCTCCTGCTGCTGCTGCTGCTGCTGTTTCTTTTGCTTCTTGGGGGGTTGTGGGGCGGGTGGCGTGTCGTCATCATCGTGGCCGTCACCCTCGCCATCTGCGTCTCCATCATGCTCACGCTTGACGATAACGGGTGCTGGGGCTGGCTTGTTCTTCTTGTTCTTGTTCTTGTCCCTGTCCTTCTTCTTGTGCCGGTGGTCTTGCTGCTCCTCTTCATCTGCTGCCTCGCCACCCTCCCCCTCCCCCTCTCCCTCTTGGTCTTCCTCCTGCTGTGGGTGTTTGTCCTTCTTCTTCTTCTGTTTCTTCTTGCGCTTCCGGGGCTCTTCATCGTTGTCGTCTGGCTGCTGGTCGTCCTCACCCCCCTCGCCCTCCTCGCCCTCCTCGCCCTCCTCGTGCTCACCTGGCTGTCGTGGTCTCTTCTTCTTGTTCTTCTTGTGCTGTTTGTGCTTCTGCTTGGGGCGGTCGTCGTCCTCGTTTTGGCCGTCTTCTGCTTCCTGCTCGTCATCGTTGTTGTCGTTGTCATCATCTTCTTGGTCGAGGTCGTAGAGCACGCCGTCGATCTTCTGGTTCTGCATGTTCCTCATCGCCGGTGCTCCTGACATTCAACACACACACACACACACACACAGACAGACACACACACAGAGAGAGAGAGAGGGGATCGGGAGACATGGATGAGATCGATACATGGACGTCGCAGCAGGAGAGAGGGATGTGGCTTTCTTTCTCCCTCCCTCCCTCCCTCCCTCCCTCCCAGCCGTCCGTACTTACGGAGCTCGAGTGCGGCGCCCTTTTTGTTGAGTTTGTTGGTGTCCTGGTCCTCTCTGAACTCGTGCTGCAGCTTGGACAGGAGTGCCTCGTGGTCGCGGGCGAGAGGGGCGAGGTACTTGTCGAGGGCGGTGAGCTTGCGCTCCTTGACCTCAACGCGGATCTTGCCGAAGTGGTTCAGCACCTACAGACACACAGAGAGACAGAGAGATAGCACGGCCGTATGTATAAGGCTCTTCTCTCTCTCTCTCTCTCTCTGTGTGTGTGTGTGTGTCTGTGTGTGTAGGTCTGTGTGTGTGGATGGATGGCCTGGTAAAGTGCCCACCCGCCGTATGGTCGTGAGTATGTCTTTGATGTCGTCTCGGAAGTCCTCGGCCAGCAGCAAGGCCGGCACCAGACCCAATATCTTGGTCAAAGACTCCATCGTGCGCCGGCCGACCGTCATGGCGTGACGCAGCAACGTCCTGCACATATACACATCCATCCATCCATGTGTCTCATGCATCTCTCTCTCTCTCTCTGTGCGTGTGCGTGTGTGTGAGGGGTACGATGAGGGGTCGTATTTGGTGAACTCGATGAGGGCTTTCCACGAGTCGACGAGGGCGCAGGTGCGGTGGATGGCGGCCTTGACGCGACCGAGTGGAGTGTTCTTCTTGGTCTCCTCATCAGCCAGGCTCTCTTCCTTCGCCTGCATTCAGAGTACCTATGGATGTGCGTCATCTCTCCCTCCCTCTCTCTGCCTCTACCGCTTTTTTGATGAGCTCTTTCAGTGCGCTTTTCTTTTTGATGTATTCGCTGAGGGGCTGCACCACCTCTGCACGCAACACGCTATTGACCTGCTCCAACATGACCCTGTGTGTCCGCCACACACACACACACACATGGAGTGTATGCGTATGCGTTATCTTGTGCGTATGGATGTACTTGTAGAAGGCAGCAAAGTTCTGTTTGTCGAGGCATTCGAAGTCCTTGGGCGCGGGGAAGTCCTCGGCCTCCTCATCGTTGTCTTTGTCCTTCTTCTTCTTTTTCTTCTTCTTACATAGCATATCAAGCACAACACACAACACACACACACACACAGACACATGCCTCTCTCTCTCTCTCTCTCTCTCCCCCTCTCTCTTGGCGTGTGTGGGTGGCTTACTTTGTCTCCTCCTTCTGTGTCGTTTTTGACTTTGCGTCTGTAGTGCTGTCTGATCTGCGGGAGTGCGCTGTTGGCGAACCTCTTGATCATGTTCGCCGCGGTGGTCTTGCCGTGCTCCAATGACACCTTCAACGCCTCAAACATCAGCTGCACATCACACACGTCAGCGTGTTCACGCCGGACGGACAGACAGAAAGGCAGACTTACAGCGGGTCTGTACTTGACGTCCAGTTGGCTCCAGGCGCGGCACAGCAGTTGGTCGGTCACTTCGTGCAACGTCGTCTTGATGGCCTCCCCGTCCTTCTTGGCAGCATTGTTGTTGTGGCTGTGGCGCCTCAGCCTGGCCGAAATCAACGCATGCACCTTCAGCAGCTGACACCCACACACACAGAAAGAGAGAGAAAAAAGGAAAAAGAGAAACATATCCAATGGCGAGCACCCCTCTCCCCCCTGCACCAGCTCACCTGCACAAGGTAGTCCTGCGCGAGCATCGTCACGCTCAGCGAAGGAAAGCCCTCCATGGTCACCAGCGCCTTCAAACTCCTCCCATAGGCCGCCATGGCCTGCTTCAGGCCCCGCCACGCACCGCCGTCGGCATAGGCCTCGCTGATGCGCCGCTCCTCCTTGGCCAGCAGAGGAATGTCGTCGAAGCCAGCGTTGTTGTTGTTGTGGTGGTGGTGGTGCTGGTTTGGGTAGGGGGGCATCGGGGGAGCGAATTCGAGGTGCATGTCGTCCTGGCCGTCGTCATTGTCATCGTACATGTCGTCACCACGGTCCTGTGCGTCGTCGCCTGGACCCTTCTGCACACACAGACGCACAGACGGACACACACACAGACACATACATCAATTTTGGCTGCTTATCCGTCTGTCTGTCTGTCTCTTCTCCGTGTTTCCTCTTCTGACCCGCCCACATACATCGATTCCCTCACTGACCCTCCAAATGTTGTGCAGCATGTAGTCGTTGCCTTTGCTGCTCGACGGCTGGCCGAAGCGCCGCCTCTCCTCCACCAGGCGCCCCTCCCTCTCCTCGATGAACTTGCGCAGAGTGCCGGGGGAGTTGTCACCATCACCACCGCCTCCCTCTCCGTCATTGTCGCCATCGCACTCCATGTCATCCTCTCCCGGCTGCTGCTGCTGCTGTTGTTGTTGTTGGGTGTCTTGGATGGCCGTGGAGGCGGCGGCTAACACTGAGGATGCACACCGGACGCCAGAGGGCCTTCAAAGAGAGAGAGAGAGTGGGGACGGGGAGGGAGGGTTGGTTGGCTTATGTTCTCACTTGATGTGTATGAGTGTCGGTAGGAAGTAGATGAAGTCTCCGAAGGCGAGCAGGATGCTCTCCAGCTCCTCACACAACTCACACACCTGCAGCGCACACAACCAACACACGAGCGTATCCAACACACGCAATGCAATAAGCGCGTGCCCATGCACCCACCTTTGCTTGCTCGTTCTCATTGCGATCGGCTAGCTGAGTATCCTACACACACACACACAGAGACACAGCGAAGGAGAGACAGAGACACACACACACAAGCACAGAAACTCTCCACCCACCACCCACACGCAAAGACTTACCACATTCCTGCAGGCTTACCTTGAACTGATGCAGTTCGTTGACCCTCTCTCCGAGAACCTTCCGCAGCAGCATCAGCGACACCTCCACCAGCCCAATCCCGCCCTCACCCACAACACTCGCCTCGTGCTCGCGGCTCCCCACACCGCCGAGCGTCGCCACCAGCCCGCCGCCTCCTCGCGCGCGACTCGACGGCACAAACCGGTACACAGCACGGTGTGTGTGGGCCTGATCGAACGCTTCGTCATCCTGACATCCACACACACACACACCTATATGGGGTGTGGGTGGGTGGTATGGTGGGGTGCCTTGCGATTACGTCTTTCTTCTTGCTGTCCTTGGCTGTGGCGGCCTCCTTTGCGCCCACATCCACACACAGGAAGGGCTGCGCGTAGAAGGTGAGGCGCATGGTGTGCCGCAGCAGGGCCACCAGCCGGATGAGGGTGGGCGGGGACAGCTCGGGCATCGGCACATCCATGTCGACGTCCTCGTTGGGCCGCAAAGTGAGGACGCGCAGCAGGTGCAGCACCTTGGGGGAAACCGGAGGCAGCTGACGCAACACGTGCTCTGTGGACCGACACCGGCAGAGGGAGGCATGGACGGATGGATGGATGGATGGGGGTGTGTGTACCTGCTGTCTTGATCTGGTGTTCCTTCTCTGTCTTGCCTCCGCCCTTGCCTCCATTCTTGGCAGCGGCCTTCGGCTTGGCGGCCGCACCCCCACCACCAGCACCACCAGCAGCGCTTCTGAACGATTCCCTCCCTCCCTGGCGACACAAACACACAAATGAATAGCCATATGTGTGGGGTGGGAGGAGGGGATGGAGAGGTGCGTGCCTGCATGATGTCGGTGATGTCTTGTGCGTTTGGTGGGAGCTCTGATGAGGGCAGCTTGAAGGCGGGGTGGAGCCGGACGGCCAGCTCGAGGGACTCCTCTATCCCCACACACATCTCGTACCTACACACACAAACACACCCACGCACACACACACAAACACATCTCACTCTCCAGCAGACGCACACCAACCAACTTACTGTTGCATCAGTCTGTGCAGCATCTTGACCTCCACCGTGGGATCCTCCTCCATCATCCCCCTCATCGGCGAGAACACACCAGCACCACCACTACGCGCACCCGACCGTCGCTGCCTGGCCTTGTTCTTAGCGCGGAACACCGCCCGCTGATTGAGGAAGTGGTCGTAGGCCGATGCGAGCGTGTTGAGGACCTCTCTCGCCCAGCAGGCCGCCATGAAGTAGCTGATGCATTACACACGACACACGCACACTCTCTCCCGGCCTCTCTCTCTCTCTCTCTCTCCCTCTCTTATCATACCCACCATTTGCAGATGAGGTCTTTCTTGTTGGATGGCTGCGAGTGGTGGTACTCCCCCCACTGCCAGGGCGACTTGTGGGTGAGGAACACCCGTGGGCCGACCACCTGCCGCCCCTCCGTCTCTGTCTCTCCCTCGTCCTCATCGTCCATGTCGTCTTCTGCCACGCCGCTGGAGACCCATGTGGGGACCAGCAGGGGGGCACGGAGGTAGGTGTCCAGCTCCTGCACGTGGGAGACGCATACACAGACAGACACACTCGTGTGCAGATCATCTCTCTATCTCTCTCTCTCTCTCTGTGTGTGTGTGTGTGTGGTCCACTTTGAAGGGCACGATGGTGTCCTGTTTGAAGGCCTGTGATGGGTGTGCGAGGCCGACCGGCTCCATGTGCTCCGTCGCACGCTCGTTGGCCAGGATGGCCGACACACACACGCGCAGGGCGGACGGCAGAGACACCATTGAGCGATTGCTGCACACCACACACACACCATGATAAAGGCATTGGGGAGCGGGGAGTGGGGGGGATGTGTCACCTACCGTGCTGCGCGTGTGACTATGGTGATGGCGTGTGATGGCAGCAGCCTGGCGACCTCCTCCGCGCCCTCGTCTCGCGCCTGCACCACCGCCTCAGGGCTCGAATACACATCGCGGCTCAACACACGGACATACAAATCTGATCGATGCATGACCACCCACACAGACAGAGACATCCATCCATCCATTCATCCGTTCATTCCCTTGTCAACCTCTATACCTGCAACCATATCTGGCCAAGCGCACTCCATGGCGGCCTCATTCATGGCGCTCCTGCGGCCGCCCGACTGCCCCTTCTGCTTGTGGTGCGTCTTGGAGAGGGTGCTCTGGTCCATGACCGCCATGGCGTCGTTCTTGACGATCTCGCCCACAGCCGGAGGGACATAGCCGGCGTCGAGACCAGCCGCGAGACACTCGTATGCGAAGGCCTGCTGCCGGGGATCCTTCCTGCAGTGATACACGACGGTGCATGTCTCTCTCTCTCTCTCTCTGTGGGTGTGGGTGTGTGGTGATTTGCTTACTCGACTGCCTTGAGAAGCTTGAGTGTCGCCTCCTCCACTGGGAACCCTCCCTCCTCCTCGCGAAACGACACCTCATACTCACCCAAATCCCTGCACACATAGATAGATGCACACACAGGTCTCCCGAGTTGTGTTTGGTGGTCCATGTGACTAACCGCAGGATGGCCATGTAGGCCAGGATGCCGGTGTACTTTGACGTCTGCATGCGGTTCAGCGAAGACAGCTTCTGCACCCATATCTACGCAGACACACAAGGGAAAGACAAACAGAAGATCCCCTTCTCTCTCTCTTTCTCTCTCTCTGGTACCTGCAGCGTGTTGACGGGTGTGAGGCACCTGACCCCCACGAGCAGCATCTCCATCAGGGCGGCCTCGCTGGTGCCCTCCACGGCCTTGGTCAGCGCCTGGGCGAAGATGTCGATCTCGTGCGAACGACGCACGCAGAGGCCCACCAACAGGCGACACGCCAGAAGGGACCCTGACAAACACACACACATGTGAATTTGTTTGTGTGCGGTGGAGAGGTGGAGAGGTGGAGAGAGAAGGTCTGCGATATGTATACCAGGCGAGTTGCTGGCAACGGTGTCTGCGCATCCCAGGTCAGCCAAAGGCAGCGCCAGGCCGCCGCCCCTTTTGCCCAGTGCGGTGGCCTTGGCCGGTGTCTTGTCGGGCTTGGCTGATGCAGCTGTCGATGCTGCTGCCGATGATGCCGATGTGGCATTGCTGTGGGTGGGGGAAGTCACATGTGCGAGGAGCATCTTGATGAGCTGCTTCCTCTGGGATTTGTCGAAGGCGTCAAACACCGAGAGATAGATGTTGAGCAGCTGAGCGGAGAGAGAGGGGCAAAGAGTGGTGTGTGTGGATGAGGGCAAAGACACCCTTGCTCACCTGTCGTATGCCATGTGGGGTGAATGCGTGTGGGTGCTGCGTCTTGCTGCTGGAGGATGGGAACGCCCCGCAGCCCCCTGAGTGATTCTGCATGGCCACGTGCTTGGTCGTCACCACGAGCAGCTGGGTCATGCCGCCAGACAACAGACGCACCACTGGCACAGGCGCCGAACGCACAAACTCCAATACCTTCACACGCACAGAGAGAAAGATGGACCGACACAGAGATGTAGCTACCTGCACGCTTTGGTCTTTTCCTCACCTTAAGCAGCTTCACTTTCTCGTTTCGAAGCGCCGTGAGCAGCACCTCATGGGCAGTGGGACACCCACCATTCCCACCATTGCCACCATTGCCACCACCACCAAACGCCCTCTTGCCCCCTCCGCCCACATCCGCCTTGGTCTCCATGAGAATGGTCAACAAAAGCAGCTCAAACTCTGCCCACAAGGATGATGTCTCACAGGCGATTCCATTGTCGCAGTGTTGATATTGCCTTACCTGCGAATGAGTGTGGCTGGGGGCCGCCACCTGCCGAATGGCTCGACTTGGGCGAGAGGGGAGGGAAGTCGTCGTCATCGTTGTTGTTGTCAGCTACCCTTGCACCTGCGATCTGTGCAGAGAGAGAGAGGGGGGGTAGAAGGGGTGATGGTGTGTGGGCGTGGGGAGGTTGTGTGTATGTAACCTTTGCGACTTTCTTGGCGAAGAAGCGGGCTAAGGGGGCGTTGACCTGGAGAGTCGACTGATGGATGGATGAATGGATGACGCACACAACACACACACGGCATGCGGTGGTCCGTCTGTGTGTCTGTCTGTGTGTCTGTGTGTCTGTGTGTCTGTGTGTGTGTGTCTGTCTGTCTGCTGTCTGCCCCAGAACTAACCCTGAGCACATCGAAGGTCTTTGTGATCCACTTGCACCCCGGCACCTCCACCACCACGGCACCCGCACCTCCAGCCCCTCCTCCCGCCCCCACTTCATCCACTCCCATGAGCTCGTCGCCTTCTTCGTCACGCTCACGGCCGCGATTGCCTCCGCCGTTGTTCTTGCGACCGAGTGGGGGCTGGTTGGCGTGTTTGAAGATGCCTGCGATGTCGAGGTTCTTCTTGAGGGCGGCGTAGAGGTCGTCATAAAAGGGGGGCGGGGTGTGGCTGGCCAGGAAGCGGATCAACGTCTGCACAAATCCATCCGTCAATGAGTGTACAGAGGGCCGTGGGGCGTCTGTGGGTGAGGTGCTCTCTGTACTCACCGGCCATTCTGTGTCAGGAAGGTATGGGAGAAGGCCCAGTGCGATGTCGGTGATGGTCTCGCGGGTCTGGGCGTCTAGATGCATGCACGACAAACACTCCAATACGTCGGCCTACACACCACACCACACCACACCACCACACTAACCGCAGTGTATCGACCTATCAACGGCTCTCTGTGTGTCGGTGGGTGTGGATGTTTGCGCACCGACACGACTTTGTCGTCGGCGGCTTTCCTCGCGCGTGCGGTGTTTCTGCCCATGTCGTCCCCATCAAGGTCGTCGTCATCGTCGATCTCCTGCAGATTGCCGCCGTTGCTGGTGTCGTTCTCGAGGTAGGCCTGCAGCCGCTTGAGCATCGTGCTCCTGTCCTCCTCGCGCGTGGTCAGCGACGGCAGCAGACGCAGGACCTCCCTCTGCATCCCGACACAGGATGGCGAAAGGATGGAGTGGTGTGTTCATTGTGGTGATGGTGGTGTGGATGAAAGTGCGCCACCTTTGCTTTTGGCATGTTGTCAGCGAGTTCGAATACGTCCAGCAGCCCCTCCACCAAACCCTCAACACGACCCTCCATGTACCTACACACATGCAATGCACCCATACACACCCACAACACAAACACAGCAAACGATGCCCACATACACACAGTGCCTGGCTCCTCCTCTTCCCCTCCCATGCTCACCGGAACTGTTTGAGTATCAGCTGAGGAATGTTGGCGTCCGATCCCCTCCCGCCGATACCCATCCCCAGTGGCATCCCCTGCGACAGCGTGCTAGGCAGCCACATGGCGTCGTCAACCATGCCATCCACCACCTTCTCGTTCAGCAGATCAATGAGCGCCTTGGCCAGGAGCCGCTGCAGCCCGCCCGTGTCAATGGACAGCAGCAGGCGGCAGAGCGACGCCGAGCCGTAGTCGGCGAAGACGTTCTCGGCCCGCATCACCCCCACCGCTCCCCGCCCTCTCCCACTCTCCCCGTCCACATGCACCGCATCGAGCACTGCGTCCTCCACCGAGAAGGGCAGCAGGAAGGCCGTCTGCAGGTCTGTGTCTGTGTCGTTGTCCTGGGGATTGGGTGCGAGGATGTGCCGCTTGACGGCGGATACGAGCGTGGGTGCGTCTGTGCTGTTGCTGGTGGTTGAGGTGAGCGCGGCTGTGAGGCGGTCTTTGAGGGTTTTGGACGACACTGTGAGGTGGAAGCACGCTGAGGCGCCTCCGTCGAGTCCAATGGCATCGCCGTTGTCACCGGGCTTGTACTCACAGCCGTGAGTGGCAAACAGCTCCAGCAACGACTTCTTATTCATTTTTCTCCCCCGGCGCATTCCGTTTACAAAAATCTGTAAAAAAGGGAGGCCTTTTGACGGTTGTTGTTCTCAAGGAGGCATGAATGGCCAGCCATAGCCGCGCCTACGCCCCCAGATGGCGACACCATTGTTTGAGGCCTGAGCAGCAGCGGCGGCATTCTCTATGCCATCGAGGATCTCCATAGCCCTCCTTCTATTTGCGGCTCTGCTGACTTGCGCTGCTGCTGGTGCACGTGCTGCTGATGACCATGGCAGTCGGGATGGGGTGCTGTCCGTCAACAACCGCAGTGCGACCTACGAGGACGAAGGCCGCGGCACCCGCACTAGCAGCAGCTATCTGCAGATAAACAGTAACGGGCGCAGAAGGCAGCAGGCCGAGCAACCAGCCCCAGCCCCTTCCCGCCCCTTCTCTTTCATCGAGACCATCAACAACAACGACGACGATGACGTCGCCCCGCACCCATCGGTCTTCCACGTGGGCGTGGGACATCCAATCGGCCGCAAAGGGTTGTCCATTGGGCTGGAGAGAGGTGGGGTGGACATATATCGGGACGGGCAGGCACAGCCGGGGTGGGGCCTTGCTGAACCGTCCATCGTCACAGCCCCTGAACACAAAACCAGGTGCTGTGCTGAAAGAGAGAGGTGGAGGGACGTACACACGGCCATACGTGTGTGCCTGTGTGCGTGTGTGTGCAGGTTTTGGATAGAGCTGACGACGGAGGGCGATGTTGAGGCGTTGAGCGGTGTGGATGTGACTGTGGGGTCCCCTGGGGTGGTGTCGGTGGTCAGCAAGAGGAGCGCCGACCTCGTCAAAGACACACACAGCCCCACTGTGCTCACGGTCAGCCAGCCATGCCCGCTACCCTTCCCCACCAAAACACACACGCACGCACCTACACACCTCTTTATGTGTGTCTTTCTCTCTTGTAACAACCCCATTGGAATGTCAGCTCGGTTACGAGTGCCATTCTCGCGGTTCGTCGACAGTGTCGCTTTCCCTCCACCTCTCTGACGCCTTCACGCGGCCGTCTTGGTCGTTCGTCAAGGAGTGCACCGACGAGAGGCGGCCTGGGCTTGGGATTTCCCTCACTGAGGCGCCGTTGCGGACGGATGTGGCCAATGACGGGGAAGGCATGTGGACACAGGTGCGTGTGTGAGCGCAAGTGTGGTTGTGGGTATGTGTGGGGGGTCCTCACTGTCCCCTCTGTGTGTGCGTCTGTGTGCAGGAGACGGCCGTGAGCCGCATTGTGCCCTTCACCACCTTTGAGCTGCCCCTCTACCTCACCCTTGACACGCCAGGCGGCCACGACCGCGAGCAGACCATCGACGCGTTCCAGGCCAACATTAAGACCCTCTCCGACCGACAAGTGAGTGACTCGCCCCACCCACACTGGCAATGAGAGCCGGGAAGGTGGGGGACTCACGCCTCGATCTGCAATCTCTGCCTTCCCCCTCCCCTCCCTGTGTGCATCAGAGTGACACCATCAGCCCATCGGAACTCTCATCATGGCGGTCCCTCCTCCTTGTCGGCCAGCGAGAGGCCAGACGGCTGCAGCAGCAGGGCGTGTGGTGGCGGCCGTGGTGGTTGTCGTATCAAGCCGATGGGGCCGCCCATGAGGCCCCCTCTCAGTCCCAGCTGCAGGACTTCTACCTGCAGCAGCGGCTCAACACCGATGTCAACTCCCTCCAGCAGATGACGATGACGATGCACCCCGGTGGGTCCGCAGTGCCCTTCATCCCTCTGCACCACGGAAGGCGGCTGGGGGCTGGGGCGACGCTCACCCATGACGGAGGGGAGGAGGCATACACGCCCACATATGCACCCACGGCCACACCCACATCGGCAACAATGCCGAGCATACTGGCCATCAGGTGAGCAGGCAGAGGAAAGCAACAAAGGCAATGATCGCGGCGCTATATGTGCGTGTAGGTATGGTGGCGCGTTGCAGGACGGCGGCGTGCTGGAGGAGGGCAGCGTCAAGGACGTCACCCTGACGTTCGAATGCCTCAGGCCAGGGACGGCTCTCGTAGAACTCAAGGCAGGCACTCCCTATTAGAACAAACACACGATCCATGTCCATGTGCGTCTGACTGATTTGTGGGCAGGTGTCCCCCGCACCGGTGTATCAGCCATATCGGCCGTTGACTCTGTCTTTCCTGAAGAAATGCGGCGGGAGGTATCGAGAGGGCTTCCACGTCGGCACATCGGACCAAAACCTCACAGATCTCGTGCGTGCCACACACGAAGAAACACACAAGGATGATAGGGACAACGGGTGGGTGAATGTGGGGATGCAGGTGCGCGACGGTGTGCTGACGGCCAACCCCCCGGCAGTGGACAACATCTTCCAGCGATCATCCTTCTTCATCCAATACGCCGTCCGACCACACGCACACACACCCCTCTCCCCCGCTCCCACACCCATCTTCTCTTCATCTGTGTGTCTCCCTGCCATGCAGCCGTACCATCAGGAGCTGGACGAGCAGTCGCCCTCAGTGTCTGTGTCGTGCGAGGACTCCAGTGTGGTGCAGGTCAGTGCGGCCACCACATCTGCCACAGCGGCCTCCCCGTCGTCACCCGACCGTCTGGACGTCTTCTACAAGTGCAACCCCACCACACGCTCACCGGGAGTCACCACGTGCACCATGGCCGTACGCACATCAGAGAGAGGGAGAGAGGGAGAGAGAGGGAGGGAGGGAGAGAGCGAGACTGACAGCCCATGGCTGGCAGATATGTTTACTGTGCTTCTGTGCCGGATGATCAGCTGAGCTTCGCTCTGTTTGAGGGTGTCTCACTCTCATGGGAGAAGCGATGCGGCGGGCCGCGGAAAGACGTCACCATACAGTCAGACCTCGAAACACACCCTTACGTCCTCACACAGGTAAAGAGGCTCCCCGTGTGTGTGAAGGCGCATTTGTGTGGAAATGCGTGTCTGTGTGTGTGTGTGTGTATGTGTGTGAAGGGTGCGGCCAGTGCTGATTGGGACGAGGTGAATCCGGTAGTGGTGCTGCCGCCGGAGGAGGACCGGTCAACCTTCACGGTGTCGCTCGCTCCACTCAGACAGATGCACGCCAACCAGGGGGTCAGTCAGCCGGCAGTCGGCACCACACATCAGCACCAATATAAATGGGCTTCATGGCATCCGTGTTTGTGGTGTGTCTGTGTGCACAGGCTCCTGTGCCGTTGGTGCTGCATTCGCCTGTGGTCAAGGTGTCACGGCCCGATGTGCTCACAGCCAATGTCGCCGGTACACCTAAAAACCCGCCCAGACAGAGAGAGAGAGAGAGAGAGAGAAGGAGGCCCATACACAGATTCAATGTGTGTGCAGGTGCTCTTGCGTATGGGGCCAACCTGACGGAAAAGTCTAGCGATGTGGACGTGGTGATAGAGTACAGGTGCCGCAGCAGCGGGGAGAGCAGGGTAGAGGTCACTTTGCCCATCGGCCTGAACGCCAGCAACGCGGCCTTCGAGCCGCTCGTCTTCGCCTTCACCAAGAAATGCAGTGTCATACGATTTTGGCAGCAATGGTACACACACACAAACATGTAGCCACTCATTGTGTGTGTATCTCTGTGTGGGTGCAGGTATGTGGTGCTGATACTGACGCTGATCGCCTGCATGACGTGCGCCTCCTGCACGAGCCTCTGCATACTCGCCACACACAAACGGGGGGAGCAGCAGCAGCAGCAGCAGGGAGGAGGGGACCGCTACGTACGAGACGAGCTAGGTTAGCCAAGTCGCGAGCCCATCCTGCCACCACAACACGCCCACGCACACGTCTGTTTGTGTCATGCAGATGAGAGCCAGCCCGACGATGTCGACATCGACGTAGAGTCCCAAGAAATCGACGACTTCTCGTCGCCCCCCTCCGCCAGTGGTCTGAGTGCCAGCGGCGGCCCCCCATCCCGCCAGTCGCCCCCAAGAGGCACAGCCCCCCACCTCCACGCTGAGATGACACCCGAGAGGGGGCCCTTTGCCGCTCTGGGCGTGAGGGAGAGGGATGACGCCACTGTGGGTGGCACATACATGAGGGGTCGAGAGATGGGTATGGGCATGCCGCCGCCCTCTTCGTCGGGGATGCTGCTGCAGCAGGGGATGGAGAGGCGTCTGCTGCCAGACACACGAGACTCGGGTGTGGGGGATTCTCGCGGTGGCCGTCCGGCGTACAGATAAGGCAGTGGAGAAGTGTGGCTGAATGGACTCGGAGTAGCTGCGTTGTGGCCTCGTGTGTTGCGCGCATGTGTGAACGGGGCACCCGCAATGCAAACAATCACAAATCTTCTGCGAGCTTGCGAGCTTAAAGAGGTCAACAAAATGGAAAGGAAAGAGCCAAAGAGCGAGCGGGTGGTCTCCATAGGGCGTCACCACTCGCCCGGCAAAGAGCTGAGGAACCCATAAGGAAGAGTGACTGCCTACCCTCCTCACTCGCCCAGTGTGAGCATAGAGGAAGGACACCGATGAGCGACGAGGGAGGGACAGCGGCGTTGGTGCCCTTCCCGGCGGCAAGGACTCCCACACCGACACCGCTCAACCAGACTGGCTGCGAGGGTGAGGGTGCGGCGGGTACTGCGGCGGTGCTGTCGAGGGCACTGCAGCTGCTGGCACACTCCTCGCCCAAGCCGCCCACACCTGACGGACGACAGCGATGGACCGCCAGCGACGCGCAAAACGAAGGAGGAGGACAGCTCTACATAGCCTCGTCGCAGGTACACACACATCCGGAAACACAGCCGGTTGGCAGCAGTGAGGGTCTCGCTGTGCTTGTCTGTCTGTGACATTCACTGTGCAGCCTCTGGCGTCTGGGGGTTCTGACGGGAGTGCGAGTGTGGACCTGCAGCCGCCCGAAGAGGCCACGCCAGCCACCTTGCTCAAGGCCCTGCGAGTCCTCAACGACAGGGGCCTCCGCAGGAGCCTGCAGCTGCACTCGCCGCCCCCCACCAGCACTGCGCAGATGGACTCCGCCCGGCTGCCTGAGAATGGTGGCAGCGTCACGCCAAATGGCGGTGAGGTCGGTGTCGGTGTGAATGGGGCCCGGCGGCAGGGCAAGGGAGTCAAGCTGCAGTTCAACAACAGCTCGTTAGCAACAAAGGGCCACCACCACACCACCACCACCAGCACTGTCGTCCAGGCGCCGCGTCCCGCCTACGTGCTGACCAATGGGGAGGGCACCGGTCAGGAGAAGCCGAAGCGCGATGACACTGACGGGGAGACCGACGTTGCGTCGACGGGCTTCATCGGAGGCGGCGGCTATGGGGAGGGAGAGGGAGAGTCGTCCTGTGAGACTGAGACGGTGATGTCGACCAGTGAGGCGCATCCGACAGGGGGGCTGACCAATGGCTACCATCCTGACACTGACGACAATGGCAGAGAGGAATCCACCATCACCGGGTGAGTGAATACAAAAACACGGCTGTGCACTCAGCTCAGCATCTATGTGGGGCTACGGTGTGTGCAGTGATGATGCGGGTGTTGGTGGCGGCCCTTCTTCATCGGCCGCCTATGTCGCCCGGCGTCCATCCAAGCTGCGAGTGGACTTCAACATAGCCACAGCCAACGGCGCCATTCACGCGTCAGGCGCAGCACTAGCGGCACCAGCAGCAGCACCGACGGCCAACAGCGCCATCTCCACAGCAGCGGGCGTGTCTGTGTCCCTGCCCTTCCTGCAGTCGCTCACACACACAACCATCACCACCACCCACAACAGCAGCAGGAAGGCCCCCACTGCAGCCCAGCCGTCTGCAGATGGAGTACGAGATACAGATGGGGGCAAGGGCAAGGACGGCTCCCCCACTCGGTATTCTGAGTGCTCGGCTCAGGACGGCGCCCCCACGCCGTGGAACACCCCCTACAAGCAGGGATCCCTCAGCCCTTCCTACGTCCAATGCACACCTCATCCTGTGCAGAGCGGCGATGTTGTCAGGGAGAGGGAGAGGGAGGGGGTGGCTGAGCAGCCACAGATACTGCCGTCGTCCTCCGTTGACAAGGCCATCCAGACGCGGAACGCCCAGGTTGCCGCGGCGATCGAGGCCTCTGTTGGGTCGACGGGCAGCTCCCCCGAGCAGATGGCGCCTTCTCCCGCGTCGTCAGCGGCCTTCTTCTCAGCCATGTCCCACTCACAGTCACAGGCACACTCGCCTGTGCAGTCGCCATCGAGCCAGGAGACCCCTCCCGCCTTCGTCACCCCGGCGGGCAATCCGAGTTGGAATGCGAGCGGCTTGCCGGTTCACCCCTTCCACCTCCAACAGCAGCACCAACCGTCGTCATCCCAGCAGCGACAAGCGGCTTTGTCGGCCTCTCGGCTGACGTATGCTCAATCGTGCCGCACTCCAGCCCTCACGAGGACGCCTTCTTTCTCATTCGAAGAAGCGGACAGAGAGAGGGAGAGGGAGAGGGACAGCAAGACGCTCACACCGGCAACGGCATCTTCCGTGTCGGGCTCGCCGCTGCGGACAGCCCCTCCCAACACACCGATCGCCGGCAGCCCCCCCACGCCCCCTTTCTCTCAGCCTGAGAGCCGCACTCGGCTGTTCACCAAACCGGCCCACCCACACACACAGAGGAGCCGCTATGTCCACGGCGTTGAGAACATTCAGGAAGAGGACGAATGCGACATGGATGGCGAGTGTGATGGAGACGGTGTGGGTGAAGACGGCAACGAAGAGGCGGGCTCTTCTTCTTCTTCGTCTTTCCATCGTCGCGAGCTGCAGGTGAGCCTGCCCCTGCATCAGTTGCCGTGCGCCCCGGTCGATGCGACGGGCGGCTCTCCACTCCCGCCATCCACACCCGCGCCATCAATCTCTGGCTCGCCGTCGCCCACGGCTCGGGGATGGGTCAGTCGGCCGCCGGCAAATGTGTCTTCGTCAGCCAATGTGTCTTCTTCCAGCATCGCGACAGCAGCAGCAGCGTCGGGCGTCATGTGGCATCGCGACACCGAGGCGGCACACGCCGACCACGCGAGCCCACGGCCATTCCCAAATCAGCACCAGCTGCATCAGTTCCCCCGGCCCCGCCCCCACTACTACCTGCAGCACGTGAGCGTGAATGTGAGCAGCGGGGGAGGCTGCGGCTCGCCCTTCTCCGCTGGCCAGGCGCCGTCGCCCTTCCACCCCAGCGCCACTAGCTCTGTCTCTGGGTCGCCCAAACCCGCCAGAACAGCCGCAGTCGTCAAGAGGGAGAGGAGCGATGGAAATGGCGGCTTCCGGTTCGAGGATCAGCTAGAGGCCACAAAGAAGGGCGTCTACCAATGCAGCAGCCGCAGCCCGGCCTCCAACACGCGCACACCGTCCTGTCCGCTCAGCCCCTCTGTGTCCCTCCCGCCTCTCGCCTCTGCGCCAGACTTCCCCACTGTGGTGCGCCCAGCGGCCTACCCCCACCCCAATGAAGCGGGCAGCCCCACGCTCCGGCCCCCACTCCCCCCAGCCCCTGGATCCTCTGTGCCCTCAAACGCGTCGTCTCCATGGTCGTCGACGAGGCAGAAGCTGCACCTGCCGCTGGGGGAGAGGGGGCACGGGCACGATGCAAGACCGTTCGGCACTGTTCGGGACAGCACTGCCAGCCCTGCCTCCCCCTCGCCGCCCTTTCCCTCTCCCGCGTACACGCCGTCGTCCTACCCCGACCACCCAATGCTGTCAGTGGCCTATGGCGGCCGGCGCGGCTCTGTCTCGCTCTTCACGTCGCCTGAGTCGAGGCCCGTGATGGTCATGGCTGCGGAGGGCAGGGCGCCTCTACCACACGCACACGCCGTCCCCGTTCCACCGCCCGATACACCCACACTTGCCGAACACAACTATAATGACAACGACACGCCGGATGAGCCGTCGGAGTCCGCCACGCCAGCAGAGGGGGGAGGGCAGCCTGGCACCCAAGACACATACCATCACCAGCAGCAGCAGCCGACCGACGAGCAGCAGCAGCAGCCGCAAGGGGACGCCCAGTCGCCTGTGGTGAGGGCCCGGCCACGTGCGGTGTCTGATGCGGCGACAGCGACTCAGTGTTGGCGCGCGCGAGGGAGGCGGATGCGCAGGGGGGTGAGGCGGGGCGGCCGGCCGTATCCGAGGCTGTATCCCCAAGGCCAAGGGCCGCATGGGGAAGGCACAGGCGAAGTGAATGCCGGTGGTGGTGGTGGTGGTGTGGATGGGAGGGAGGTGGACATGGGGGGACTGGCAACGGCTTTGTTCCGAAACGAAGTGCACAACCGACTGAGACGTCCAGGTGAGTGAGCCGACCATTGCAACATTGCTTGCAATCCCCACACATCACATCTCGCCTCGCCTCACCTCTGTTGTCTGTGTGTTTTATCAGAAGAGGGCAGTTGCGAAGAAGAGCCTGCCCCTTTCTGGCCCCGTCTTCATCCCCAGACGCCCTGCAACACCGTCGCCCCCTCCCCACGCATCCCACCCAGCAACCAACACACACCGTCCGACAGCCAGCCTTCGACAGGAGGGCAGCCCACTGCCCATCATCCCACTGTGGTGGGCAGCGGGACCGCTACGGCGGCCCAGGGACCCCCTGCTGAAGCGCATGTGCTGCATCAGCTGCATGTATGTGAGAAAGACAGAGGAAGTAATGAGCTCGCGGGCCGGTGTCTGTGCACTTTGTGTGCTGATCATTTCAGGCTGTGGTTGCTCAGTTGGACGCTGTCGAGTCGACGGCCACCTCCACTACTGCATATAGCACGTGAGCAGACAGACCCTTCGTCCATCCACACGCTTGCTATCCTTGTTTGTGTCTCCTCTCTGTGTGTACTTCAGAGGTAGCGTCAGCCACGACGTCGATCTGGACAATGTCGACGTCGACTATGACTATGACTGCGACCAGTGGAGCCACTCCAGCGCCACCAGCAGGTTCTCGCCCTTCGCCCGGGGCGCACAGGTTTCCCTCGACGAGGTCAACGCGCGGCTCAGGCGGCTGCAGGTCACGGGCGTCGGCGAGATCTCACCCGTCCGCATCACCAACACCACCAACACGACTTCCGGCCGGCCAATACACGCCAGCACGCCCACCGCCCCAATGGGCTACAGGGGGTCGCCCCAGTCTGTCATGCCGATGTCCCTCCCGCATGACGCCTCGTCGCCCGCAGGCATCCGAGGCCCCCCGCCTCTGCCGTCCGCCAGCCCCTCGCCGTCTCTCTCTTACCAGCGGCAATCTCAGACAGGCCGGCCGTCCAGCAGACGCCCCTCCTTCTTGCACGGCCATGGAGGCAGCAGCATCAGCAGCAATCCACCCAGCAACCCACGCGAAGGAGGCGGCAGCCCTGTTCATTCCCCCGAAGACACTCAGACGGCCATGGCAGCACTCCAGCAGCAAGAGAGGAGCCGCCCTACACAGACACACCTCGGCAATACCATGGCGGCAACAGTGACCTTTGCACCGCTGCCGGCATCCTACTCGTCCGAGCAGGCGGCATCAGCAGCATCAGCAGGAGTTGGCAACGAGGCGACGGCAGGCGGCGTGCGGCCGCCCACAGGCCGACGCAGGTCAAGACGGTTGGGTGTTGGTGTCTCGGGAGGGCCGGGAGGTGTGGGTGTGGTGGGAGTGGGTCGCCCACAGCAGATGGTGGACGGCTCTCCCTCGTCATCTGCCTCGCCGTCTGGGTCGTCGCCATGCCCCTCGCCCCCTCACATGGTCAGCACCAGCAGCCGGGCAGGCTTATCCACTGCCGCCTCGCCCCACTCTCATTCCCACTCTCACGCCCATCAGCAGCAGCAGGCCATCGCTGGAGGGGGCCCGTCGATGCTGCAGCTGACACAGCTGAGTCGGCTGCTCCTGGCGTCTCAGCACCCAACAGAGGGGGACCAGCCCACATCAATGTCATCGACACGCGAGGAGCCTTCTGCGGCAAGTGCAACGAGTCTGTCAGCGGGGCGCAGTGTGCAAAGAGGCCCCAAGCCTCGCATTCGGACACGCACAGCCACGGCAGACGGCAGCCCAGTGGCAGCTGCAGCCGCCCCAGTGATGCCAGCCGCTGGTGCTGGTGGGCGGTCATCCGGGGCGCTGCCCCGGCCCGCCCCGTTGCCTTTGCCGCCTCGGCCGTTCCCTGCTGCCGGCCACCCGTGTGGCGCATTCAGCACACCCGTGACGCCCACATACACAGATGAAGAGATCCATGAGATGGGGATGCATCCGTAGATCAGGTGGGCGGAGCGGGGCGGGGCGGGGGAAGTCTTTCTGTCTGTCGGATGTCTGCCTAGCTGCTATGCTTCCCGTGTTGGTGGGTCGATGAAGGCGATTGAGGGGAGGTTTTTGTCGGGGCTGGGTGGGCGCTGGTTGAATTGTGTGTGTGTCGTTGGCGGGTATCCATCAATAGAGCACATAGGACCGACACACAGACAGAAAGACAGACAGACTCACAGACATTCGCACCATGACGGTTTTTGTGCCTGCACATGCATGTATGGGACTCTGTATGACGTGACGAAAGGACAAATGTGTGTGGTGAACAAAGCGCGGGAAATGCAACGACAGGTCTGCGAGCTAAGCCGTGAGAAAAGATATTCGCTGTGAGAAGGCCTTCTTGCGTGCTTCATCTCGTGTGGCGGCCGCGATGATGCAACCGGATCAGCAGCATCAGCAACGGCAGCATCCCTTCTCGTACATCTTGGTTGGTCGTCGCACCTTCTATCTGCTCAGCCTGACAGACATACTGCGGCTGAGAGGCACCTGCACATCGCTCAGAGAGCTCTTCAAAGCGCCTCAGCTGAGAGATCGCCTCCGCCACTCTGTCGGCTCACAGGCGGGGCTGCGGCGGGTGGTCAACGGACAGCAACTGCTGCTGGTGCGGTTCGACGATGACCAGTTCGGCACACACGATCTGCTGGCGGCTGTGTGTGTGATGGAGGAGGGGAACTGGGTGGAGATGGGCGAGGTGATTAAGCTGGGGGGACAGTGCGGCTACTGCACGCTGCCCGTCATCCTTACGACAGATGACATCAACACACATCCCAACAAGACGGTTAGGCACCCACACAGAGGGGCGGGCAGAGAACAGAGAGGCCCCATTCCCTCTGTTTCTGTCTGCCTGCCTGTCTGTCTGTCTGGTCTGTCTGTCGTGTGTAGGCGTACCTGTCGTTCCCCCGTGTGTTGGCGCAGCTCATGGTGGTCGGCCGCCACGTGGACTTCGGTGGCAGCCGCCTGCAGATCTTCCCCTATGGCAATGGTGAGGTGCGGGCCATCAAGGACAAGCCCGGCTTCCGACTGATCGTCAACCCGCCCCTCCCCGGCTTCCGACTGTTCGTCAGCCCGCCCACCCTCCCCGGTGGCCATCTGTATCAGCAGCACCGACAGCAGCATGACCCACCAGTGCATAGCCGCATCCGCTACTGGGACGGCAGATGGGTATCGGACGGTCTCCCACACGACTATGCGTCGTTGTCGTCATTCGCCAAGTACATGATCCTCGAGCGCTTTGACAAGACTCACCAGACCAATAGCACAGGGAGATCCCTCAACAGGTAACAGATCAATTGCACCAGTGGCGAGAGAGGTGTGCGTGTGATTGTGTGTGTGTCTGTGGTTGGTTCAGGCGTGGTGATGGCGGCCGTCTGGATGGCCTCCTCACCCAGTCGCCCCACACACTGGTGGCCGGATGCACCAGCACACTCAGCCGTAAAGGTGACATCGGTGATGAGCGAGCGCTGGTGCTGACCAACAGCAGTCACACCTTCGTCGCGTGGACTATCATTTCTTCGGATTTTGGGGACGGAAGCGGTTAGGCCAACAGACAGGCAGTCTGGTGGTCAAATCTCATGTGTTTGGTCTTTCTGACTGTCCGCAGTGAGTGTTGCCGTCGAGACGACCGAGGCACCTGTGTGTGCGAGCGGTGCCTTCAAGGACCGCTTCCCCTTGACCACTCAGCTTGGCAGTGAGGCGCTGGGGCGAGGACCTGCAGTCGTTTTCGACGGCCGAGTAGTCGTCTTCGACGCCCAAGTACAGCAATTCGAGCCACCAGAGGAGGAGGGGGATGACGGTGATGATGGTAAATACGGACAGAGGGAGGCAAATTGGTGGGTGGATGGCTGGACACAGGACGGGCCTTGTCTGTGTGTGGTGCAGACGGTGATGGTGGCGATGAGAGTGACGATGTGGATGACGACGGCGGAGGTGCACAGCTCATCGATATGGAAGGAAAGAAAGCAGACACGCACAGCTCACCAGACACCCTCACGTCCATCCGCATCACATAGGGCGTGCGTGTTTATTTGATTGACAGGTGACAATGGATCAGCGTGGTGTTTATTTGATTGATGTGTGAGTGATCAACCCAGCTCAATACAAGAACACCACAGGTACTCACACACACCACAGTGTGTTCGAATCTTCTGTCTGTATGGGTGTCCATGTGTGTGTGTTTGTCTTGGCTGCTGGCTGCCCGAATTGACTTCTGGCTGTCTGTGATAGAGGGAGATCGTATGTCGCCCACTCTGTAGAGAAACCAGCTGCTGACGTTACCCAATGGCTGTAGGTGGGCGACCTGTCTGCGTTGCGCCATCCAGCCTCTCTGCACTCCCTCTCTCCCTCTCTCTCTCTCTCTCTGCGTTGATACAATGTGTCTGTGTCTGTGGCTGGCTGGCTGTGGGGTTCGGGTTTTGACCCGATGACTCGGCCGCTGCATGCATGGCTCTATGGCTCTGTGACTGCTTGCATGATGGAGGAGTGAAACCTTCTCACATGGCACACAAACCACTCTCACACCACACCACACTGCTCATGCTCTGAACGAAAAAGCCCGCATGATCCCCGGTCGGGCGATTGAGGACGAATGAAGCGCCTGACACTGACGGAGCTGAGCGGACTCATCCCGGATGGCGACATCAGTGCGGTGAGAGTCGGCCACCACCACCAATGAACACATGGGCAACGCATCGCTTGATGTGGCTTATGCAGGTGTCCGAGGTGGATCTGCGTGACAAGGGCATCGAGGAGTGCGAGGATCTGTCATCATGCAAGGCGCTCAAGAAGCTGGAGATGCCCGGCAACCGGCTCACCTCTCTGGAGCCGTTCCAGATGAACCTGGAGCTGTGCTGGCTAGACGTCAGCAAAAATCTCATCAGCACCATCGACCACCTCAAGGAACTCAGCAGTCTCGCTGTCCTCAAGCTCAGTCACAACCAGGTGAGTGCAATGATGGACAAGGAGAGGCGTGGCTCAACGTTTCTCTATCCATCCCTCTGCTGCGTGTATGGGTGTGTGGATGTGGTTGCCAGATCCGCGTCATGGAACATCTCGACGGGCTGTCTTCGCTCAAGGCTCTTGTGCTGGATAACAACCAGATCGGTGAGCCCACACTTTTGAGGGCAGCAAGCACGAGACGACTTCCTTGCTGTCTGTGTGTGGTGTTTTCAATGCATCAGTGAAGGTTGGTGGCCTGGCGAAGCTCAAGAAGCTCGAGACGCTGAGTGAGTGCCGTTGTGTGGAAAGGCCAGGCCACACAAATCTCTTGACTGACACATGTCTGTGATTCCTGCGTGCGTGTGTGCAGTTCTCTCCCACAACTTGATCGAGGAGTTCCCCGTGCCCAAGAGGCCCTTCGAGAACCTCACCAAACTGTCGCTCTCCCACAACAGACTCAAGGTAACCAGCTCACCAAGCCAGACAGACAGATATCAGACACACGGTCAATCGTTGCCTGCCTTCTATCGTTGACACATATTCCTGCCTGATGTTGCCATGTCAAATGGTTGGCAGGCCTTCCCGTTCGGTGACAAGTTCGGCCAGCTGACCGAGCTGCGACTCAATGGCAACAAACTCACAATGGTAGGCGAGAGCTGTCAGCAAAACAACAGCGATGGATGGATGGATGGAATGTGTGTGTACTGGTCAGATTCCCGAATCAGTCAAGTTCATGGCCCGTCTGTCCATCCTCGATGTGGGCAAGAACGCAATACCTAAGCTCGAGTGAGTGAGAAGTCGCGCTCAGGATCGCCAAGGCGGTGCGTGTATGTGTAGTCATGTGTGTGTGTGTGTGTGTGTGCGTGTACCTATGTGTTTGTGCAGGTCTCTAGAGGCGATGTCTGTTCTTCGCCACCTGACGAACCTCAACGTGGCCGGCAACCCATTCTACGACGACGTCGCAAAGCAACAGGTCAGAACAGATCACCCACATCACAGCCCTGTGCTCGCCCCACCACACACCTGTCGTCTCGCTCCATGCACGAATGCAGGCCTTTCATGACTTCCTCCCGCGCATGGCCTCCAGGCTGAAGATTCTCAACAGCAAGCCCATCCAAAAGGCCATCAGCACGGCACAGCTCAGCAAGAAGGGCAAGAAGCGGCAGCGACAGACCGCTCAAGCTCCAGCCGCCCTGCATAACGAACCACCGCCCGCTAAGGCAGCCAAGCGTCACGTGCCAGAAAGGCTGCAAGTCAAGAAAGAGGAGGAGCCACACCACAAGATGTTTACGGATGAGGATGAAGATGATCGCATGCCGCCAGCCGTCAACGGCCCACCCGCAACGCCCCAGCAGCTCAGCAAGGCCAAGAGGACTGCCCTCCGCCCCTCATCGATCGATGACCCAGACACCGGCAGCTCCGGTGCCCCCGTCGAGGCATCGTGTTCACGGCCGATCTCCCCTGGCCTCGGCAAGGCCATGCACCAACACAAAGACGAACCGCCGGCAGCAGCCAAGGCCCGTGAGCATGTGTTCTTCGACAAAGAGAGCGATGAAGAAGGTGAAGGGAAGGAGGAAGAGAAAGCAGCGCCAACGAGGCAGGAGGTCAGGAACGAAGAGGGCAAGAGGGCTCGGGTGAAGAGAGAAGAGGGCGGCTCTAAGAGGAATGTGCGTGTCAAGCGTGAGGCGAATGCTCACCAGCAGCAGCCGATGGAAGGCAAGAGGCGCAGCAAAAAGGCGAAACACATGAAGGGCAGAGAGACGGACAAGGGCGGGGAGGCTGTTGCGGTTGGTGTGCGGGAGGAAGGAGAGGGCATGAGTGTTGACGAGTCGGGGTTTTCGAGGGAAATAGCGGCATTTCTGCAGCACAGACAGGACATGTTCGGCCATGATGTGCATGGCTGGGACTGACTGAAAGTGATGAGAAAAACAGGCGGATTGCTTCCATGCTGTCCACCCAGCACGCCCAGCCAGTCGCCGATCGAGATGGATGAATCATGGTCGAGTCTTCAAATATGTATCGCTGTCAGCTGCCTTGACTCTTCCGCATAAGATCAGCCAGCAGGCTTTTGCGATCTCATTCTTGGCAGACTTTGATCAATACTCGATGGACGTGTGAGCGGAGTGAAGCACGTCAAACTCACAGATCTTGGCCATCCGACACATCCAGCTAACCAAAAAGACAGCAACGGCCCCAATTCGCCCCCATTCTCAGATCTGGAAGATCTGCAGATCTGTCCCTCGCGAAGGCGCGAGCATCTGCGAAGCAACGCGAACTAGCCCGTTGCGGATTGAGCAACCATCATGATGCCCATGGCGAACCAACGTGCTGCGCGTGAGTGTCCCCCTGCACCACCCCCCTCTCGAGACCGCAAGCGTGGCAGCACAGCGGACGACGAGGGCACTGCTTCCATCTTCAGGGTAAGACTAACACCAAGCAAGCCACACATGCATCCGAACACCTATTTCTCTCGCCTTTCTTCCATTACAGGCCATTCGGATGCAGGGATGGTCCGGTCTTCCCATGGTTAGAAGGGGCTCACACAGATAGGATGCTCTCCGTTCATCTGCCATTGTCTGTGCAGCCTCGTGAGCTTCACGTTGGCGTGTACGCGTTCATCCATCCCGTGTGGTGCCTCAAACCGCCCCTTTCCTCTCTCTCCAGCGCCATCGTGCTCCGGCACCACACCGAGCTCGTCATCGACAGCAGCAACCCACGCCAGCGGATATTCTGGAGCAGCATGACGGTGCGTACGGCATACGACCTCGGCCAACAGATGGTCAACCTCAAGTGTCTCATCCACCGCTTCCCTTGCACACCTGAGAATCATGTTGCACCACGCTGGTGCCTTGGGATCGTCATCGGACTCCTGGAGGGACACGCAGCTGGGCGCCGATCGGTCCGCGAGAAAGAGGGGCTAGGGACCGCCATGATGGAGGGCTCTCTCCAGTCTCTAACCTTCGAGGCCGTGCCGACTATTCCACCGATTGTTGGAGTACAAGGGATCCGGCACCTCAACAACACCATCGCTCTCCCTCTTCCGACCACCCCTTCCCAATCCATCACCCTCCCGGCCCTCACCAACGTCAAAGGCGTTTCTGGCGGCCACGCCGTGATCGACGGGCGGGGCTGGAGCATGCCGACTCTCCAGCGCGTGTCTGCACGCGTTCCATCATCCACCGTGGCGGACATGAGGCCATTCATCGCCACAAGCAAGTCCCTGGTGGAGCTGGAGGTCGATGAAATGGCATCGTCGGAGCTGGCTGAGCTGATTGGATCCATCCCGATGGGGCAGCGGGGAAGACCGGGGCCTCTCGCGAATCTGCGGAGGATTGGCTACATCAAGCTTTACGAGATCGAATCGATCAACATCGAAGATGGCCTCCGACAGCTGCAGGTGACGCAAAACAGGAGGGAACAGGGCGGCGGAAGTAATGGATCACAGCCCGATTGTGTCTCGCTTCCAGAGGTGTTTGGTGGATCGTGGCTGCTCAAAGTCTCTTGATTTCCTGGAACTCAAGGTGGATTGCCGCGACTGCCATTCCCTGCTGCTCAGCGAGTACCCGACACTCATGGCGCTGGCCTCGTTCATCGACAAGACCTGCTCGGCATCGGGCAAAGTGCTCTGTGAGGCGCGCCTCTCGGCCGAAGAGGCCCAACACATCCCCCTCACCCATCTGCTCGCCCACACCCAGTTCGGCAAGCTGCCGAGCAGCGGTCCGCAACTTCTCGGTGCCCTCCTGAAGCTCTACAACGTGCAGATGGCGCCGCAGCCGACACACCCGGACTGTCCCTCTATCGACAGCTTCATCGGCACAGCACCCGCGCAGTACCACTATGTGTGGACGGTCACTCCCGACCAGCTGCTGGACCGGTCATGGCACGCTATTGACGACAGCACGGTCAACAAGCTGGTGATCGGCAGGGGACGCAGAACGTCCATCGAAGTTCGTCTTGCTGACGGATGGGTGCCACCCGTCGATGCCGCTCCACCTGAGCCCCCCCAGATTCAAGCCTTCAAGGCCGACGGTCTTCTGGGCGTCAGCACTCTGACGGTGAAGACTTACATCGGGCTGGGCGCTGTCAAGGCGCTGCTGAACAAGGGGCTGCATCTGGAGAAGATGCAGCTCTTCCACATGACCGCGACCGACGTGATACGCGTCCTAGAAGGCATGGGCACACGACAAATGCCCAAGAACCTGAGGATTGAGGGCCTGCGACACACGCATGATGAATCGAGAATCCACCACATCTCAAGAATGACTACCACAGCCAACTTCCAGAAGGTCAAGGCCCTGATAGTTGGCGGAGAGGTCGCGATGTGGGTGGCAGCGGCATTGAGACAGCACATGCCATCACTGGAGTCGTTCATCATGTGCGGGAGAGAGGCAGAGGTCCGCAGCGTTCTCGTCGACGGAGCCCACGATTCTTATATGGGCACTCGGCGTTCGGACACTGGCATTCGTGCCGGTTTCAACACTTTGACGCTCGGCTTCGTGTCCGAAGATCAGCGCTTTTTCGTCAAGGCCGAGGACGAAAGGAAGGGCATCACACTGGGCGATCATAAGGAGCGGCTGCCCCAAATACGAACTTTGATCATCCATCTTGATGGTAAGTGGCGGAGGGACACATGGAGTTTTCGCCTCTCCTCCTGACGGCTTTGTGTGGTGTCCTGGTGTCTCACTTGCTCCAGTGCCACCTGCCAATGTCGTCGATCCAGGGACCTTCATTCTGTCAAGCATTTGGTCGCTGCTCGAAATCGATTCTATCACGGCCCTGACGGTCGTCCCACCACAAGCCACCCATCTGGATGCCTTCAGCGAAGCCGTGCGGCGCCGCTTTGGCCCTGGTCAGGTCCCCGGCATCATAGGACACGGAGACAGCCGAATTGTTCTGACAGCGGACGCCATACAGACGGTAGGCAAAGATTCACATCGGTCCACCCAGGACGCTTGTATGTGCTCTCTCTGTCTTCTCAGATGCGTAAAGCCGTGTTTGCCCATTCATCGGCCGCCGACACGCTCAGGGCACTGCAGCAAGCAGAGGTCCCGGACCAAAGACGACAGACGCGAATGACTTCGCAGCGGATCTCTTCGATGCTCCATCACTACCTCCCCTCACTTGACGCCAACATTGCAGCCGAGGCTCTCGCGAGCGACTTTGTCGGCCGAATGAGGGCTGCGCCGCCCATGAGTGTGATCGACCCCCCATACACGCGCGCGATGGACCCCCCATATGCACGCGGTCGTCTCAGGAGGTTAGTCATAGTGGCGATGCAGCGATATGGCCTGGGGATGGAGCCCATGATGCGGCTGCAAGGCAGCTCGCCGTGCATCCCCAGCCCCTCTGTGATCGCCTCTGCCAGCCAGCTGATGGCCATACTGCGGATGACGGGCAAACACATCACAGGCATCGAGCTTCTCTACAAGTAATGGAGACACTGACTCACTGTTGCTAAGATGCACTTGTGTGGTTGCAGGGCGACTGAACATGGACACCAGTACACCGACATGCTCAATCGCGTCGGCGATGGGAGCTGTCTCCTGTTTCTTGTGCGGACCAATGGAGACACGTACGGCTGCTTCATCGACGACAGCCTGCGACCGCCCGAATATTCCTTCAGCACCTATTCGGTGGACGCCCTCATCTTCAGCACATCGGGCGTCGCACCGCCCACCCTGCAGTCGCCTCCCGCATCCCATAGGCTTCACGTTGCGCAAGCAGGCAACGAGCATCGGCATGGGAGTCCCAAATTTGCCATCGGCCGGCCAGTGGCACCGGGGGTGGACGTCCGGCTGTGGCTGTGGGCGGATGGCCCAGGGTTGGCGGCCGGAGGATGCCCGGTGCGAGTGGTATTGGGGTCTCTGACAGACCCGATACTTTTTCGTGCTGACGAGATTGAGGTGATGCGCCTGGTGGGGCAGTGCAGACGGGGCGCTGAGCGGATGGATTGATGCGATACACCTATGATGCGATACACCTAGGCCGGGGAAAAGAAGGCGTGGCTTGTTCTTCTCTGTGTGTGCTGCATCCATGTTCGACTGTGTGGCTTCCTGACTGCTGAGTGCTTTTTGTCGTCTCTGTGGCTTTAAAGGCATTCGATTACACAAGACAATCTAGGCAAGCTTCTGTCCATCCAAGAGTCCTCTGTTCATGAACAGTAACCCACGTGTATGGAGATGTATTTGAGTCCGTCCCTTCCATACACGTACGTGTCTCTGGCAGAAACGAACGACCACGATATAAAATGTAGGCAACGATAACAGCTCCCCGCCGGCCAGCCATAGTGGCAAAAAGCCCCTGCCTCACCCCCCTGATCGCTTGCTTACCTTGAGCACCCATCACGGCCAAGACAAAAGACAAAGAAGGCTCACCCGCCCGCCCTCGAACGAACGACCGGTACCTCCCCGGTACCCCATACACACACAACCGCCCACCCGCCCGCCCAGAGAAAGCCATGCACACAAGCGGACTCACGACAGAAACATCCCTGCAAGCCCCCCCACCATCTTATCTTGCCCTTCCTGCACTGCACAACACAAATGCGTATTCATGTGAGTGCGCGCCTGCCCCAGGCAAAATCGAGAAATGCCCTGCCTAACCCCGGCCGCGCCCCATCCCCATCGATCGAAATGCGGCCCTCCCAATACATCCGACACCACTATTCCCACCCGTCACAAGCCACTCACCCCTCGCCACAAAACACCCTCGCCTTCTTGTCTTGGCCTGCCATCGCCCCACCAACACGCAAGACAAAGCAGCTAGGCAGACAGACCCTCACACAACCACCCACCCACCCACCCAGACCAAGGGAACACACAGAAACCGACAATTGCACGCACACGAGTCCGCGTTTGTCTTGCTCTGGGTGTGTGCCGGCCTCATCCTGCCCCTCGCCGCCTGTGGACAAACGAAGCAAGTGAGTGTCGGTGTGGAAGGCACACACGTGCATTGGACCCACCCGTCGGTTCCCCATCGATGCCCCCCTCGAGCGTAGCAACCCAATTCTGAGGACAGGAATGCACAAACACACATGCATCCGTCTGCATGCAGCCAACCTCCCACCCACGCACGCACCTGCACGATGTCGTTCAGTCGCTGCACCCGCAGCCCATCCCTCCCCAGAATCTGCGAAAGCTGCTGCTGATAGTCTCGCAGCGATTCCAGCTCGGCCTCTGCCTTCGATGAGAACCAGAAGAGCCTCCAGCTCGGGAGGAGGGTCGCCAACCGTGATGAATGTCGATGTCCACATACATTCCGCGGGAGGGGTACTTGAGAAGCCCTAAGATGGCCAACACAATGTCGTTAACAATCCACACATACCATACCACACATTAGGTAATTGTCTCGGCGTACGTACGTTGATGTAGCAGAAGCCTGATGGCTCCGACTCGCAATGGCAAGTAGACGGAGACATGGCCCGTCTCGAAGGCTTTCATATGGGCCAGACACATGGCGTGGTCGTCTCTGCCGGTGGGGATTTGAGGGGCGGCCGGTGACCGACGCCACCCTCAGTGACCCCCCCGCTTGCCCACAGCGTGAGTAAGTGCAGGTCTCGACCCGCCAGTGAAATCGCACTGGCGACTGATGCGCCCTCCTCTCGGGCTTCAGTCAGGACGGCTGACAGAAGGGGAGCAGCTGTCAGGCCCGGGAACTTGGACAAAAGGAGACCGACAGCGGTCTCCCTCTCAGCTGCTGACAGGGGAATAGATACATGGATACATAAAAAGTAAGGGTGTGTTGCTTGCTTACATGGCCGCTGCGGGGCTGTGGCGGCTCAACCCCCAGCGACGTGGCCAGCTTGTCGACCTTGTCTTTTATCTGACACAGAGAAAGTCACACGCCACATGCCTGTCGCTCTTCTCCTCCCTCTCCAACTTACCTTTCGTATCCGGGTCTTTCTTTTTCGGTTGGCGCCTTCGATGTCCTTGAAAGACAGGCCGTGTTTGAACGTGTAGTAGAATTCCTGTCGGCACAGCCCACACAAAGCATACCCGTGAGAGAGATGAGAGAGATGGGGTGTGTGTCTGTGTCGTGTTGTGCTATCCTGTGGTGTGCACTCACTATGCATTCGTCTGTGGTCTTGGTTCCTATGGCCTCTGAAAGTCGTTGAAACCTGGGGTTGGCGGGCAGCACCTGTTGAATGGGGTGTGTCCCCAGTGTGGCCTCGAAGACGTCGATCTCGTTGAAGGACCAAATGGCCTTCTGTTGGTGTCGACGCTCCTCCCCCATTGGGTCGTCCACCTGAACACACATACCGCGCGTGTCTCTCAATTGAGTGAACCTTGCCAGTATGTACCCCGTCTGTATGTTAATCATCACATCACGACACGATATAAAATGTACGCAGCGATTGTCCAACGACGGCTGGCTGGACGGGTAGTCAGACGGCGTTCCAGGGCGGATGTGGATGCCCTCCGCACCCAACGCTTCCTGCAGCCACATACACACACACAATCAGCAAACATTTCTGACATCAATCCCTCGCTCCCTCCCTCCCCAGTTCGCACCTTGACCCTTTGCCTGTCGTATGGAGCTATGTGGTCCGGATACTCGTCGATGACGGACAGGAGCTTCGCCAAAGCCGTCTCTCGCTGCTCGGATTCTCGCTCTGCCGTGAGGACGCGCTCCGGCAGTGTGAGGACGGTCTCCTCGTCTCCCTCATGTGTGGTGGGGGGCCGTCGCTCCTCGACAGTGGCACTCTGAGTCACCTGATGAAGAGGGCAGGCAACACAACACAACACGCACCCAACACCATCGATAGCAGCAGACGTTGGGTTCTTTCTCACTGCTGCTACTGCTGCCGGTACACAGATCGCGCCTCCTTCCCTTGTCCCTCTTCCCACCCTTGCTCACCTCGACGCTGATGACTGACCAGGCACTCACATACGTGTGCGCCGCAAGTCGTGGATATAGGATTCAGTCAAATATAAAATGAAGGCAGCGATTGGGGAGCTTTTCTGACCGGTACACTCACAAAACTCACCCGAGCTGCGACCTTTCGTCAGGGTGATTATACACACATACACACAGCTGTGTGTGCGCACCTGCCCCCTCCTCCTCGGTGGCGAACCATGGATGCCTCAACGCGGCCTCGGCTGCAGGCACGTAAACAGACAGAAAGACACACATGAGTGGGCATCGGTCAAAGACGCATACACACACACACACACACATACACGGAGCTGACCTGACGGCAGGCTCTCGGACGGGTCGAGCTTGGGGAGCTGCTTGGCCAGGTCGATGGCGGCAGGGCTCACACCAGACAGACCCTCTCATTCACTGCTACGGGCTTCGTGAGATCTCCACGTCGACAACGTCGACCACGCATAGCCACATACTCACATATGAGTGCCGCAGGTCGTGGATATAGGGGTCAGTCAAATATAAAATGGAGGCAGCGATGGGAAGCTTTTCTGACCGATGCACACACACGGAACTGACCCGACTGCGACCTTTCGTGACACACACACACGGATGCGAATGCGTACCTGCTGTCTCTTCTTCGGTGGGGGACCACCCATGTCTCAACGCCTCCTCAGCTGCACGGAAACAAACAGACACACGTGAGTGGGCATCGGTCAAAGACACATGCACACACACACACACACACACAGGAACTGACCTGATGACAGCCTCTCAGACGGCTCGTCGCCGGATCCATGCGACGCAGCACCGGCATCATCACCGGGGGCCTGACGAGCTCGGTCCTCACCGAGACCAATCTGCCGCTCGTGGTGTCCTTGTGGAAGAAGTTGGTGCGGGTGTAGAGGCCACCGATGACATCCTGAGGGAGTGCCGGGGGCGGTGAGGTCGGCTTCGCGGGCGGGAGGGGGTGTGAGGAGGGCTGTGTGGACGGGGCGGGGCTGACGACGAGCGGCTGGGTGCCGCTGATGTGGGTGTGGGGCGTGGAGAGCGGGGCGTCTGCGGCTGCTGCTGCTGTCGGTGGTAGGGGTGGTGGCTGGGTGGCCTCGGGTGCCCGCTCACCATCATCGCCCTCCTCGTCGCTCAGCTCCTGGGCGGCTGGCCACATAATACACACACACACACACACACACGCACGGATGTGTTTTTGATTGAAAAAAAGACACTGGTGTGTATACGCACCTTCTCCCTCCTCGGCGGTGAACCACGGATGCCTCAGCGCCGCCTCAGCTGCACGCAAACAGACAGAGAGACACACGTGAGTGGGCATCCGTCAGTCAAACACACATACACATACACATAAGACACGGAGCTGACCCGACGACAGCCGCTCAGAGGGGTCCATCTTTGAGCGGCTGCTTGGCCAGGTCGATGGCGGCGGGGCTAACGTCCCGAACGGTGTCGTAGGTGAACATCTCGGTCGACGCCTATGGATAGACAACACACGCGCGTCTGTTAGTGGTGCGTTAATCCAAGTAGCGCTCACATAAGAGGACCGAACAAGTGGCCAACCGTCGGTGCGCAGCGTACCTTTTTGATAATGTCGTACGCCTCGTCGTTCTCGACGTCGTCAGGCAAGTCGGCTGGCCAGTCTCCATTGAGCATCTCGTAGCTGATGCACACACCACAGAAAGAAAGACAGAAGGCCAGAAAGAACATACAGCCATCCAGTCATGCATCTCTGTGCGTTCAAAGTGAGGCCATGAGCATTGCCCGGGCCGCTTACAGGATCACCCCGGCCGCCCAGAGGTCGCTCTTGGTGCTGTACTCGCCCTTCTTGAAGCACTCCGGCGCGTGGCACAACAAGGACAATGAAAGAGAGGACTGCACTGCACTGCAGGCCCTCCAACCCACTCACCATATGTGGGCGTGAGCCGACTCGGAAGTCCCCCTCCCCCAGGTCCACAGTCGGCCGCGTAGATTGGTCGAAGTCGAGCAGCTTGAGCCCCTGGTCGCCGGTCGCGAACACCAGGTTCTCCGGCTGACAACAAAGCAGAGCCCACCACAACAAATGTATGTCGGCGACAAACCTGCCGATGCTGATTTGACAGAAGGGAGGGAAGAGCTCACCTTGATGTCGCGGTGGACAATCTGCCAACACACAGCGAGAAACAAACAAACGCATGGACAGACAAACAACGTGCGCATGGTGTGTCGACTGATATGCATGCGACTGCGTACGTGGTGGGCGTGGAGGTGCTGCATGGCCATGAGGATCTCCCGCATGACCCTCTTGGCGTCGCCCTCCGGCACACCCGCCTCGTCCTCCACCTTCAAGAAGCAGTCGAGTGAGATCCCGTGAAGCCGCTGTGAACATTTTGGGCGCCGCCTAGGGGTTGGCAGCACACACACGTCCGTGAGTGATGCCTTAGTCTAAGTAGCACTCACGTAAGAGGAATGTACCTCCGTCTATCCATCCGCAGCGTACCTTCTGAATTGTGTCGTAGGCCTCGTCGTTCTCAGCGTCGTCGGGGACGTCGGTCGGCCAGCCGTCGTATATCATGGCATAGCTGATGCACACATAGAAAGGAAAAAGCCAAGAGAGATACATACAGCCAACCACCCACCCATCTGTGTGTTCCAACTGAGGCCGTGAGCTTTGCCCGCCCCGCCTACAGGATGACCCCAGCCGCCCACAGATCGCTCTTGGTGCTGTAGAGGCCATCCTTGAAGCACTCCGGTACCTGCGGAAGCACAACACACCATGAGGGGAATCAATAGGAGACTGCACTCACTGTTCCACCCACCCACCCGTCCACCCACCGACCCACCGACCATGTAAGGCCGAGTGCCGACTCGCAACTCCCCCTCCCCCAGGTCCACTGTCGGCCGCGTGCACAGGTCGAAGTCCAGCAGCTTCAGCTGCTGGCTGCCGGCGGCGAACACGCAGTTGTCGGGCTGACAACAAAACAGAGACCATCACAAGAAATGCAGACAAAAAGCCTGCCAATGTCGACAGAAAGGAAACAACTGACCTACCTTGATGTCGCGGTGGATGATCTGCCAGGAAGTAATGAGATGCAGACAGAAAAACAGACAAACAGGCGCGTGTGTTGTGTATCTGTCTGTGTCGATTCACACGTATCTGTGATTGCCTGCGTACGCGGTGGGCGTGGAGATGTTGGATGGCCATCAGGATCTCCCGCATCACCCTCCTGGCGTCGCCCTCCGGCAGCCCGACCTCGTCGTGCAGGTTGAGGAGGCACTCGAGGGAGATGCCGTCCAGCCGCTCCATGGCCACATTGAGCCACTCCCTGCCGTTGGTGTTGTCGATGCTGACGGCGTAGAGCTTGACGATGTTGAGGTGGCCGCGCCGCAGGAGGGTCCTGTAGGCGTGGTGGCGCTCTACCTCCAAACTGCACAGCACACAAACAACACAGAAATCCATCTGGAGAGAGGCTGGCCATCTTCCTTCTCGCTCACGGTTTGCCGCGATTTCTCATGGACTTGACGATGCACACCTCGTGGGTGTGGCGATGGATCGCGGTGCAAACCTTGCTGAGCCTGTGACAGGAGACGAACCGCACACAGGCATGCGTTGCCTCCACTCGTCTATATCCTCCCTCTGTCTGTCTGTCTGTTATGTGCTTTCGCTCTTACGGCTTCTTTGAGAGGACCCTATCTCGGACATAGGTGTCCTCGACGCTTACGCCGTCGTCGGCTGGCGAGGTGTCGATGATGGCCTGGTCGGCGTCGAGGTCCTTGATGGCCTGCATGACGGCGCTTACATGCCCGTGGCAGCACTGGGAGACCACGTAGGTCTCGGGCTTGCACACGGCCGTCGACAGACAGACGGAAGGCCTTGACAGCCGCGTCAAGGTAGGCGGCCCAGCGGGCGGGCTTGATGGTGAGGCCCTCGCACAGGGCCACCTGCAGACAAACAAATCAGCAGCAGTGGATGGACAGGGGCACGCACCAGGCGCTTACGAGGAACTCCCTGACGGTCATGGGTTGTTTGCCTTTGCGGCCGACGTCGTCGCAGCACCAACCCTCAGCGCCGCAGGGATTCACCCACAAAAAATGCATCCTGGAGAGAAGAGAGAAGTCAGCCAGGCCTACCTCACCATACCATCGCCACAAATCGGTCACAGACAGCCGCATACCTACCGATTGAAAGCACCGCCCCGGAAAAAGCAGTTTGCCGAAAGCCGAGAAGAGGAGACGTGAGCATCGGGCAGAATGCATCCATTGTGTTGCTCAGGTGGTAGGGGGCGGACACGCCTTCCGATCTGTGTATCTCCCTACTTCCCTCCCTCCCTCCCTCCCTCCCTGTCTCTCTTCCCCTCTCCCCCTCTCGCCCTCACAAAACTCACATTTCACCATACACGTACACTGGATGAAAGAGACACGCAGCAGCATGTGTGCACCGACCGACACGCACCCCGCCCGCCCATCCACACCATCCCGCACTCGTCGTCACTTGCCTCCGTCTTTTCGCTTGCCCTGCTTGTCCTGCTTGTCCTGCTTTCTGCGCAGTGAGTGTCCTCCCTCCTCGTGGGTCGACGCCCTCCTCCTCAGCGGCCGACGACCATCATCACCACCACCACCAGCGGCGGCAGCAGCAGCTGCTGCTGCTGCTGCAGGAGGCTGAGCAGGCTGCACGTGACACACACACACACACACACGCAGAGAGAGAGAGAGACGGAGAGAGACGTCTACATTACGCGCACGATTCCACCTGTGGCCGTGCAGACGTACCCCCTGATGGAACGCGGCTGACGACTTCCCCTTCTTCTGACTCGTCGGAGTCATCGCCGTCGCTGTGCACACATTCACACACCCCCAAAACAACACAAAAACTAAGGGTGGCCCACATACTCAGAATTTTCTCTCCTCTTTTGTGCCGCTTCTTCCTTCTTGGCTTGGGCGTAGGTCTCCAGCAAGATGGCAGGCTGCAGGAATGCTGCGGCAGCAGCGAACAAAATAGAGACAGACATGCCACGCGGTACTGACCTGGGTGCGGTCTGTCGGCAGAGAGCTGCTCGCCCGGCCGGCGAGTGGCCGGCCTGCGCGCTCACTGGCCTCCCAAGGTCGGCCGTCGCACATCCTGCTGCACTTCGCCGCACACACCGCACATGATGGCGAGGGAGGGAGTGGGGAGAGCAGGCGATTGGTGAGAAACGGAGGAGGAGATGGCGGAATAAGAAGAAAGACGTGAGGTTTTTTTTTATTTGCGTCTCCGTCTCCCTCGTCGAGAAAAAAAGCTCGCATTTCTGCGAGCTTAGCAGAGTAGCTCGCAAAGTTGGAGGAGCTTCCGTCGGCACCGAACGGTAAGGGAATGCAGGACAGGCACCGCAGGCAGGGTGGCATCGCCACACCCGCAGATCTGTCCCTACATCGCCTGTTCGCCTGTCTTTGGTGCCGCCTGTGTGGTGTGTGTCAGGTGGTCCGCCAGGATGGGGATCTCACGCAACTCCCGGCACAAGGTAGGTCACACACCCACACACGCACGTCAATGGTGGCTGATCGCCCATCGTGACGGTGCTCGCTTCATCTATGTCTGTCTGTCTTGTGCCTTTGTGGGTGTGCCCTCCTTCTCTCAGCATCGTGCCACTGGTGGTCGGATGCCGATCCACCAGAAGAAGCGCAAGTTCGAGCTGGGCCGTCCCCCCGCCATGACCAAACTGGGAACCAAACGACTCAGAGTCGTCAGATGCAGGGGAGGTACGTCAACCTGACCAGACCAGGGCGACACCACACCACAGCCACACAGACGCGCGCCAGCCGGCCGAGGAGACGAATGCCTGTGTGTGGGGTGCGTGTGCGTCCGTGTGTGTGTGTGTCCAGGAAACATCAAGTACCGCGCGTTGCGTCTTGAGACCGGCAACTTCAGCTGGGGCAGCGAGAGTACGATTGCACGATGCACCCGTGCTGCTCATTGGCCGGCCATGCGGCTGTCATCTGTTGTGTGTTCAGACATCAGCCGGAAGTGCCGTATTTTGGATGTGGTGTACAACCCCGTGTCCAACGAGATGGTCCGCACCAAGACGCTCGTCAAGAACACCATCGTCGTCATCGACGCGACACCATTCAAGACATGGTCAGCCAATGGGCACACACACGTCAGCACACGCGGGGCGTGGCTGACGTGTATTTCCTGTTCCATGTTGTAATGTTGCGTTGTGTGCAGGTTCCTGAAGCACTACGGTGTGGACATCGGCAAGAAGAAGGGACCCAAGAAGGGCGGACAGGACGTGAGTGACGTGACCCACACACACACACACACACTACAGACACCCAGCCATCCGGTCTGTCAACTGTGTCTGTGTGCCGATCGATCCACCTGTCAGGCTGACGAGGAGGGTGAGGAGGCCAAGAAGAGCGGCCACGTCATCGCCAAGCTCAAAAACAGGCAGTCATCACTGCACGACAACAAACCCGGCGAGAAGGTCAGAACAGAAACCACTAAGACACACTCACACGCCCTCACCCTCTATCTCTATGTGTGTGTCTGTGTGCAGAAGGAGAGCAAGGACCCGTTGCTGGAGGACGAGTTCGCGAGTGGCCGTCTGCTGGCCTGCATCGCATCCCGGCCCGGCCAGTGCGGACGCGCCGACGGATACGTCCTCGAGGTTCGTCACACACAGAGAGAGCGACGCATGTGCTGTGCTCATTGATGTCGTGTGGGTCACCGATCAGGGTGACGAGTTGGCCTTCTATCGCCGCAAGCTGGAGAAGAAGAAGAAGGGCTAAACACCCTGACTGACACTGTGGCTGGCACTCACTCGCCCACAGCACACCGCCATATATGCCCGTGCAGTCATGCGTTTGTGTATGGCGGCCCTCCTGTTTTGCGACAAGGCGGGCTGCCGTCTCATACGCTTGGCGGACGTGTGTGTTAGGGGTGTGTATGTGGTGGTGGTGGTGGTTGCATGCCTGTGGTGGATGGATGGATGGATGGTCCGTGTGTGAGTTGTGATGCGACTGAGCGCATCCACGTCGTGGCGACACTACAAACATTCATGCTTTCATGAAGACGTTTCAATCAATCTGCGTGAGTTGACTGTGATCGGATGCATCTATCTGTCTGCCTGTCAGGGCATGGAAAGCACCCACACTTCATTATACACTTCATCTATTCACTCATGGCAAGCGTCCTCTTTCTCCGCCGACCTCGCGTTGGCCGCCCGTCAGATTCTCTCTCACTCTCACCCTCTTTCTCTCCCCTCTCTGCCCTGCCCCTGCCTGCACCATATGGTTTGCCTCGCCCTCTCCCCCGCACCCCACCACCACCATGACTATCAGCAGCACCGGCATATGCATCAAACGAGTCACCTTTCTTTCGGGTTCGTAGTGGACTCTCTCGTGCTGCCTTGTCTCTGGCTTCGCTGCTGCTGGTGGTGCTGGTGGTGGTGGTGCTTGGTGCTGATTTGACATACACAAGTGTGGATAGTTTGCGGCGTGGCTCCCCCCGGCTCTCGTAGCCATGCTCCTCGTAGACCGGCAACGCAGGACCGAAGTCCACACGGTCACGGAGCTGACACGCACACAGACAGAGCGGGAGAGATGCCGTCTGCGGTGGGTGACAGTGTTTGCGCGAGCGCGCGTGTGTGAGCGTGCCTGGAGTCCAGCGGTGTGTTGGTCGTCGGACAGCCACCAGTGGTCGATGTTTTTCTCCGACAGCCGCAGGTGGAGCTCCCCGCCGCCCTTGAGCACCGTGGCGGCCTGCCTGAAGAACTGAGGCAGCCATAACCTCAACTGATGATACACACAGACAGACAGGCCGAGATGTCGATGCGGGAATCCTCTTTGTGTGTGTGTGTGTGTGTGTCTGTTGCTCACTCGGTAGTTGAGGTTCATGGGTAGCTGCTTGCCCTCCTCGTGCAAGTGAGCCGGCGGCTCAACATCGCTGCACATGCATAGAAACACGACACAGATGAATGGATGAATGAACGCTGTGTGTGTGCCGACCGCCCGGCCGACCGAGCGAGTGGGAAGTTGAGCATGACCCGATCGAGCGACCTGAAGTGGTTCTGCAGCCTCAGGTGGTCGACCGACGTCAGCACCACCGCACCCCCACCCTCCAGACACTCCACACCACCCCCATCCACCTTGTCAGCCGGACAGCTCACTAATCAACGTACCACACACACACAAAGCAGTGTGTGTGAGGGGCGGCTGGGTCTCTCTCTCCCCTGCTCACTGCCGACGACGAGCTTCACGCTGGGCAATGCGCGCATCAGTGCTGCATGGAGCACACAGGCGCAGCGAAACGAGGTGACACCAGCCTGTCATGCAGCAGTCGGCTGCTCACTCACCGACGGCAAAGGTGATGTTCTTATCTCTGCACACCAACACAGACAGACAGACGGACACACACCCACACACGAATGAGTGCTGCGGATGGATGGATGGATGAGGGCATGCACTCACCCGAGGAACAGCGTCTTGTGGTCTCTCCTGTACTGCACGTCGGCCACAAAGCTGTCTGCAGTCGACTCCAGCTTATTCTGCAACCATGCAGCCACAAACAAAAGCACTCACACAGACCCATCCATATATCTGTGCATCGCTCTCTCGCTCTCTCCGTACCATCATCGGCACCCTCTTGTACATGTGCAGAGGGCTGCCGGGGCGTCGTTGCGGAGCCTTCACCGACCTCATGCGGCGCACCACAGATCTCACGCCAGACATGGATGCATCGATGAACGGCCAATGAGATCAACACAGGACACCAGCTCCTCTCCCGACTACCGTCTTGATGTTTCCTACCTCTCTCCTGCCGCTAAGCTCGCATTTCCGGGTCGTCGAGATGCAGCCATTTTCCTTTCCGACGCCTTCGCGCGGCTCCCGCGCCTCTCCCTGACATCGGCCCGACTGCATCGTCCCCTATTTAAATCTCCCAGGAATACGGTAATCGTCGAGTGGCCGTAGGCAGGGCTTCCCTCGGCCTTCGGGCGGCGTGAGGCCGTCATGGGGTCGGAGGTGGACTTCCGGTCGTTGGAGGTGACCAAGGTGTGCGCCCGTGAGCTGGGCAAACTCCTGACGGGGCTGCGCGGCGAGCACTGGCAGCTCTTCCAGGAGAGGGTGTCGGATGAGGTGCCGGGGTACTACGATATGATCAAGCGGCCCATGTGGCTCAAGGAGATCAACGTGAGGGCAGAGAGCGGGGAATGGGAACCGCACAGAGAGAGGCATGCGTGTGTGTTGTCTGTGTGTGTGACTGACTGTGTGACTGCCTGTGTGTGTCAGAATAAGATCAACCGTAGTGACTACCGCACGTTTCAGGATGTCAAGGAGGACTTCGACCTCATGTTCAGCAACTGCAGGCAGTGAGCAGATCCAGCCATGCACACAAACAGACAGCCACGATACACACACACAAGCTCGTATGTTTCAGGTTCAACACTAACGAAGCGTCCAAGTACATCATCGACTGGTGCGCCAAGGCCGAGCAGGAGTTCAACAACCGCTTCCACACACTAGCCGCCAAGTACAAAGCCGGCTTCAAAGCACAACTCAAGGAGGCCAACGAACGGGTAATCCCTCCCCACAGGGTAATCCCTCCCCACAGCCGCCTCTCTCCACCCACACCATGCGTGGCTCTCCTTTTCATGCAGCGCAATCTCGATGGCTCCCGAGCCGCCCCGAAACGCGCAGCGACCAGCACGAGTTCCCTCGGCCGGAGCAAGGCTCGCAGCAACGGCCAGCAGCCCAACGGCACGGCCCCTGACGACCACCCCATGGAGGAGGAAGAGTCAGACGAGGACGACAACCGGCCCCTCAAGCGCCTCACGCGCACCGAGAGGGACAAGGAGAGGTCCCCCCCGTCCAAGCACCGGCAGCAGAACGGTCACGCGAGCAGCGCCGCCCGGCGCGCCCAGTCAGCCGCTGAGAACGGGGCGATGCGGCCCGATGTGTCTATGAGGCTGGCGGCGGCCGCCAAGGCCGCCGCAGCGGCCGAGCTGTCGGATGCCAGCCCTGCTGCTGGTGGTGCAGGCGCGAGCAGCCGTGCCAACAACAACAGGGGGAAGGGCAAGGGCGGCGCGGGCAAGGGCGGGAAGGGCGGCCGCTCACCGCCCAGACGGGCCGCCACCACTCGTGAGAGGGAGATGGATGCCTCCCCGTCTGTGGCTGCATCAGAGGGTCAGCTGCCGGCGTGGCGGCCGCCCCCCAGCCCCTTGACACATGCGAGGCGGCTGCACCGTGCCAAGGACAAGTTGTCTATACCTGTGGAGTATTTTGATTTGGAGAGCCGGGGCAAGGTCGCATTGGACGCTGAGTTTGACTCCATCTGGTGAGTGAGCTGGGACAACAGGGATGGAGACGGAAGCATGCATACAGTATGTGGACAAGATGGGATGGGTCGTTAATGTTGATTGGTGTGTTTGATGTAGGAGCCAGCCGTACAGCTGGTGGATTGTGGAGGGCCAGGTGGAGCCGCTTCTCGAGGAGTGGAGAAGGAAATGCCTTCACGTACGTAACAGATATATGCCATCCATCCATCCGTCCTTGCACAGAGAGAGGGGAGAACGGGGCCGATGGATGCATGGGTCTTGGGTCTTTGTTTGTTCAGATTCTGAAGGACTTGTGGTTCTGCGGCAACTCGCATCTGTTCCACTACCCCGTGCAGCTCGTCAACGGACTCGACTACAACGAATACTCAAAGGTCGTACCCCCACACCAACAGGCAGACTTCAGAACCATCCGGGTACGCCCTTGCACCACTTCCACCTTCCCCCGCTCACGCACATTTCATCTTGTGTGTGTGTGTTGTGGTCGGCATTGCAGCAACGTCTGTGTGGGTATGAGGAGGACTTCCTGAGCGGTTCGCGGCTGCGCGCCTTGCCCGACCCCTATCAAGTGCCGGGCGATTTCAAGAGCGACGTCGACAAAGTGCGTGACGTCACGTCAGTCAGTCATGCCTGCCTGCCTGCGTGCCCCTTGCATGGCGTGCATGGGCATGGTCTTCACATACGTCTGATAGGTGTTCATCAACTGCATGAAGTTCAACAAGAGCTCCAAGGGCTTCCCGGGCGTCATCCCGGGCGTCAAGGAGGTCCAAACACGATGGGACAAAGCATGGTAGGTACACGCGAGCAATTGACAGATCGGTGTGAATGTGTGGGCGTATGTGTGTGCGTGCAGGCGGGCGCAGGGCAAGAAGATCCAGGCGGATTTCACCCGGTACATCGACGAGCTCAAGAAAAAACGGGCCGAGCCACCGCAGCCATCACCAGCAGCACCAGCTGCTGCAGCAGCGGCGGCCGCACCGTCCCCCTCTGCCCCTGCCGACACGCCCCTTTCAGAAATGGACGCCCAATACGGACAGAGTAACACACACACATTCATACACACAAAGCCCTCCCCTCTCTCATCCCCCCATCCCTGTGTGTACATCCCCCCATCCCTGTGTGTGTTTGTCCGTGTCAGCCGACCGTGCGTTGTTGGAGCTCACCGGCCGTCAGCCAGCAGCAGCCCAGGCGCGTCCCAAGGCACTCCAGAGGAAGCGAAAGAGGCCTTCTAAGGACCCTGAGCCACCAGCAGCAGCGGCAGCGTCAGCATCGGTCGATGCTAAGAAGCAGCGGGTCGACGGGGCTGGCGACAGGGTGGAGGGTGAGGGCATCCAGGCGCCCACCAACCCCCCGTCACTCCCTCTAGTCGAGTCGGGTCTCGTCGATGAGAAGGTCGCTCCTGCAGCTGCAGCTGGTGCTGGTGGTGCCCCGTTGTTGAACGGTCATGCCGCTGCTGATGGTGGTCCGGTGGATGTGGCTAAGCTCTTTGGTGAAGACGAGGCGTCGCCGAGTCCCAAGCAGGAGCCGCAGACACAGGCAGCAGCAGCAGCCGCCGCCATGATGGATGTCGACCAGCTCCCTCCTGCGGCTGCTGCTGCCGCCCCCATTCCCCCCGCACCTGCCCCCTCCGCCTCTCCCTCGCCATCACCCCCAGCAGCAGCAGCAGCAGCTAATGGCTCCCTCCCTCCGCCCACCCACGACCCCTCGGGCGTGTTCCGCGTGCCGTCGCTTCCCGAGAAGCCCAGGAAGGGCGTCATTGTCGCCAAAAAGAAAAAAAGAGACGGCAAGAAAGACAAGGGCGGCGCTGCCGCTGCGGCTGCCGCTACTGGGGCGCCTGCTGTGCGGGCGGTGGGCGGTGTTCGTGTGCTGCGTGTGCGGGCGAGTGGGGCTGACGCGATGGCGGCGGCACCCCCGCAGCCACAGCAGCGGCAGTCGAAACGCCGGGTGAGGGAGCGATGCACTCTTGATCGATCCATGAGAGAGCATGTGTGTGATGGCTGCTGCTGCCTCGGCAGCTCGCGGAGTCTCGCTACTCATACGCCGAGTACGGGCCTACCACACACAAACTAGAGAACAAGGTAGGTACCCTCCCCCAGCCCCTCCCGTCGCCCACACATACACGCATTGTTGTCTCTCTTTGCGCGTTCAGCTTGACTTTGAGAAGCTGCGTCGAGAGAGGGAGGCGCGCGAAGCCGCCGCAGCGCAGGCTGCAGCTGAGGCGGCTGACGCAGCAGAGGCAGAGGAGGAAGAGCCCTTTGGCGATGAGTATGATGACGGTCTAGGTGTAGGTGTGGGACCCATGTTGCCGGAGGATGACGACCTGCAGCTGCCGCCGGCCATGCTCGATCTTGGCGCTGAGGAGGGGGAGGGGATGATGCGAGATGAGGGGGGCGAGGGCGTTGGTAGAGAGGAGGTCATGGATGGCTCTTTGCCGGCTGAGCGGCCGCGGATCGCATTCGCCGTCAAGAAGGCTGACAAGGTGAGACAATCACATACGCCATATGGACACGCTGTGAGAGGGAGACGTCACGCGTGCTAATGTGTTCCATCCGTTCATCAGGCCCAGCCCGCCACTCTCCCTCCCCGTCCTTCGTTCTTCGACCCACCCTCTCCCTCTGACACACCTTCCGCCCCCGCAGCAGCTGCTGCTGCGGCCGCGTCAGCATCATCAGCGCTCCCACCTGACTCTTCCCTGCTGCCCATCATCTCGACCGACGAGTTGCGGCGACAGCACGAGGAGCTCGATTTGATGTCCAAGGCCGTCATGGAGGAGGGATTCCACCACTTCGCCGCCAGGGAGGCGTGGTCACGGCAGCTGCAGGAGGCGAGGGAGCTCTGCCCCTCCGATGGAGATGGGGATGGTGACAAGGATGGCGATGGCGAGCAGGAGATGGATGTTGACGTCGACCAGGGGGAGGGGCGCATGGGCGAGGGCAGGATGGTGGACCGGACTGGTTTGGCGAGGTATCTGAGGACAGACGAGGACGTGGAGTACCTGCGTGAGCTCGTCAGAGAGGAAGAGATGCGCCAGCAAGCCCTGGAACAGAGACGGTGAGCGCCGCCTCTTCCCCCACGTCATCACACACAGCTTGCACCACTCTCTCTCTCTCTCTCTCTCTCCTTGTGTGTGTGGGTGTGTGTCAGGATGAGTGTCGGCGATTCCGATGATGGTTGGTCGTCCGATGGCGACGACAGCTCATCCTCCCCTTCCCCTCTCGACCAGGAGGAGCCATTCGAGGAGCTCGACGAGGCCGCAGAGTTCTCCGATGACGACGATTCCAGCGACGAGCATGACGAGTCGATGCCTGACAGTCTCGAGGAGGAGGAAGGAGACGAGGAGGGACCCTCTCATCCCCCGCGCCCATCTTCGTCTGCCTCTGGGTCATCATCACGTCACGTGACGGCCGATGAGGACATGCCGATGGACGACTATGACGAGGATGAGGACGAGGGATACGAGGCCGACGACCACCATATGCTGTGGGGCGAGCCTGAGGACGATTCCTACCACCCACACCCGCACGCCAAGAGGGGGTGGGATAGGGAGAGGGAGGGGGAGGGCGTCAATGAACAAGAGGAAGAGGACGACGCTCTCGATGATTCGTGGATCGATGGCGCTCTCAAGCTGCCCTACCGCGAGACAGACAGGCTCCCACGCATGCTCCGAGACTTCCGCGCGCATCGCAAGGTGGCCATGGCTGAGCGCAAGAAACGCGAGAAGGAGGAGGCAGAAAAGAGGAAGGTCAGGGAGGCCGAGAAGGCAGCCAAGAGGGCACAGGAGCGGGCGGAGAGGAGGCGCAAGGAGAGCGCTGCAGCTGCAGCTGCTGCAGCGGCGGCTGCTGAGGAGGATCCGGCAGCGTTGAACACGTTCACGCCATCGGGCAGTGGGCCTGGAAGTGCTGCTGGCGCTGGTGGTGATGGTGATGGTGGTGGGATGGATCGAAAGCAGTCGATTCAGTCGATAGAGAGTGTCTAACGGATGGATGGATGGTGGGCTGACAGACAGACCAGCTGTCCTTTTATCGCTATCGACTCTCTCTTCCCTTTTCTCCTCTCTATATCAGTGCATAAGTGGGCGGCCGGCCGGCCGGCCGGCCGGTATGGCGGCTGGCTGGCTGACAGGCAGACATGAATAAGGCTTACTTAAAGTGGTCCCAGGAGACAGACAGGTGGACACACAATACAATGACGTAGTAGCTACTGCTCAAAGCAGTCACTCGGTTGGTCGGGAGCTAGGGGGGGGGTTGAGGACACATACGTCAACACACCAAAGACAGACAGCTGCTTGTGAAGAATGGGTGTGTGTGTGGGTATTTTTGGGTGCATGCGTTGGGACATTCATTTGTGTGTGTGGATGAGTGACACCGACAGCCGGGGGGCTGATGTGGTACTTTGAAGCCATATAGCGATGCACGCACGGCAGTCCACTCACTCACGTCGGACACTTAGCTGCACTGGAAGGCACCGGATGCCGACATAAGACACATCTGGTCGACCTTGGCAGAGAAAGACACATGTGGATTGTTTCTCGACATTGCTCAGTCCCGGTATGTCACAGCATGCTTATGAGCAACGACAGGAAGACAAACGCAACGACACACCGACACACAACAGCCCACACCTTAATCGACACAGCAAGATGAGCGACACACCGACAAACAACGGCCTAAACCCGACAAGAGACTGGCTATGTGTAGCTGTTGAGCAGTTTGCGCATCTCGTCACTCTGCGCCACGTCCAGCGGAGTCCTGCCCTGCATAAGACACACACACGTGATGAACAGATGAGACACAAGCGACGAGTGCCCTCTTCTTGCTCACGTCATTTGCTTTCTTGCTGAGCATCTGAACGCCCCCCAAGGACACCAACAGCTTGACGGCTTCAACGTGGCCTTTCCAAGCTGCCAAGTGAATGGGTACTCTCCACTCTGCACACAAATGCATACAGACACGCAAGAATCCAGTAAACTGCCGGTCTGTCAATGCACCTTGGTCTGTTGGTCCAGCTTGCCTCCCTTAGCGTGGATCGCCTTCAGCACATCCACGTGACCACAAAACGCAGCGAGGTGGAAGGGTGTGCAGTTGTTCTACAAAACCAGCAGGGTGGCTCGCTACAGCCACGAGCGACACAGTGGTCAATTCTAGCTGTTCTTCGCACTTCATCGCGCTTGTCGAGTTCTTCGCGGCCGCCTAGCTCCACCAACAAGTTCACCACATCAACATGACCTTTGTCAGCTGCCCAGTGAATGGCATAGTCGCCCTTCTGCACACAAATGACCATGTGTTCGAGAATCCGCCATGTGTTGCAAGGTATGCCTGTCTCACGTTATCCTTTTGATCCAGCAGCGGCTTGCCGTTCTTGGCGTGCATCGCCATCAGCACACCGACGTGACCATAAGCCGCAGCGTCGTGGAAGGGCGTGTTCTGCAGGAATGAAAAACACAGACCACTGATTCCACCTGTGTCGTCTTCTCAATGCATCACCCCGTCGTTGTCTCTTGTGTCGAGGCACTTTTCATTTTGTGCGATCAGCAAAGTGACGGACTGCACATCACCGACCTTGGCTGCGTCAAAGATATTGGTCTGCACGAGATGGGGCGGGTAGGCCGGGTAGCCATACGGACCAGCCGGGTACCCATGGGTATACGAACCAGCCGGGTACCCGTACGGACCAAGCGGCATGCCGTACGGTGACGGGTACGTGCCGTAGCTGAAACCTGCAGACGACGGATCAACTGAGGAAGGACACCATACACACACAGTTGACACAGTTGGCAATCGTAGCTGGCTTCCCGACATGCTTTCCCGCCTGTGTGTCCACAGATGCCGTCAGATCTCTGCTGATCTTCCCTCCCTCCTGCCCCCTTCCTGTGATTACCGGGCGGGTATGTGGTGGAGGGAGGGACGTAGCTACCGGGCGGGTATGTGGTGGAGGGAGGGACGTAGTAGCGAGGTGGAGGAGCCGTGGTGGACGTAGTAGACCCCAACTGCCAGATGCACACCACCACACTCCAACACGTCATGTGATTGTGCAGGTACATGTGGGATGGAAAGCCTACCTGCCCGTCTCACTCACCTTTCCCTCAATGGCCGACTGAGCGGGAGACGCAGTGCTGGGCGGCCCGGTCACGGTGTTGGACATGCTCATGTGGACGGCCGGTGAATGGCCGGCGGGAGACACATTGCCGGTGGAGCCACGAGCCGCAGGAAGCGAAAGAGCATCTGTAGGCCGAAAGAAGCTCATTAGCGTAAACCCCCTATGTTGGCGACTTGCAATTGAAGACGTGTAGACGGACCTTGTCGCTTTGGTTTTCCGCCAAATAGCCATTCCCATGGGCTCTTCGGCGGTTCCTCAGTCGTATCCGTCGGCTGTCCGCTTGACATCGAAGGAGACAGCCCCAGTTGATCGAGAAACTACCATGTACACACACCGAGTATGTGAGCCCCAGCGCTTTCTCACCCTTGATGAAAGCTCATACGACCTGTGTGGCTGTTGGCCGATTGGCCGCTTTGAAGGCGAAACAACTCTGATCACCATGGAGAGACAGTAAGAGCACGGAATGCTGTGGTTTTTGTTAGGCGTGCCTTGATGGCGTTCTTGACATGCGAGGGCAGGGATTGCGGGATGTCAGGGATCTAATCGAAACAAAGCGGATGCAGGCATGTTCGGGCCGAATCAGTCCGACAAGCAGATGTGAAAATATCTCGCCTCCTTTTTGTCGACGACTTTGCGGCCGATCGGTATCTGCCCCAGGCCCTCGAAAGGCGGTCGGCCTGCACCAAATTGCCGTCTCGTGTTGCAGCTGTGCTGTTTCTTGTCTCTTACCTCCGTGTAGCTCAATTGCGATGCCGCCAACAGCCCAAATGTCAGCTTTCGTCGTCAGTTTGCCCACTATGAATGCACCAGACACAGTGATTCATATCAATGTAAGTATATAATCTTATCTCGGTATACTTACAAGTCGTTTCGATGCCCTCGGGAGGCATATACTGGGCGGTTCCAAGAGCTGCAGCGCGAAAGCATGTGTGTCTCGTTCGCACCCTTTTGTTTTCTGCAGATACCTGAGGTCACAGTGGTTTTTCTCTCGGCGCCCCGGCTTATCCCGAAATCCGATATTTTGATGACGAGACCCTCCGTCAGCTGACAAATACGGGCGAACACACGCGTGTTGATCCTAGTAATGCAAGAGTAAATGGCAAGAGTGATGTGTTGAGACCAGTATGTTTTCGGGTTTCAAGTCGCGGTGCACGATCTTCTGATCATGCAAGTACTGGACACCTGCACATATCTGAGATCCATTGCACACACTTATAGATGGAGACACAGACGACACTCCTTCTGTGCGCTTCATGCACCTCTCTCATGAATCTGTCTCGCAGCTCCGGCGGTGGGGCTCCATATTTTGCCAAATAGGAGGCCAGAGAGCCGCCCGTACACAACTCTGAGAAGAACAAACGACGTACCGACAGGGAGCTGAATGAAGCGAAGGATGGTCACCCGTGACGATAACGAGGCGGTATTTGCCGTGTCTGCTGGGAGACGCCCAGCAGCCGCACTATGTTGGGGTGGCGAAGGGGGAGCATCGGCATGGCCTCCTCCAGCACCTCCATGAACTGTGACTGCACACCGTGACGCAGACATGCACACGTGGCCGTCATGATGGCTACGCACACATGCTCTGTAGCCGTACTACCTCGCGGTCAAGCTCCTCGTTGGGTTTGTACGTCTTGACAGCCACGGAAATATTTCCATCTTGACTTCGCCACACCCCCCTGTACACCGTCCCTTCCCCGCCCTCGCCTGCCAAGCTGCCGACACACGAAGAACACATTCATCAGTGGCGCCTTCAAACAAACACGTGTGATGATGTGTGATGTTCTCCCGCTGACCAAGCATCTTGTCCTCGACAGTGAGGTCATCCGACCTGATTACACCTCCGAACATGACGGGAGGGTGACAGGGCGTGGGGGCGGGGGGGGGGGGGGGGG